AGGCCTGATCTACACTTTCAGAAGCCAACATACTCTCCTACCTCCCACTGCACCCTATTAGCTGCAGAGGCTGTCATAAGCATAAGAATGTTTTGTAACATGCACACCACTTCTAGAGCATGAGTCAAAACCAGCCTCACACTCTTCACCCGGCTAGCACATTAACCTAAATGCAACGATCCTTTCTTTAATGATGGTTTCCAGTGACACGTTCTTGCCACTCCTCTTAATTAGCACTAATATAAATGGGATCTATCTAAATGTTTTGATTCTTAAATTTATTTTCTTGCTTCATTTATCTAACATCTTTCTGCCAACGCACTCCCAAAGTTGCTTGCCGTTTAATACCACAGCTTACAGTCTATGAGGCATGCTACTAGAGGGAAAAGGGGTGAAGGAAATAAGCAAATTAAAATCACCAACTATTTCACAATGTTGTATTGTGGAGTTGCCTAAGCAGAACTACCGGAGGCAGTTCTGGGGAGGAAGGAGCTAATTGTCAGCTGGTCCTGGCTGAGCCAGTGGAGGAGGCCTTGTTGCCTTATCTCTCACTCTGGTGCAACTGGAGGAATGGCCACTGAGAGACAATCGAATAACAGAATCAAAGAACTGTGGAGTTGGAAGGGACCTCAAGGGTCATCCAGTCCAACCCCCTGCAATGCAGGAATCTCAACTAGATCATACATGACAGATGGCCATCCAACCTCTGCTTAAAAGGTCCACCACCTTTTGTTGGAGTCCATTCCACTGTCGAACAGCTCTTACTGGCAAAAAGCTTCTTCTCAGTTCTTCTGTTTAGTCAGATTCTCCTTTGAACTAAATCGAACTAAAACAGACCAAACACATAGAGAACCTTTCACACTCCAGATGTTGCTGAACTACAATTCCCATCAGCCCTACAAGCATGGCCAGTGACCAAGGATGATGGGAGCTGTAGTTCAGTAACCTTTGGAGGGCCAAAAGTTTCCTACACACAAAATGGCTTTCTAGTTTGATTTTCTGAAACCTCCCATTCCCTACTCAATTTCCACTATTCATTTTAGGAATGCATACTAACTTTTTGCAATAGAGAATGTTTTTTAAGACATATTTTAAAGATGACTGATACATAGTTTTTATTTGGCTACATATGTTTGCCTACTTATGCGTTTGTTACATTTTATGTGAGTCCTGCTAGGAGACCCTCCTGGTACTAGAAAGTGTCCTTCAAATTTTAGTATAAACCAGGGTGGAAAACCTGTGGATTTTGTTGAACTACAACTCCCTTAATCTCTTGACCATTGGTCATGCTGGCTGTGGCTGATGGGAGTTGTGGTCCAACATCTGAAAGGCCAATTTCCCTGCTCTTGATATAAACATGGACACCACAAGGAACTGCAAGATTAATGCTATGTTTGCACAAGCCTCCAGATAACTATTGGCAGGCATGCTGCCCTTGAGACAGAGAGGGATAGCTAGCTGGAAGTGTGTTTGTATATGTGTTTTTGTCAATCTGTGTGATTTTGAGGAGACATGTGTTCAGCTGTAGCACCCTAACTGTCTCAATACTGAAGGAGTTTGAGCCTGTTTTGCTACTTGCCTTGTCGCAAGGAAGCATTTATATTGCTGGTTTTAGCTTCTTCTAACATGATTTGAAGGTGCCATGCACTGAAGTGCTGAAGAACCTGAGCACAGTGATCTACTTCCAAAAACCGGACAACCATCAAGTATACTAATATCTATGGGAATGTTATGGGATGCAGGTGGCACTGTGGGTTAAACCACAGAGCCTAGGGCTTGCCGATCAGAAGGTCAGCAGTTTGAATCCCCGCGACGGGATGAGCTCCCATTGCTCGGTCCCAGCTCCTGCCAACCTAGCAGCTTGAAAGCACGTCAAAGTGCAAGTAGTTAAATAGGTACCACTCTGGCTGGAAGGTAAACGGTGTTTCCATGCGCTGCTCTGGTTCGCCAGAAGCGGCTTAGTCATGCTGGCCACATGACCCAGAAGCTGTACACCGGCTCCCTCGGCCAATAAAGCGAGATGAGCGCCGCAACCCCAGTGTGGTTCGCAACTGGACCTAATGGTCAGGGGTCCCTTTACCTTTACCTATGGGAATGTTATGCATGTTTAGGAAAGGGCTGTGGCTCAGTGGTAAAGCATTTGCTCTGCAGCCAGATTCAATCCCTGGCATCTCCAGGTAGGCTGGAGAAAGACTCCCTGCCTGAATCCCTGGAGGTAACTGAACCGTTTCGCAGATCTGGGAACCTCTCACCCACAGATCCTCTGTCCATGTGGAGAAGTATTTCTAGCCAGCGTTAGCCTGCATTCAGTCAAACTGAAGTATGTTCTCTAGATTATATAATCTGGATTCTGGGACACACACAAAACCTGTGATGTGGGGGCGTTGGCAGCAAAACCACCTCCCACACATTGCTTGGATGCCTGGCAAAGGAACAGGCTGAGGTAGGTACTGTTTAGATAAGATGAGCTTTAAAACAACAATTGCATCGCACAAATTGGCACCTTCAGCCTGTCAAAATACACATCTCAGAAAGTGGGCAATGACATTACGTGCCTCCCCAGAGCACTCAGGCACAGGAAGAGGAAAGAAACCGCAAGGCGCTCCAGCATGCACTTGAATCAGCTGAGCACGTCTGTGTATTGCTTTGCCTTGGAGAAGAGAGAGAGGAAGCAAAGCAAGAGCGTTCTAAAAATTGCCAGTTAGCGTCTCAAATGCAGCAGGTGAAATATTTATAAACTCAGCCTCCTCCAGAGGGAGTTTTCTGCGTAAGCAAAAGCATCAACCACTCCAACCCAGCCCCAGATTTGACAGTCATAGTAGTTACATATATCCCTTAAGCAAACAAATGAAAAAGCCATGGAGAATCGACAAAAGAAAAAAATGTTTTTCTACCTATATTGCAAGTGTGCTAATTACAGTATTAGTATTCAGAGGTTGCCGTGTGTGTGTGTGTGTGTGTGTGTGTGTGTGTGTGTGTGCTTTCTGCCTCCTTTCTGCACTTTGTGGTATGGAAAGGCACAAGATTCCTTATTACCATTTCAAGGAAGTCAAGCAGAGCTGAGGTTTTTCAGTGATGCTGGATCCCAAAAAGTCCCTGCAAAGAAGGCACATGGCCTGCTTGCCCCAGAACATTATGCATCACCGGAAGTGATACATAATGTTCATGGCTGTCTTTTTTGTTACTCTTTACATGAAGTACAGTATTGCATATCAGACTCATCATCAGGTGAGCCCATTTATGTTGTTGTTTAGTCATTTAGTCGTGTCCGACTCTTCGTGACCCCATGGACCAGAGCACGCCAGGCACTTCTGTCTTCCACTACCTCCCGCAGTTTGGTCAGACTCATGCTGGTAGCTTCAAGAACACTATCCAACCCATTTATATCTTACTGCTATTTTCTGATATCGCACTCAGCTTGACTGGGTGGAAAGGCCCAAGATTAAGGGAAGTCAGAATCCCCAAGCAGGATCAGTAAAGGGTTCAACTGAACTCAGATGAAAGACTGGTCTTTGACTAAGTGTAGCTTCTATAGGCTTAGGGCCAAACTAGACCTAGTGAGTGCAAGTATCAGTGTGCTGCCCCTTTGGGTTTGTTATGTACATAGCAGCATACCCTCCAACATTTCAATAATAATAATAATAATAATAATAGCAATAATTTTATTATGTATACCCCACTCACCTGACTGGGTTGCTCATGTCACTAGGGGCAACTTCCAACACAATAAAACATTAAACATTAAATAGACTTCCCTATATAGGGCTGCCTTCAGATGTCTTCTGAATTTGTATAGTTACTTATCTCCTTGGCTGGGGGGGGGGGGGTCACATAACTCCAAATCCTCCAGCATTTCTCTGATGAAAATAAGGAAGTCCTAAGGAAAAGTGGGACATTCCAGGATCAATTCAGAAATCGGACGGCTTCTGTAAATCCAGGACTGTCCTTGGGAAATAGGGACACTTGGAGGGTCTGCAGCAGACTTGGGGAAACCTCTGTATTCTCAGAATTGTGAGTTTAGGAGCCAGCTCCTTGGGGCCCAGGGGTCTTCGCCCCCCCAAATAAAATATTTAAGGGGGCCAGGGCCCCCCCATACTTGATGGGCATTGCCATTTAAATAGTGTGAATGCACAATGTCATGTGATTATGCAGGGCGGGGCTTACCAGCCCCCTCCCCAATATTTTATTCAAGTTGGCACCCCTGTTTGCGGGGGTGGGAGGAGAGAGGAAATATAACAATTTTGCTGCCCTGGTCTCCACAACCATCTCCTCTCCTAAGCTTCTATGTGCATTTCAAGGGACGTTTCCACGACCTTTACCCACGTGCTCAACTTGAGTCTCTCCCTGTGAAGCGAATGGTAAGCAAGCTACTCGTGTCAGTAGCGCTGACTTCAATAAGGGAATGATGATGGTGTGGATGAGAGACTGAGGTCACCTGCGAGTCTCACTTACGAGTGGGGGGTGGGGAGAGAGAGAGAGAATAAAGGAGGGAAAAGAAACCAGCGCAAAAGAGTTGTTTCAGACGTTACGATTTACTTCCATCCCGTGTACGACAAGTGATCGTCGCGTGTAATTACTGCGGGTATTTTCAACTGCGTGCAAAACGAGATAAAGGCAGGTAGCTGCGCTCGGCCACGCCAGCTCTCTCGCAGGCGGGCCGCGTTTCCGAAGTGATGGAGACGCGTGTGCAGTGATCACACCTGGCGATGGGCAGCCGCGCAGGTGTTTTCGGTTGTAGGGAAACCACTTGCAGCTGCTTCCTCGCCCGGAAGGTTTTGCTAGCTGGCGGCGCCCCTTTTGCAAAGCTGACCCCGCCGGGGCTTCGCCTGGGAGCTGGCCGGGGGGAGAACCAGAGCTGCCCGCCCGGCGAGCGCAGCTTGGGACCCTCGCCGCTCCGCTGGCCCGGGAGGCGGGCGTTGCTGGCGCCTGTGCGCGGCTCCCCGGGCCGAAGGGGCGGAGCCAGTCCCCGCCCCGCGCGCGGCACTCCGCCTGCTGCTGCTGCTGCCGCTGCCTGCAAGCCCGGCGAGCGGGACGCGGGCAAGGCTGCAGCGCCCGCGGAAGGAGGCGAGCGCCGGGTCCTCGGGGCGGGCGGAGGCGGAGGCTCCTCGCATGTGATCGACGACGGGCTCGCCCAGGGCGGGACGCGGCAGATCCGGCGGGCAGGTGTTGCTCTCGGAGGGGATTCCGGCGCGAGGACCGGGGCAGGAGCGAAGACCCGGCTCTCCCTCTCGGCCGCGGCGGATTGCGCGCGGCTAGGGGGCGCCACTCGCCCGCTCCGGTTTCTCTCTCGGTCTTAGCCCAGGGACTTGCACTCGAGGGCAGGCAGGCAGGCAGTGGCGGGAGAGCGAGCTGCCGCGGACGCTGCTTCCTGGCGGGTCGCGGGAGCCGAGGATGTGGTGGTGGGATGCGCGGGTGACGACGCTCTTCAAGAGGAACCTGCAGCCCACGCTGACCTACTGGAGCGTCTTCTTCAGCTTCGGCCTCTGCATCGCCTTCCTGGGGCCCACCCTGCTGGACCTGCGCTGCCAGACCCAGAGCTCCCTCTCGCAGATCACCTGGGTCTTCTTCTCGCAACAGTTCTGCCTGCTGCTCGGCAGCTGCTTGGGAGGCATTTTCAAGAGAACGTAAGGCGACCCCCCCCCCCCGCCCCGCATCTCCTTCTCTCTCCTCCCCCAGTTGCTGGTGTTTCGCTCTCCGGCCATTAGCGTCGCCTGCCTACCTACCTACTCCCCCCCCCCCCAGCCCGCTTTCCTTCTGGAATGAGAAGGGTCCTGATGCCCATGAGAAGCTGCGTGTTCCCCCCCCGCCCCATCTCTCACCTGGTCCCCCTTTCAAAGCCTCCTGAGAGGTCTACTTTGCAACGTGGTCTGTGCCAGGCTTTGCCCTGCAAATCAGTACCCCATCCTTACAGTGATCTATTCCTATCAGCCTCTGTGACGCTCCAGCCTCTCTCTTGGGTCTCTAACCCTTCTTACTTAGGGATCCCGGGCAAAGTTAGGTGCACCTGGACCCAGGGGGAGCAGTGCCCAGCTCCTCGTAGAACCGGGATGCACAGCTGCATTTCTGCCAACGCTTGGGTGAATGAACTCAGCAGGGTTTGTTTCAGAACAAATGGATGTGCATAGGAACCGTTGAGCTTGAAGCCGCCTGGGGGGAAACGTAGTCTGTGAAAGTGACGTGGTGCCTGTTTATAACACGGGCACCTGAAGGTCTCTTGATGGTTGCTACACATTCATCACTGTGGCTTGGGGAATTTGATTGAAGTCTCCAGGGACAGGGAGTTCTGCTGTTGTTGGGCAGCCATGCAGAAAGCCCAACGGTGTGGCTGCTCAGACCTTGTGCATGGATGGTAAGATGCACTGTGCCTGGGTTAATTTTGAGTGTGTGCATGGCAATGGAACAGAAAAAATGGGAGATATTGTAGAACGGTGGTCATGTAGAGCTTTGGTGGTCAACAGCTCTAGTTCAGTGGTGTTTACTCAATGCCATGACACCTCTAACCAGTTCGAGAGACAGAGTGGCCAAATTTATTTTTTGCCAGACATGCTTCTGTGCCTGTAGTAGCAGCCTCCCATGTCAAAATCTTGCAGCTCCAGCAGTACATGTTTATCTGTGTAGACCACTTTCAAAAATAAAGTAAGAATGAGGCATATTTGCAGTACAATTTCAGAAGAAGTGAAAATTCAGTTGCCCTGGGAACAATTAACCACTTAAGCTTCCCCAAGACCTTCTTGTGATTGTCAATACAACAGAGGCTATCTTTTTCCATTTTGTTGCTTTTTTAGCAAGTCCAGGTTCTTGCAGATGGGTCCTGTTCAGTGAGCATGTTGTCATCGTCCAAGCAGTGGCGTAGTGTGGGTTGCCAGCGCCTGGGGGCAGGGCAAGTGTTGCACCCCCTGGTGGACTGGGCAGCTGGGGTGGAGGTGTGCACCCAAGCCTTGAAGGCCTGGACACAGCTTGCCTTCCAGTGTCTCTGGAAGGTGGCAGGAGCTCAGCCACGTGGTCTTGATAAGGGAGTCTGTCATGGGGGAACCTGTTTGCACCTCTCTCCGAATTTTACACCCAGGGCCACTTCCCCTCTGTCCATCCCCCCGCCCCATGCTACGCCACTGCATCCAAGTCTTTGCTTCTGAATTCTTTATACAGCGGGCATTGGGATAAGCAATGTGGCAGGTCTTGTACAATGTCTCAGATTTTAAAGGAATTTTACTGTAACTACTATCCTGGGACTGTGCCAGGCATCTGCTGAATTGCACGAGGGTCAGAGGTTTCCTGGTTGGGTATTTTTGGAAGAGCTGGTAGCTTTCTCATCCAAAATGTGTGTGAGCATATGATTCCAGGAGGCAGCCTTGACTGAACTTGATTTTAATATCTTGGGTTGTGTATGTGTGAATGCATCTCTCCCTCTGTCTTAACTAGAGCTTTTGCTACTGCAGACCTTATGGTCTTGTGAAACCAAGAAAGGACCTTATGGTCTTGTGAAACCAAGAAAGCCCTCTTTTTAAAAAGACAAAGCTTACAATACTCTTGATCATAATGTTGTATCTCCTATGTCTAATATTTGTATCAGAAGTTAAATAGCTTAATGTGGACACCCATTTCAATGAGTAACAATTCAGTCATAAGAAGCAGAAAGGATGCACTTTGGAGAGTTCCTATTATTGATCAAAGGGGGGTTGTATTCTGAGTACTTTTCAAGATTTGATAGCTCATAATGGCAACACATTCCATCCTTGTTGTAGGAGTAAATTGGCAGGTAATATCTGCTATTCCACATTGAAAAGTTGGAGGTTTTCCTGGCAAGCGTTCCACCATCAGGTTGTTTAAAGGCAGCAGAGGCAGTAAAACAAAAGTTGACTAGTGTTGGTAGCAGCGTCATGGAATTTGTTCACCTATTGTGAGCTAAATTCACATTTAGCTCAATACTCTTCTTTGCTCCTCTCCTGCTACCTTCCTGTCTTTCTTTCCCCATTGGCCTAAGCCCTTCACCAGTGTCTCTGTTCCACTGGCATCTGAGAAACCTTTCCCACCACCCCCATTCCTTTCCGTCTTCCTTTTTTGCCTGTGTTTATCTCCTCTTTTGAATTATTTAAGGGCATATCTTCAAAAGCATTCAAAGGGCTCATCTAAATAAGATCAAAGTAATCTGGGTGCTTCTTGATCGAGCCAAAAATAATTTAGACTGGTTTGACACAGAAGCCATGCAGAATGAGCTTTATATAACTTCTAGAGCCCTGAGTCACTTGCGTGACTCCCCTGAAATCAACACGGCTGCAGGATTTTTGCTCTGTGGGACCCTGGCTCTGTTGCAGAGCCTACGCAGGCAGACTCTCGGATCTGCTTGCTGTTCCTGTGATGTCAGCATGGATATCTGAGGTCTCTTCCCACATGGAGCTGGTTTCAGAATTTGGGAAACTGGGGGCATATGGCATGATCATGCAAAAACATATGTCGTTGAGGAAACAGAACTTTGCTGTACATGGACAAGGAATCCTCAGGCTGCAGAAATCTGCTCAGGGATTTCTCAATGTGTTTTTCTGTAACCCAGTGGTTCTCTTGTAAAGGACCTGTTTTAATAACCTTGATGTCAAAACTCAAGCTGGCCTCCCATTCTCCAGAAAGTTGGCAAGCAACATCCAGTGTCAAACAAGCACTTAAAGGTTGACGTAGGATAAAACAGGCACAGTAAAGATTCCATTGTCACACAGCGTTGCTGGAAAGAACAGTGTTATGCTTGACAATTCATCAATGATACCATCAATGAGGAATTAGTGTCTCTCGCATAGAGATCACTTTAAAACAAACAGCTTGTGAGTGGTGACTCCTCTCTCTCTCTCTCTCTCTCTCTCTCTCTCTCACACACACACACACACACCAATCTTCCTTTGCTGTAACTCCTTAGCTGCTGTCGAGCACCAATCTTGCTTGGATTTGTTTTAGGACTGAAACTTCATGCTAATATTTAAGTGCTACTTTTGAGGCATTTAACTTATGAACATCTTCAAACTACTGTTTAACTGGTCTACAGATATATTGGCTTTCTCAGGATTATAAATTTGAGAATTGAACCCAGGCTAAAATCTGCTGCTTTAGACAAGCCTCAGGGGACACAATGGATTTTACTTATCTGTAAACATGCATAAGATTTTGCTGTAAAGTTATTAGCACTTAGATCCCTTTGGAATATGTAAAATTAATCCTGATTTAGTTCTCATTTATTTCAGTGGGAACAAATTCATGGTTAGTTTTGCATAGATTCTAAAGGGACCCAAGTGCAACTTACTTATCCTGGATCTAATCTTGAGCATTTTAAAGATTGGAGTTATAGTTGATTAAACCAGTCATCTGATTATTAAGCAAGGCATGAAACTCACTGAGGGACCTTGAGCCAGTCGCTCACTCTCAGCCTAACCTACGTCACAGGGCTGTGAGCATCTGTGTCACCTTGAGCACATTGGACGAGAGGCAGACTATAAATGTAAAAAAAAAAAAAATGAATCAAGCAGAAAACCCCTATCTTGCTTATAAATATTATATTTACATTATATTTAAAGAGCTATTTCTTTACTGATTCATGCTTTAAAGATCCCTCTGAAAACACATTGCTCCAATCAGGGCAAGCATGTAGAGTAATCAAAATAGTCTTCTAGATAGAGAGCACAATTCAACAGGGAACAATTCTGATTAAAATTAATTACACCAATTATTATTTTTCAGCCCTACAATTATGGACTGGGTTACTCAGCTATCATGGCGTACTAGCCTATATAATTTTACGTTGTTTGCACAGCACATTAGAAGTACAACTCCAGCTCTTTTAACTGTTGATATGCCAAGGTTTGCTTTATCCCATATAATAACCTGGTATAAACCTGACGATGTTGATGGGAGTTTCTGTCCAAAACATCAACACCAGGTTGACGTTGGCTGCTATTATACACACATACTGACCTGCTGCAACATTGGGGTGTAGTAGTCCAGGACACTGTTTGGAAACAGAGGCAGAAAGCTGCTCCCCAAACTGCAACCATAGAATCAGAGTTGGAAGGGACCTTGAGGGTCATCTGGTCCAACCCCCCGTGATGCAGGAATCTCAGCTAAAGCATCCATGACAGGTGGCCATCCAACTTCTGCTGAAAAACCTCCAAGGAAGGAGAATCTTCAGCCTCCCGAGGGAGATGGTTCCACTGCTGAACAGCTCTTGCTGTCAGAAGCTTGTTGGAAATTTAGTGCAGAAGACCCCTTGCTTCTGCCAACTAAATTCTCGATTGTGCTACCTGCACTGCTCTCCTTTGATGCAGTCATGCCAGATACGTGGGCTTCTGATCTAATAGATACTTAATGTCTTCTGTGGATCTGGTGACCTGGGGAGCAGCATACCTTTGAACTCCTCATGAGAGCTGGTGATGCGCTGACAGTGGGTCGTAAGTGTGCTCCTTCCATCTGAGGTCACTGAGAAAACATTGAGCACAGGCCTGTCTCTGCAGAGCATCTGGAAAGTGCATGACTCCTTAATTTCCTTTGACTCCAGTTACTGCCCAAGATACTATGTGTTCAGAAGCTGGCTTCATCAGCAACATTTCTTCTAAGCAGAAAGTATTTCCATGATGCAGGAAGTAATTCACCACCTCCTGTGTGCAGTTTGGCAGCTAGAACGTGTGTGTGTGTGTGTGTGTGTGTGTGTGTGTTGCTTCGTACAGATGTACTGTGACACAGCTCCTTACCATACACACACCATAAATACACCCAGAGAACTCTGTTTTTGTGCATGTGCTATCTACACATGGATTTTGTGTATGAGCAGCTTGACATAGGAAGTAAGCACTCGGTAGGCAAACTTATCTATGGACTCATGTTACTGGTTGAGTAAAAACATCAAGGTTTCAAAATCAGGGATGTGGGAACCTGTAGCCTTCCAGCTTCTCCTGGACAACGGCTCTCCTCGTCCTTGCTGGCTGGGGCTGATGGGAGTCAGGATCTGACAAGATGGAGAACCACACACATTCACCATTTATGCTTTAAATCGACATATTCACAGCAGTTCCTATTGAGAGTGGGAAGTCAGTTCCCCAACATTTAAAAGCTGTAGCAGAGATTAATTCTTTGGCTGTAATCAGGCTGTGGTCATTATTTCCTATTCTGTGATGTGCTTTCTTGATCTTGAGCTGGGATTCTCCAGCCTGTCTGCACAGTAGAACTAATTAGAACACATTTTTTAGACTGACACCATTGACCAATTTGTATCCTATTTACTGATTCTCAGAAGTTCATACAAAACTTACAAAACAGAAGACAGCTAATTACTTGCCATCCTACAAAAATGATTCTAGGGGGCTTTTCTGCCCATCCCATGTAACAGTGCCAGCTCTCAGCATGGACATATATGAATTGGTGCTTATTTATTTCATAATGTAAATTCCATTCTGCTAATACTTGTTTAAAGGAGCTTTAAAATGTAGCTCAGTTATGTAAATGATCAAACACACAATCATTAAGCTCAAAACAAATAAGCTGTGTCCCATCCTAATAAAAACTATTAGTCACTAAAAAAAAAAAATCCCTCAAAGCATGCTGAGAGGAAGTTGCATAGTCTGAATGGATATGCACTCTTTCCCCTCACATCCCATTGGAATAGTAGTACTTGTATATGGTCCTGCCAACCTAGCAGTTCGAAAGCACGTCAAAGTGCAAGTAGATAAATAGGTACCGCTCCGGCTGGAAGGTAAACGGCATTTTCGTGTGCTGCTCTGGTTAGCCAGAAGCGGCTTAGTCATCCTGGCCACATGACCCGGAAGCTGTATGCTGGCTCCCTTGGCCAGTAAAGCGAGATGAGTGCCGCAACCCCAGAGTCAGTCACGACTGGACCTAATGGTCAGGGGTCCCTTTACCTTTACCTTTACCTTTATATATGGACACAACTGATCAGTCCCCAGCTCTTCCAAGCAGGACGGGGAAATACTTGGTTTCTGAAACCCATGGAGGAAAGCTACATCTAGTATAGGCAATAGGGAGCCAAATGAAGCAATGACCTGGCTCTGTGTAGGGCGGTTTCCTGTGTTCTTCACTATATTTTCAGTAACTCTTTCATATAATCATAAGCATTGGAAGATACCTCAAGGTCCTCTAGTCTAGTCCAACTGCCTGACAGTGTAGGAAATCTGGTGCTACAGCATCACTGATAGGCAGCTATCTAGTCTCTTATTAAACCTCTAACAAAGGAGAGTCCTGTCTCCTTCCATGGCAGTCTGCTTCACTCAGTGTTTGAAACTCCCATTGTTCTAGGCGCATTTTGCGACAGGGAAAACTGCCACTACTGGAAGGAAAGGAGGACCTGTTTCTGCCTCCCCACTTCCAGCTACTTTCTGAAGACTGCAGAAGAGACCCTCTTAAGAATATTAGGGGGTGGGCAGGGGAAGGACTAGACCACGTGAAAAATGAACATAATAGTTTAGCTGCAGTTCATTCATTTTCAGCTTTGTATTCTCGTTATAAAAAAAAAAGTGCCTAGACATTCTGTTGTTGTACCCATAGCCTAGGATTAAGGTGCCATTTAGCTCCTAGCTTTCATATCTCAGTTTCTAACACTGGTTTCACTGTTAAACAAGTTGAACTGTTAGCAGATTCTTCTCATGTTTAATCAAAATTCACTTTCTTGAAATTTGAACCCATTAATTTAGATCTTACTCTCTGCTTCATCTCAGTAACAGCCCTTTGAAGAAGCTTTAATGTCTATGTATAGAAACGCAGCCAAACCATGATGGGTCTTTTTAGACCCCAAAACAGCATGAATCTTTGTTACTGGAACTTTTCTTCTTCTTCTGCAATAAATGCAGCGTAGGTGAGAGACTTCTGTACGTCTTGGTCCCCCTACTAGGGAGATCTAATTTGTGAGTCTTGTAATCAGTTAGCTTATGCTAATACACACAACGGCCTGCTGTGTCTCAAAAATTATCAGTCCATCCATCATCTAAATTACAGTAAATGAGCAAGCTAGCACATTGGGCTGTGGTGAATCCTATTCTTACTATATTTGGAGAGAGAATTGCAGTCGCCCCTTGCTTCAAGTGTACTGCTGGAAGACACTGCATTTTTGGCCTTAGCAGCTGCAGACCCCAAGCACGCCAAAGTGACAACAACCCAAACTCAGGGAAATGTTGGCTTGCAGTTCAGGTTTAGATCATCACAAAAGTTTTTTATTATCTTTAGACGTCTCTATGTTTTTGACCAAGTCCAACTCCCAAGACTCTTTGAAGCTGGATTGGCTCGTTGCGGGTGGGGAAACACAACCAAATGCAATAAGGCTCGAGATGCTATCACAAGACCTGGCAATGCTACTCTGCTGCTCTTGTCTGTCTCACTGCACACCCCTCTTGTGCTGATCAACAGGATGTTGCTAAAAGCAAAGCATCTCAAGTTGGAAGAAGCTGACCAGTTAATAGCTCCAGCTCCACCCCAACACGACGCATTTTAGGACTGAAGGCATGCATAGATTTGTACTGCATCCACCCCATGGTAATATTTCCTTCCATATGTTAGTAAGTGTTAAGGGATGTTGCTTTCTGTATTGTCAGCTCTTAATGCCCTGTTGTTGAGATGATGGGGGAAGTGTGTGGTGATCTGAACTTCTTTAATCCTGCAAGGAAGGGCTGGCCAGCCTGTACATTGCTATTGGCTGCTGCCTTGTAAGTGGCTCTGTGGTTTTACTGAAGGTTGGCAAGACGTATTAAAGAGCTCTGTTTTGCAATATTCCCTGAGCCAGGTTTCTAAGAGAGCTTAATATGGAGCCTTCCGATGTGTTCTGATTTGGGATGCTGCAAAGAATGAAATAGCTCTGAACACTAGTCCTGTTTTTGTGCATATAGCATCTCTCCCCCCCCCCCCCCGTCCTTTGCAAATAGAAGGGAGTCTGCTGCTCTTCTGCCTGCTATTTCCTCTGTGTTTTTCCTGCACACAAAAACATACACACACATATATTTTCTCGCTGCTCCTTCTCATCTGCCTTCCATCCTACCTGGGTTTTCTTAAAGTGCTTTCCTAGTTTACACATTATGCTTTTTGAGGCTCATTCTTTTCCCCACTGAAAAGCCTCCTTTAGCACAATCTGAGAAGAAGAGATGTTGGAAACATTCAGCATGTTTTGGAATGACTGCACCTGCTTGTTTTAGCTCTTTCCCCACCCCTGATTTTTAAAAGCAGGGGTTTTTTTCTTTATGATTGCATTTTGAGCCATTTCTGAAAGCAGAAGTTTCTGTTGAGTTTTCTAGGCAAGTTTGTCCAGAATGTACATTTATAAAAACATGAGAGAGACAGAGAGACACAGAGAGAAACATGGGAGCATCAGAAGAATCTTGTTCAATAGGACCAAAGATCCACCTAGTTTAATACTTTGTTGCCAGAGGTGCTGGATGCCTGTGAAAACCCTACAAGGAGGACACTGGTGCAACAGCCCTCCCCATTTGTATATGAAGCCCTGGTGTTCAAGGTACACTGCCTTTGAACATGGAGGCTCAGTAACATGGTTTTGTGTGCTCCAAATTCCATTTAGAAAGCTTTACTTTGATTGTATCCTCTAGAGACCTTTTGCTAGCCTTAATGGCTTTCATAAAAGCACTTTCAACCTCCTCTTGCAGTGCTAGTGGGAAGCAAGAGTTCTAAGGGGAGGAACGGACATAATAGTGAACAGAGTTTTTATATTTGCAGCACAGACACAGGAAAATGCAATAAGTTTATTTAGCAGTATGTGTGAAGGAGCCTATACTATTCTCTCTTAGACCTGGATTCCAACTTATAGCAGGGAGTGTTAAACATGCCCTTCTTCACCTCAGAGCAGTTTTATTGTGTGGTGACACTGTGTTGATGCAGATGGCCAGGCTTTGATGCTAAGCCACTGAGCAGCCACCAAGAGCCACTATGTCTGCATCATCAAGTTAGAATAGTCTCTAAACACTGCTGACCTGATGCTCCACAGTGAATGGTGTTGTTCCAAAATCTGGGGCCACCACAGAAAAGGCCCTCTCGCATGCTTCCACCTTGCAGACCTCCAAGGGCACTGGAGTTGCCAGCATTGTGTCTCTTGTGGATCTTAACTCCTGAGCTAGTGTATAAAGGAGGAAGTAGTCTTTCAGGTATTTGGAAATCAAGCCATTTGGGGCTTTATAGATCAAAGATAAGATATTAAAGTGGATAGGCAGCCAATACAATTATATCAGAAGCAGTGTGATAGGAGTGCCAGTCATTAGTCCAGATGCTGTTTTGCACTAGCTGCAGCCTCTGAGCTGTCTGCTGCCCCTGTTGACCCTGCTGCCCAAGGCAGTTGCCTCACCTTGCCTTGTGGGTGGGCCGGCACTGCAAGCAAGTGGTATAGAGAGGACTGTTTTGTGTTCCTGGTGCCTCCAATGGGCCCTGATCGATACTTAGCATCCGTCCCAGAGAATCCTAAAAATCTCAAAAGAATTTGTGGCTCTCCAATTGAGGTGGCGTCTTGTGGTGTGCTCTTAAGACAAACAGGCAATTGAATTTCAGATACGATATTAGGAGGCAAGCAGTTCCTCCATCCTCCTCATGGCCAGGCCCAGGGGATCGATGCAGTGGAGCAAAAAGCAGGCTATTGCGATGGTTGCTGGCAGTGCATAACAAAGCTTTTTCATAATCTCTGTTATAGATTAGGGAACGAAACTTGGTCTTTACTCCCCAATTGCCGCCATCGCCACACACACTCTTTTAAGTAGCACAGATCTTTATGCTGCTGCCCACAAGCAATGATTGATTGCTTAACTGCTCTGTGTGCTCTTAAGCCAGGCGAAGATAGAGGGGGAAGCTGTTCCTGTTAATTCTACAGAGCACGCATTGAGTTCCAGTCTTGGCGCAGTTCCCATCTCCAGCGTATCTGTTGCTTGCACCTGCATCTTTATCCCCTGGTGTGCTATTTTGTCTCCCAGAGGTGTCATTCTGCAGTTCTGGACCTGTTGCTGAGGCAGCATTAGCATTTGGCAGTTGTTTTTCGTCTGGCGATCCTAAATTTTGTTCGCATGGCTGTGTGTTTTTACATTAAGCACCAACTTACGGTAGGCTGCTTACATGATGCCCTCCTTTGTAAGAAATTGCACGTGTGGAGTACATCCATGTAGCTGCAAACACAGCAAGTCTTTCCTATGTAGGAAATCTGTTGCATTTGGACAAGTCTTGAGGACATTTGCTATTTCAGAGTGGGTGGGTTTTTTTGTTTTTTTGTTTTGTTTTACTAGGTTCACCTCAAATACTGTGAGTAAACTGGTCCAGTTTACTGATTCATCACTTGCATCAAATTCATAATTAGGCCCAATATTAATTTCTTTATTTGTGTAAAATGCTTAAATACAGTTTACAGGATGGAAACATACCACAATGAATTTATAAAGGCAACCATAGACAATAAAATCATCCAGAAACACAAATGTTCAATATCAAACGACATTCGGTAACAAAATGCAACTAAAACCAACCGTGGCTCAACTGGTCTTCCTGGGGAAGGCCAAGAACATCAGGTGTCCCTTCAGAGCTTTTGAGTAGGTCTGCTGGCCTCCAGGTGTCAGGGCATGCCAAAGGCATGGGGACCACGGTTTGACTGACTTCAATGGGAGAAAGTGGAAAGATGTCTCCCTCTGGTATCATGATCCCAGCAGCTGGAGAAAGAGCTGTTGCAATCTGCTAGCTGCATTGGACCTAGCGTGCAGTCCTTGTATGGGATTGCAGGCACACAGTGTGGCCATAACTAAATAGATGAACAGGCTTTTAAGTATGAATTGCATTTCCTACCCAGTATGGGAGCTGTAGCTCTTATTTCTTTATTTGTAAGAATACTTTTCTACTGCAATTTCATACACACACAGAGAGAGAGCTTTTTATTTTAAAAAAATGAGGTGCTATTACCCATCTTGATTAAAGTGGCATGGGTTCTGGCACAAAATGGCTACTGCAGGCAGCAGGAAAAACATGATGGTACTCCACACTGGGGGGGGGCCACAAAAACATACATATTCTCCCTGCCCCCTGCCCCCTGCCCCCCCGCAATCCTCTCTTACTGTATATAAATATAGATATGTGTGAATTGTTGCCCCTTTGAAATTTGACCTGTGCTCAAGGGAAGCCCCATAAAAAAACAAACCCCCCCACCATTCTCCGAAATGTATCTGCAGCTACACAGATGTGCTCCCTACATCTGACGGCCAACACACAGGTCCACCTGCTTGAGGCATTGCGGCCACCCACCACCCATTGTAGCTGGCCCCTCCCTTCCCTAGCTGCCACTACATGGGCTTCTGCAGATCTATCCTGCCCTGAGGGACACAGAAAGAAGCAGGCACAGTTTCTTCTAAACAAAGAAGTTTCTTTTCCATTTTATTGTAGCTTTAAAAAAAGAAGAAGTGGTGTTTATTGCTGCAATAAGTTTATCTAAACCGCTTTTTTATGTCGACCTGAGAAGCGGTATATAAATATCTCAAATAAATGAATAAATGCACACTCACAACCCCATGTGCAAACAACCAGAATTGCAGATCACCACCTAGCTGTGAAAAAGAGGCTTGTCCGCACAAGCCCTGGCAGTGTAAAGTTTTCAACAAACACCTAAAATTTCACATTAAAAGATGCCTAGTGAATCTCTATTGGAAGAGCATTCCATAAGACTGGGTCAGCGATACTGGAGGCTCTATTTCACGTTCATATCAATGAGCCTCACCAACACAGGGCAGAGGGGATGGGCACAGCCAGAGATGCTCCTGCAAATAATCTCAGGGAGGGTTCAGGTGGTCGCTGAGGCCCAAGCTTATGCAACCCTTAAGCATTAGATTTTGTCCCAAGTCATTCTGAGCCCATATAGTGCACTTACAGAACTGCTGCTAAAAAGAACTGTTAAGAATTTCACCTTCCATTGTTCTTTTAAAGTTTCTTGTCCCTAACATTACAAAGGTAGGCTTTAAAGTGTGAGTGATGTCTGGCTCAGTTGCGCCAGAGGGATGCTGAGCAGAATTCCTCCCATCTGCTGCCTCTCACTTCTTGCTCCTTCCCAGGTCTAGCAGAAGCCGAACCATGACCTGACAGATGCATGTCCCTGTTCAAAGCAGCAGTGTGCCCTAGAAGCCACTGAGAATGAAGACATCACTCTTCCTGTCTAAGGGAGATTTATATGCGGCTGCTTCTGCTCCCTGACTCCACACTGATTTTGCTTCTCCCAGCCTTTCGCTGCCTGGTATCTTATTGCCTGCCTGTTTTCAGTCTTCAGCAGCTTCCTCCTTAGCAGTGGGCTGATCAGCTCCTTGGCCGTAGTGTGAGGTGTTCTGCTTGCAGGAGGGAGCTGGACCAGGAAGCGCCAGTCTGGGTTCTTGTCAGCATTGCTCTTTCCTTCATTGTGATTTATTCATTGTTATATTTATAGGTAAAGGCGCCATCTTCTCCGGATGATTGAGGGGTCCCAACACCACGCATGTGATGTCACAGGACATCCTGACGTCACGTGTGTGATGTCATGAGGAGCCAGAGGGCGGAGCAGAATCCCTCTGAACATTTTGTGTGTGCGCACAGCCCTCGAAGTCCCCCCTTCCTGGGGACCCAACTAGGCCTGCCTCCCTCCCTCTCTCCCGGCATGTAGCTCTTGTGTGGGGCTTTCTCGGCTGGTGGCTGGTGGGTAAAGTAATGGGGAGCTGCCATTGCAGCTCCTTGCCAAAGACTCAAGGAGCCCTAGATATGCCTCTGTTCAGATCAGCTCTCCTCATAGTATCTTGTGATTACATATAATCATTTTTCCATGTCTTTCTTAATTAAGACTTTGAGTAATTTTCCTGTTCATTAAATGTTTCCCAGCACCCTCCTTCATCCGTCTACAAAACAATGCAAGATGAAGCAAAATTGCCACACCTAGCCGATTTTCTCTTAAGGCATACAGTGTTTTATGCATTCCATCAGTCTATTCTTTCAGCGTTCCAGATATAAGAGGCGTCACATAACAGTACTGTACTGGAAAGCAATTAGTTGGTTCTGCACAGTAAAAGTTAGGCACGAGCCTTTCCAATTTAGCTAGACCACAGGCTCAAAAGAAAAAGGAATCTTTAAAATGATACAGTTTTAAAGATGATTATTTTCTCCATCATGCCTACTAGTTAGGAAGGTTGTAGCACTGCTTTCAGGATAAGAGGCCACATTGGAAAGCCCAAGTGAATAGAGATCGACACAAGCGTTCATGCCTGATGCAGGGCAGATCCAGAGACAGGTTCTGCCCCCCCCCCATTCTAAATGCAGTTCTTCCTGCAGTGTATGTGGCAGCCTGAGTATATTTAGGCTTTTTTCTTTATTCAAGTGACAATTGTATAATTCAGAATGTGAGGCCAGTTTATTTAATGGAGCCTCTTTTGCAATCAGGCAACTTACATGGGGGTTATGTTTTGGGGGTCGCACCTAAAGCCAAAATCGTGTATAGTGAAAACACACTGGGTTCAATAGGGGATGGGATTACAAAAGTATTTCCCCCGAATTTCCACCCCCTTTTTATTTATTTATTTAGCCAAGTACGTAAAGCTGAAAGCACGTTAAATGCATGTGAATTTCGGGATTACTGTAGCAAACATAGGAAAACTTTTTTTCCCCTGTTGAAAGCTGCTATTATGTTAGCTTATTAACAAGTCCGTCCATCCCCCTTTTCTAGACATTGGCTGCAATTCTAACCTCATCTACATAGAAGCATTCTATGAATTCAGTGGGTCTTACTCCTAGGCAAGTGGGATTGGGATTGCAGTCAGATTCAAACTTCTTCTTTTCAAAAAAGGATGGTTTGGCCTGGTTCTCTATGCAGAATTAATTGCATGTCTTGAATCACTAGATTCTACAAGTGGTTCAGTCAAAATGCACCCACTCCACCAGCTGCTATCCAGTTTTATTGATGCCTCTTATAGCTGTCCTTCCTGGTTTTTCTGCATTTTGCTAACTGATTATAGCCTTTTATGAGGTTAGCAAGATTATCGTCTCACCTCTGTAACACAAAACCATAGAACACAACAAGGCTTCCTTTATTTTACCTAAAGGCATTTGACTTGAAGTTGTTTTCTATTTTTATTTTTTAAAGATTTTATCCCACTCTTCCTTGAAGGAGCTTAGGCAAATATACATGGCTGTCCTTCCAGTAGGTTAGGTGGAAATACTGTTTTGCCCAAAAGATACCCCAGTTGAGCTTTAAGGCCAGGCTAAAATCTCCATGTGAGATTGGAACATGGTTCTAGTCTAAGGGCAGAGCCATACTGTGGGTATTTGAAAAGCTCTGAGGGAGGTTATTTGAGGATTTTGAGTTAGGTGTTATCAGCATAGTGGGGGTGGACAGTTCTGTTCCTTTTTTATATCAAATACAGGTGAAGTGATGTGTTGAAAAGGTGGCTGAAATCAATAATGGGCTCAATGGGGTGCCAGTAAACTGGGTCATCCTATTGGCTGGTGATACAGTTGGTCAAAGACTTGGGATACGGCTTGTTCTAGGTTGGGTTGCACTGCCCCCAAAGCAGCCTTCGTCAACCCTCCAGCGCTTTTGGACCTATTTGCTCTGGCCAGCACAGCTGTCAATGGCAGATATAGTCTAAGACAGCTAGAAGGTGTCAAGTCCCAAGGCTGCCCTAAAGAATCAAACTTGGTACTATTAGTTCCAGCCCTGCAGACACTCACATGTCATTTATAGCGTAAAGCACCTCTAGACAAAGTTGATTGGTTTATAGCTGTGACTCATATTCTGTTAGCATTCAGGTTTGACTACTGTAATGCACTATATGAGGAAGTGCTCATGAAAGTTTAGTAACTTTGATTGGTCCCAAATACAGCTGCTACTGTGCAGATTGGTAGAAATAGCAGGCAGTATGTCTGGTCCCATATTAACATTACCAATATTTTTAAGATTGGGATGCTAAACCTGGTGATCTCCAGATGTTGATGGACTCCAGCTCCCAACATCTCCAGCCAGAATGGCCAAGGGTCCAGGATAACGGGAGCTGTGGCCCTCTGGGTATTGCTGGAGTGCAGGTTCCCCACCCCTGCATGGTTGTTGTTTTTTTTAAAAAAAATGGAAACCCACCTTTACTTTTGGAGGTAAAGTAGTGGCAACCAGAGATGGGGCCTTCTCTGTGGTGGTGCCTCAGCTGTATCTCCTTTATACACTATTCTGATTCCTACACTGATTGTTATCTTGTTGTACCGGAGGTCCAAGTGTTCAACTCTGCTGCTGTTTTTAATCTGCAGAAAACTGTACATTTCTGTTTATAATATATGTGTGTGTGATATAGTTTTTCTTTTAAGGCACAATGCCTCAAAGGCTACAGTTGGACGGTGAGCTGTCTATATTTTAAATAACGAAACTGCTTTTTTTTCTCTCTCTTTTTGGTCCAGGTTGGCTCAGTCTCTGTTCGCCCTCTTTGTGTCATCACTTGCGATCTCTGTGGTTTTTGCCATCATCCCAGTCTGCCACAATGTGGTGGTGCTTGCAGTGGTCATGGCCGTGGCTGGCCTGGCCATGGGCTGCATCGACACCCTCTCCAATATGCAGCTGGTGAAGATTTATCAGAAGGACTCTGCTGTCTTCCTACAGGTTAGACAAGTAACAGGGGGCGGTTGGCCCCTTTTTTAACTCTCTCTAGATGCTTGGAGTTTTTTTCCCATCTTGAGCCCTTGTTACGGACCCACACATGTTGGCTGGCCTGGTATCCTTGCGCCCTCCCACCAAGGAAGGGGTTGCCATCTCCTCTGATTTGCCACACTGAATGAGACCATTAGTGAGTAACTCCTGCCAGCGCTGCCATTTTTTAGCAGGAGAGGAGGATGAGGGGTATGTTTCTGTTTTGCTGAACACCAGAGGCACTTGGAAAAACTGGCCAATCTTGCTGCTTTCGTGGGTGGCTCTGGAATCAATGCAGCCAGAAGAAAAGTCCCTACCCTGTCTTTAAACTTGGCGGAAAGGTAGGACTCTCCCTAATTCAGGACTAGTGGCCAGAACAATCTGCAGTCACCAATGGCAGGTGCATTTGTGGACCTTTGATCTTTCCTTGTGTCCCAAATCCTTGTTCCTCTCTGTCTACACACACTGTATTTTGTAAGGTTGAATGCTATCCCTATTGTACAGCTAGAATCGTTGAGTCACATCAGGACAGAACCTCTCCTGCTTTCAGCTTAGCATTTAATTGTGAAACTGGAAACAGTTTCCAGGCATCACTTTCCAAAAGAAGGTACAATTTAGCATCAGAATCTAACTCACGGAGGGTTCCTTAGTTGCTTGGATTGTTCCTTCGTTGCTGTGCTGCCTCCATGTTCTGCCCATCTTTCACATAGACAGTGAAGATCACCAGAGCATATGTCTTTTGAGAACACAGGGACTGAATGCTCTCTGTAAGCACATCCAGTTACCTCACACATGCACAGTGTCCTGTGCACTGAAGATGGTGGTGTAGCCACACTTGCATCACCATTGTCTTCCTGAAGTTATTTGCACCATTAATAATCTCACTCTAAATAAGCAGGTTCAGATATAACTACTCAATTCTGTTTTGGAAGAGTTCATGGTAACATTGAATAGCTGCACAGAAACGGGTCTGTGTAGGTATTGCCAATTTTGTGTGTCTTGGGGCATCTCTGCGCAGCCCATGCCCCCATCCAGGTGCTTTGACATGGACTCGAAGTGGAAGAAGCAGCGCTTTTTTTCTTAAAAAATGCTTAGGGGTACTCTCATTTTCCTACTCATATTGAAATACTGCCCCTCAATGAGGTCAAACTTAGATCCACAAAATGTTTAGGGGGATGCGTACCCCTGCGTCCCCACAGCAAAAAAGCATGGGAAGAAGTAACCTTGTGGTGTAAAGCTGGCTCCCTTCACACTCACCCAATACTATTGCAGCAGTGACACCGTCTTAATTGTGCTAGCTGAAGTCCTAGTTCATACTGTTTGCAGCACATCATATGTCTGCACCTGATAGACGCACAATACGCCAGTCACTTGTATCACAGCAGCAAGAGCACTTCAGTTGCTGAGGATCACATATAAAATCCTTTGCAGACCTAATGAAATAACACGTTCTAACCCACAAAGGATTTGTGTGCCGTTAAAAGTTGCATGTTGGGAGTTGTTTGGAGATAATGCACCAGTGGTGATGGGAGAAGGCTTGTTCCAGGAAGGATGCTAGAGCAGAACCTTCTGAGTTGAGGGTTCTAACTGTTAAGGTTTCTAATGTGCTGTCAGAGGTGCAGTGTGTGCCTTGTTGCTGGACATAATAAGGATATTTTCTCATTCCTTTGTGTAGGCCCTTCATTTCTTTGTGGGCTTTGGTGCCCTGCTGAGCCCTCTGATAGCCGACCCTTTTCTCTCGGACACCAACTGCATCCTGACAAACAGCACGGCCACTGGCAGCAGCAACCTCCCTCACATCCGGAAGTCGCTCGTCCCCCATCATCCTGGAAACTTGTCACACTACGACCTGCCAACAAAAGGGCTGGTGGTGACGCGGGTGTCTTACGCCTTCTGGATTATGGCTTTGATCAACGTAAGTAGTGACACCCTCCTCCTGGCTGATCGTTCCAGCCCAGCGCTTAAAGTGGTTTGACCAGCAGGGCAGCGGGGGGGGTGGGATGTGTCTCTTGGCCGGCTTCTTCAGAGAAGCCCGCATAAGGCAGTGTGTCAGGGAAAGTAACTTGATTCCACTTTGCACGTCTAAAACCGTTTTTGGTTTTATGTTGGCACCAAATAAGCTCTTCTGTCTTCCTGCCTTCATTGTTCTCTCATTAAAGTGAAATAGTATTGAAAGAAATAGTAACTGCAACAAAATGTGGCAGTGTGGGATGTTGCTGTCCAGGATTTCAGCCACGCTGTTCCATCATTTGTCATTCTTTCCATTATCCTTTCCCACATCTACCCACACACCCCATGCAGCCAGTCAGCATTCTCTGGCCTCTGGGCTTGTTCAGTCTCATTGGGCCATTTTGAGAGTCCACACCAGGTTTATTTCTTTAAAATATATATATATATATATATACTTCTGCAAATCTTTGGGCTTTAATATTTTATATTTTTTGTATTATGATCATTTAAAAACCACTTTGATACCACCTTTCATTCAAAAATATCAAGGTGGTTTACAGCCATCTGAAATACAATCAATACTTTTAAAACCACAAACACAATATAGTCAATACCCGGCTAATATCCACCTATTACCAAGCAACGCACAGCTACGTTGCCCCCATTAGCATTTCTGACTTCATTTCAGTGGCTAATGGAAGTCCAAAGAGCAAAGAACTGATCAACCTCTTTTGAGTGGCAGCACAGGGAGTGATAACCTTGGCCTGGAAAACACTAGAAGGAATTTATTTTGACAGGTGGCACAGACAGGCATGGCAAATCACCCTCCTGGGAAAGTTGACCCTTGTTATGAAGGTCTCTAGGACAAAATAAGCATGACAAACCTATGGCACGATTTTATTGTGTACACATACCATAGGAAACACAGGCAATCACCTCCCTTAGCGTATAGAAGGCTTTGGACATACTGATATCATGGGCATTGTTGCCTTTCCGCTTTTCTTCCTGCTTTTGGAATTGCCTGTGTGTAGCTTCCAGTCTTCCTGCCGGTTACCATAGAATCAAAAGGGTCTGTGTTGCTTTGGACGTATGGTTGTGTTTCTCTTGGGGTGTGAATGATCTGCACATACATGCATGTGCAAAAGCAGTTGACGGGAAACTCGAGTGCAGCCTTCCCCATCCTACTGTAGCCTCAAGACAGTGTTGAACTCCATCTCCTGTCAACCCCAGCCAGCATGGCCCATGGTCAGGAATGGTGGGATCCAATGCACACCCAATGCAAGTTAAAACATGTGATTTCCCCCAAAGAATCTGGGGAATTAAGAGTTTTCCCCTTACACAGCTACAGATCCTAGTACGCTAAACAAATTACGGTTCCCAGGATCTTTTGGGGCAAGTCATGTGCTTTACATGTATGTTTAGGTGTACTTTAAATGTATGGTGTGGATCTGCATCATTGAGTCTCAGCAAATGTGCTTAGTGCAGCCTGGCTAAGCTGGGTGGTAGGAACGCCTCCATCTTGAACATTGTCTTGTATGGAACAGCCTCCACTGTGAGCATTATGCATGGTACAGCTGTCACACATGCCTCTTGGTTTCCAAGATGATAATACTCACTATGCTTGGTTCATGATGAGAGGTAGGAAAGACTTGGGAGACAAATGGGAATATTTAAGGAAATGGAAATGCTTTTTTTAAAGCATCTCTGTTATTAAGGTTCTTGCTGGTTTTTGAGTGTCAAGTTCAAGCGGAGGCTCTCCTCTTCTCTTCTCTTCTCTTCTCTTCTCTTCTCTTCTCTTCTCTTCTCTCCATCCCTCTCTCTATCTCTTCTCCCTATCTCTCTTCTCTCTAGCCTCATTCCCTGTGCTTTGCAGCTAGTTATGAACTAAACCAGTTATTCGAGCTCTGTGAGAAGCAGGGCGAGATTCAGAAATATTACTGCCACGTTACTGAGAAAATATAGGTGTAAACTAAGCAAACAGGACAAGAGTTCACATTTAGCGAAAGGCTTTGTTTTCTTACATCATTGATTTGTCCTCACCTTGCCAGCTTCTCCTTGCCAGCTCTGGCACTGAACCTAACCTGGCTGGCTCCCTAAGCTGCCTGGATGGGAGACTGTTTGGGAAATAATATAAGCCACACTGAGCTTCTTGGATGAACAGAAGGATGCAAAAATGGCATGCCAGAGTTTCTAACTAACTGGCTTATCAGGATAGAGTAAGGTCGCTGGTGCTCACTGCCCAAATTGTCCCCTCCTCCTTTTGTCACACTGGGAAGGGGAAAGCTACAAGAACGAGCTAAGAATAAGCCATGGTTTGTTCTTGGCTTGTCCCTGTTGTTTGTTTGAGAAGAGCAAGCAAGGAATACTGGTTTGCTTGTAACGGTTTGTTCCCAGCACAGCAAAGGAAGGGTGGGCATCAGTGATCTGTGCAGTGTTCACCAGCATGTTTGCTGGTAAGATGCAGATTAAGTGTGCCTTATGCTTATGTGTGTCCTTGGATTATTGTGCACTTCCCATTTCCTTGACTGCTGAGAAGATCCAGGGACAGGGCTGCCTGGTTTGGATGAAAAAGCATCTGAAGACACGGGGTATCTTTGCCTCTATAGTTTTACCTAGAGCAAAAATTACGAACAGCGGGTGTTCCTATGAGGCAGCTGATCTGCTGGCCCACATCGCATCTTCAAGGTGAGACTCCCTAAATAAAAAATGGGGTTCCAGCTGTTGCCAAACTACAACTCCCATCATCTCTGGCCATTGTCCATAGCAATGGGGCTGGTGGGACTTTGAGTCCAACAATGTCTGGAGGGCCACAGGTTCCCCATGTCTGCCCTGTATCCCAGCTTTAGTGAACTTGTAGTTCATTTTCTTCTCCATGCGCGCGCACACACTCAGTTTCTCTTGCAAACTGATATCTGTTCATGTGCAGACACACTTCTGCCCTTTTCTCTTCGCCAGGATGGGGGCAGGTGAAGTCTCTTTCTCCAAGACCTGGTAGGTGTCTCATTCAACCCAGATTTCTGACCGTCTTTTGACCATTCACTTGCAGGAGCTAACTGTTCTGGGCGGAGAGCCAGCAATCTCTGGCTAGTAGCCATAACAATATTGCATTATTAGGTAATTAGTGTCAGTCCCGTCCCCCGAATACATTCAGAATATGTTTCTGAATACATCAGAAATGTATTCTGAATACATTTTGGAGGTATTCTAAAGCAGCATTTTGATACCAAATTATGACTGAACTTCAAGCAGCCAAAGTAATTTTTTCTGGGTAGCATCTCCGTAAGTTCTGTTGCTAAAGGGACAGTTGGTTATATTTATTTCCTCCTGATATCATAAGCCTCATCTTTTTAAAGATATCCCATACAATATGCTTGCATAATTTTTTAACACTTCACAGCCTCTGCAAGGATTTCTAGCTCTTGGGTGGGCGTTGAAACTTCTATTTTCTGCCTCGCCTGTGAAATATTAGAACCACCTGCTTGTATGCCAGATCTGATGTAGTCAAGCTAAACATATGGAGCTGGTTGGATAAGGAGGACATGAATGTTCTCTGCCTAAAGAGGAGGCTGGTGAAAAGCTCCAGCCTGAGATTCTGCAAAATGCAACAGAAGCACTATAACCAGGTTCAGTGAAAAGTGAAGAATCTCTGGTCACAGAGGAAAGAACAGGTGAAAATGGGCATCAACAGTCAACATATTACATGGAATTTATTAAAATGATGTGAATTATGTAGCTTCTCTTTAGTAGCGGAATACAGGGCAGATTACAATATATAAAACATAAAAATATGTAAGATAGTGACAAACAAAAACAGTTTAGAAGGCCACTGATTGCTTAATTAGCCCATGGCCTGGTTGTAGTGGAACGTTTTTGCCTGACACCTAAAGATATGTAACGAAGGTACCAGGTGAGTCTGCCTGGGGACAGCATCCCACAAGCAGGAAGCCACCACAGAAAAGGCCTGTTCTCATATTGCCGCCCTTTGTGGAGGAGGCACATCATGAAGAGCCTCAGATGATGGTTGCAAGGTCCAGTTAGGCTCAAGACACAGGAACTACTGAATACCATTGCTCAGGGAAGACAATATTGCATTGGATAGCTCCTGCATCTAGCATAGCACAGCAGCTTTTGAGACAGAGCAGTTGTATCTGATAAGTGGGAACTTAAAATTTCAGCAGTGGTACTCTTAAAGGTCCACAGTCATTCTTAAATTGTCTGAGTGCTGGTTTTGGGCAAGGTTTGTGTGTAAGTTCATGAACCCTCTCCCCTGGTTATAGAAACGAGCAGTTGCAGCACCCTTAAAACAGGTCTTGGCTAAAGGGAGAACCTCCCGCCACATGAACTCAGAGACTTTGTCATAGTTGGCACCTGAGCACGGAAACACTTGACAGCTCTGCTGAAAATGGTTACGTTTTGCTTCCTGTTACACCAACCTGTTGAGTAATAGAACCTGGAGGTGAATGCAGCAGGTGACAGCAAAAAGAGCAACTGGGCTCATCTCAATGTGTTGCATGAACAAGCAAGTCCTCCTCTGTGCTGCCTGATGTGCAATTCAAGGCGAGCCTTTGGGGGCCTTTCTAAAAATGGACCCTTGTCCCAAAGGCTTTTGTTTGTTGAAGCAATGGATATGGCCATATGTTGGTAATGAAGTAATGAAGAAAACAAGGGACTTTTAAAAACTGGGATGATAGTCCATAGAAATCTCTGTGTTTGGGGAACTCAGAAGCTTGGTCATAGCTTGGTTGTTGAACGCCCTGGAACTCAGACATTTTTGCTCCTGAATGCCACAAACCTGGAAGTGATTGTTCCAGTTTGCGAATGTTCTTTTGGAACCCAAAGGTCTGATGGGACTTCTGCAGCTTCTGATTGGCTACAGGAGCTTCCTGCAGCCAATCAGAAGCCACAATTTGGTTTTCGAACATTTTGGAAGTCGAACGGACTTCCAGAATGGATTCCATTCAACTTCCAAGGTATGACTGTATCTATATCTATAACCTCACTTCTTACGGGGATATACCATATCTGGGCTGTTTTCCTGAAGGCCAAACACACTAATAAACTTGGTGCATTCTGCTGAAAATTATGCTCACATATTGGTAGACGCACCTTGAAATGGGATCATGACTTTTTTAGAATTGGGACAGAGGGCAGGAGGTACTAAGTGAGGGTGGGGGTGCTAGTCTTCTGCTTACAGCAGACAAACGAGGCAGGATTTGTACTTTTTTATACAGTGGACGCTTGGGTTGCGAACGTGATCTGTACGGGATGCACATTCGCAACCTGCAGCATTCGCAACCTGCATCTGCGCATCTGCAGGTTGCGATTTGGCGCATCTGCGCATGCGCAAAGCACAATTTAGCACTTCTGTGCATGCATGACCGCCGAAACCTGGAAGTAACCCGTTCCAGTACTTCTGGGTTTCGGCGGTCCGTAACCCCAAAAAAATGCAACCTGAAGCGGCTGTAACCGAGGTATGACTGTACTAGCAGCAAGCGTTTTCTTGAGCAAGCTTGGAGGTAGAGCACTAAATAAAAACAAATGGGTGATGGGTCAAAGGATATAATGGGAGAGGACCATAGCTCTGTGTGAGAGCATCTGCTTTGCATGCAGAAGGTCTCAGGTTCAATCCCTGGCTTCTCCTTTCCTTTAATAGTTGTTTGATATGCAGAGATTTATCAAATGAAGATATTCCAGAGCTGGCTGTAGGAAAAGGTTCACCTGCCAAATTTTCCGTGACAGACTGCTGTAAATAGCACAGGAGCAGGGCCAGAAGAAAAAGCTGGCAACTGAAGTTGCATCACTCAGCCCCTGATGATCACCTGAAAATTACCCAATTCAAGGCACCCTTAGATTTGTGTGTGTGTGTTTATCATGTCCAATGTGCATGGCTGAACACCACTAGTGTTTTTAAAAATATGGTGTGTGATTTACTCCTAGCGGCAGATGTGTGACCAACAGAACCCTTGATGTTCAGAAGAGCAATGTCACCCAAGTGTGAAACTGCTAGTTTTGTTAGGCAAAGACCTACTTACTTAAATACTGTTACACTTTTCAGATCAGATCAAATTAGTTGTTTGGACCATATGCCAGCAATAACAATAAATACTTGTTATACGGCATACCGAATGTGAGTTCATAATTAAGCCAACCCACTGCATCCACAGGATAGCAAAACCTCTTAGATGAGCATTCTCTGCCGCAAAGACATATGATAGGTAGAGCCACCTTTTCCGTGACCTTTTCCATCAATGCACAGGATGGGTTTTGCTTCGCATTGTGGGCAGAGCATTTAGCCATGAAATGATTTTGCTGTTTGTTTAGGCTGGTGAGGCCTGTGCCAAGGCCTCGCATTAAACAGTGTACCAGGAGGTCTAGTATATTACCCCAAAGCAAGCATGCCGAGTTGTGAGATCCTGTAATAAAATGCCTTGGCCCTGCCTGTGTGTATCTTGGCAGATGAACCCAGCTGTGGAAGCCAAACAAGCTCATCAGCACCATTCAGCCTACCCTCCCCCCCCCCCCCTTTTTCTTAAAGGTGAAAAACACAAGCAGATATTGAAAAGGGGTCGTTGTTCCTGTGAAACACTTGGATGGACTTGGAAGAGGGATTTCACACAAGCATAGTATTCAGTTGTCCATCTGAGACTGTGCTACAATAAATCTGTTAAGTCTTTCAGGGGCCACAATATTATTTTATTCTCCTTTTTTTAACAAAGAAAAAGAAAGAGTTGCCTGCATGGAAGCTTCACTCCCTCCAAGTGGAGGCCTAGCTCCCTTGCCCCAGATGTTTTGAGTGGGGGTTGTGGTTATTCAGGAGGGGAGAGGAAAGCACAGCACTCTGCCCATGCTCAATAACATTTGTTGCTTTTTCTTAACATTTGGATGCCTTCCTACCAAGTCTGAGCTCAACTTCGCAAGCTGCATTTTTGCACCTGGAACTTTGCAAAATAAAAATTGCATTTGCAAAACAGATCCTTCCACCTGTGTGTTTCCAATTTGGTTGATCTGTGGATTGTTTCTCCTCACCTGCAACATGGCTGCCCCAGCACCACTATTGCAGAAGGCAATAGTGCTCCCACTATCTGGGAGGCAGAATGCCACCTTCACATTTCCCCTTGAGTTCAGGATAGAAATTGGCTGAAGCCATGTGCTCCTTATCCTGCCATGTGGCATGGCAGTTCAAATGCTGGACTAGATGTGACACCTGGGCGGTTAAGTCCAGTCAAAGGCAACTATGGGGTTGCGGCGCTCATTATGGAGTTGCGGCGCTCATCTCACTTCAGGCCGAGAGAGCCAGAGTTTGTCCACAGAAAGCTTTCCAGGTCATGTGACCAGCATGACTAAACTGCTTCTGGCGGAACGGAACACCGTGACAAGTGCTAGAGCGCACAGAAATGCTGTTTACCTTCCCTATTTATCTACTTGCACTGGTGTGCTTTCAAACTGCTAGGTTGGCAGGAGCAGGGACAGAGCAAAGGGAGCTCACCCCATCACACAGATTCGAACTGCCGACCTTCTGACTGACAAGCCCAAGAGGCTCAGTTGTTTAGACCACAGCACCACCTGCATCCCAGATGACACCCATATTCAAATCTTCATTTGTTAATGAGGCTGGGCAGGGAGATCTTGAGCCTATCAGCCAAAACTACCAAGCAGGTCTGTTGGAGGCTAAATTGAGAGGGGAAAAGAACAGTGTACAGTGTTCTTGGAGGCAGGGTAGGATGAAAATGAAATAAATACATACATCACAGCCCTCTGCATTATAAAATTGCTTTGGGCATAGTTTTATGGAAAAGCAGGACCAAACAACAACTCCTCTTGACTAAATATTGATTTCTCAATAAATACATGATAAGTACCCACACTCTTCTGAGAGAAGCTGTCTGTGCAGGTATGCAGGCTTTAGATCTCATTTGTTCTCATAGCTCTACCAGCAACATCCCCAAATTTCTCTTTAAGTTTTAATTCCTGGAAAAGGAGGATATATGGCAACCATAGAATGCATTCTGCAGCTTTGTTGATACTTCTGAAGTTCTGGTACAGTAAGCCTGCAACCTACGGACATTGAACATGTGCATTCAGTTTTATGTGCGTGGCAAAAATAAATTTAAAAGGGTTGGGGTTCCGGGGGAAATGACGTTGGCAATCAGAGCTGCCATTGCACCCAATGAATTTTGACTCTACACAATTTTGGCTTTAGGCGCGATCCACAGAATGTAACCTCTGTGTAAGTTGCGGGCTTACTGTAATTGTGGATCAGGATCAAAGTTCTGAGTGGGGTTTTCAGCGTCCTGACTATTGGCTGATACTGGGAACTTTCCAGAGGTGTGTGCAGAAACTTTCACCCCAAGGAATTCTGGCAGTTGCAGCTTCAGGGCTCAGAATGTGGCTTTCATGGGCAAAAGTTATGCCAGGTGCCACCTGTGAAATGAACCATGCAGATCTAGCAGACAGTAGTGCTGAAGGTTCCATTGGGGTCACCTTTTCCCCTAAGAGCAGCATCCTGTATTTCAGTATAGGCAACATGGCTCGGATTCCCAGTAGTGTTTGCTGCTCTATAGGCAGAAAAGGAGCTTGGGCTGACAACAGATTAGCAGACATTGGAGGTGCATCACAAGCTAATGAATGCTACCTTTAAAAATTATCATTTCAGCTTTACTGCTCCAACACTTAAACCAGAAGCAGGAGACGGTTGTGCATGTAGGGTTTGGGTGTGTGTGATATCGGTAGACTGTAATATCTGAAGGCAGTACTGCATGTGTTCTCTCTAATTTGGCTTTGTTTATTTTTAGAGGAGCTAGCAGAAGAAAAGCTGTAGCAAAGATTCTAATTACCATTTTCTTGCTTTTGAACTGGACTAACATGCTGACCCAGTTAAGCAAATCACGGCAATTCTTGGGTAATCTTCCAACCTTTGCTCACAGAGGTGACACTCTAGATGAGATTCCTCTTCACATATTTAATTATCTGTGTTCATTAAAAATCCAAGCCTTCCATTTGTCTTGAGTTTTCCATTCTTGGGAGCCTGAGATTGATTTCCTCATTTTATTCTGGAGCATTGCGACGACTTGTGTGCAATTCAGAGACCAAATCTTAGTTATATCCACAGGGATCCCACAAGAAGATTAATAGGGATATTTTGGATGCTACTTCAATGTTTGATAGTGCTTTCTCCTGGCTAGAACTCACCTTTGCAGCATTTGCAAACAAAGTCACTATTGCCATTTCGCAGAGGGCAAAGTAAAGGCTGAGACAGTAGGGGAAATACAGGATACCGGCCTTATACATGTCTAGCCTGCTGTTCTCCCAAAGGGCAGCGTGAGGTCTGTTTATTCTGCTCTGATTTTCGTGGCCATTAACGCAAACTGCTCCTGACCTCCGGAAGGATTCTAACTATTAGGGGAAAACGTTTTTCTTCCATGGGACCGAACTGGCTGTTCTTGTTCCTATTGTTCTGTGAACAATGGAGGGCTCTTAACTGAATTCAGCTGAGGAGGGGGAATCAAGAGGGAGCAAATGCTCCATACATTGAAAGAATACCTCCAGCCAACAAAAACCAGGAAATGTGCACTTGCAGCTCCTGCTCATTCACAGAGGAGAGCAAAAACAATATATGTGAAACCAGCTGTTAATGACAGACGACCTGGCTTCTGCCATCAGTCTGGTGGGGAGAGGAGGAAGATGGCTTCATTTATTCCTTTCATGCCCCACCACCATCCCACACCCCAGCAGATATTAACTAAAAGTAAGCACTGTGACATTTCAGAGTTTTAAATTCATATGTTCTGTCTTGGGGCCGCAGAGGAACAGCAGAGGGCGCTGCTTCTGTGTACCTGAACACAGAATTACACAGCGGTCTCTACAGTAAAGCAGGACTGAATTGTCCCATGTGAAAGCTTAGGCAACGCCTGTTCAGATTTGTGGGGAGAGAGGCGAGGAGACACCGTGGCTTGTAAGCCCCTCCTTTCTAAATGTGTAGCTTCTCAAGGCAGTTTGGGTTGGACACAAACGCCGTGGGCATCTATGCTGCACGCCTACCATCTGCTGGCAGAGCAAGAAATGGCACTGCATTCTCGACGTCAATATATCAACTGAAAACGGGTGTATTCTTTATAACTCACAGGGAAAGTTAGGTTCTAAAAAAGGGAATGAGCCATTTAGTGGTGGTGAGCTGTGGGAGGAGTTTTTTCCAGAAGATGTCTGAAATGTTATGTTCTAGGTTAAGTTTTTTACAGCTTGGCTTGCTGGGAGTCCCAGTATACCAGGGCATTTCTTTCTTTCTTTCTTTCTTTCTTTCTTTCTTTCTTTCTCTCTCTCTCTCTCTCTCTCTCTCCCTCTCTCCTTACGCAGTGGGTGGGGGGTGTTATTGTTACAAAACTGTTGATTTTAAAGATTTATAGCCCACATTTCATCAATCCAGCTACAAGTAATGTTGCTGAACTCGCAGCTCCAGTGTGAAACAGAGTGCCAGACTTGGACCTGGGAGGCCTGGGTTCAAATTCCTGCTCATCCCTGAAACTCACTGGGTGGCCTTGGGCCAGTCACTGCCTCTCAGCCTCGCCTACCTCACAGGATCGTCGTGAGGATAAAATGGGGAGAGGAGAGCCATGTACATCACCTTGAGCTCCTTGGAGGGAAAAAGTGATATCTAAATGCAACAGTTAAATAACTCCAATCATTCCTGACCATTGGCCATGCCAGCTGGGACTGGCGGGAGCTCAATGGCATTTGGAGGTGCAAAGGTTTACAAGCTCTGGCCTTTAAGATGTGCCCTGCATAAATAAAAAATCTGAGCCAACAGCAGCCCCCTCCGGGGAGAAGGGCAGGTATCAACCCTAGGGTGCGCCCGGCTGACTTTTCTTTTTGCCTGTTCTTCTGCAGCTCCCAGTCCCCTTTGCGGTCTTCCTGCTGCTCTACAAGGAGAGGCTGGTGCCTTGGTGTCAAAGCGGCAGCCCCCCACTACTGCCTGCGGATGAGCTGGCACTGGAAACGCGGATAGCCGACCGGGATGACTCTTCCACCTCCTCGCCAAGAACTCAGCCAGAAATAGGTGAGAGCTGCCAATCCGGGCTGTGCATGCAGAGCCCATTACCATGGTATCAGAGCCCTCTTCTCTCCACAGGTTGTAGCGAGAGGGTGTGTTGTTTTGCTGCGGGAAAGGGATGAAGCAAAGCACAGAGGGAAATATTCTGCATTAAGCTTCCCAGGTTTTTCCTTGTCTGTGGCTACTGCCTTGATGGCTGTGTTCTACCTCCTCTGACAGAGACAGTGTGCTTCTGGCCAGAAACTGCAAGAGGGCAAAGGGCTGTCAAGCTCAGGTCCTACATGGGTGGCCACTGAGACAGCGGCGTAGCAAACCCTGCTGGCGCCTGGGGCGGAACATTTTAAGAGAGCGCCCAAAGTGGTTGAGCTTTTCTAAGGACACCGGTAAAAGCCGTCAAGCTTTTTTGGGAGAACATTGCCAACAGTTGCTCAGCCAGCTTTTTGAGGGATGGACACTGGCTCCACGGGCCCCCATGGCACCCTGCAACCCCCACCCCCCCACACACACACCTGGTGCAAAGGCTGAGCAGCAGCAACAAGGCTCCCACTGCCCCTCCGGTCTCTTTGGGGCTTCCTCCACCCTCACTGAGGTCCTCTTCAGGCTCTCTCTCCTCATGAGCCACAAGGACTTTTCAGCTCTCTCCTGCCATTTCTGGGTTTGAATTGGATCATTTAATTATTTCCTGGTGCCACATGTATACACGGTTGTGCGCAAGTCGATCACACATAAGTTGAGTGACTGTCTATACATGGACTAAATGGGCCACTGGACCTGATCCACCAGATTCTTCTTATGCTCTTATCTTCTGAAATGTTCATGGACAAATGAGTCAAACACATGGAAACAGTATTTTGGAAACTGAAAAGGCTTGAGTACTAGGCTAGAACCCTATTTGTGCTATCAGCTACATAGGTCTGGTTATGTTCCCAGAACACACATAAAACTAAGGAAGCCAAACCAGTCCAAATAGGTTGAATCCTATTGATCCTAGAATATTGTACATTATTTGTCCTTGGCTTCTGTTTATTTATTTATTTTTTAAATAATTTTTATTAAAGTTTTAAACAAAGAAAAAAGAAAAAGCAACACACACAAAACAATACAAAATTTAACAATAGAAACACACAACATAACAATTAAAAACAAACTCTCTTTTACATTCCCAATTTTGAATTACTTATTTTCTGGACTTCCTCATACCTCCCTCTTTTGTATTCCAATCTACATTATTTGTCCAGCAGTTTCTTTTCCACTTTTTTAAACCCAATCTTTAATTTAATGAAATATTAAACTATATAGCTTCAGCTTTTTAAACATAATCCTTGTTCTTAATATCATATACCTTTAAATTTTTCCCTTTTATTATCAAATTTCCATTTCTTTAAACATCTTTAATCTTAATCTTTAATCTTAATCTATCCTTAGCTTTAACCTGTACAGCTGGAAACCACTTATTTTCAATCCAACATCACTCTAACATTCCTTAATTTTGCAGTGTTTCTGAAGATAGTCTTTGAATTTCTTCCAATCTTCCTCCATCGACTCTTCTCCCTGGTCACGGATTCTGCCAGTCATTTCCGCCAATTCCATGTAGTCCATAAGTTTCATCTGCCATTCCTCCAGCGTGGGAAGTTCTTGTGTCTTCCAATACTTTGCGATAAGTATTCTTGCTGCTGTTGTTGCATACATAAAGAAAGTTCTATCCTTTTTAACACCATTTGGCCCACTATGCCCAGGAGAAAGGCCTCTGGTTTCTTGGGGAAGGTATACTTAAATACCTTTTTTAATTCATTATATATCATTTCCCAGAAAACCTTAATCTTTGGGCACGTCCACCAAAGGTGAAAAAAATGTACCTTCAGTTTCTTTACATTTCCAACATTTATTATCGGGCAAGTGATAAATTTTGCAAGCTTGACTGGGGTTATGTACCACCTGTATATCATTTTCATAATATTCTCTCTTAAGGCATTACATGCCGTAAATTTCATACCTGTGGTCCATAACTGTTCCCAGTCAGCAAACATAATGTTATGTCCCTACGTCCTGTGCCCATTTAATCATAGCCGATTTTACCGTTTCATCTTGAGTATTCCATTTCAGCAGCAAGTTATACATTCTTGACAGATTCTTGGTATTGGGTTCTAACAATTCTGTTTCTAATTTTGATTTTTCCACCTGGAAGCCAATTTTCCTGTCTAATTTAAATGCCTCCATTATTTGATAATAATGAAGCCAGTCTCGCACTTTGTTTTTAATTTTTCAAAACTCTGCAATTTCAGTCTATCTCCGTCTTGTTCCAAAATTTCCCAATATTTCGGCCATTTGACCTCCATATTGACCCTTTTCAAGGCTTTCGCTTCCATTGGTGACAGCCACCTTGGGGTTTTATTTTCTAGCAAGTCCTTATATCTAATCCAAACATTAAATAATGCTTTCCTGACAATGTGGTTTTTAAATGCTTTGTGTGCTTTGACCTTATCATACCATAAATATGCATGCCATCCAAATACATTATTGAAACCTTCCAAATCCAAAATGTCAGTGTTTTCAAGAAGTAGCCATTCTTTCAACCAGCAAAAAGCTGCTGATTCATAGTAAAGTTTGAGGTCTGGCAGGGCAAATCCACCTCTTTCCTTTGCATCTGTTAGTATTTTTAAATTTTATTCTAGGTTTCTTGCCCTGCCAGACAAATTTAGAAATATCTTTCTGCCGCCTCTTGAAACAGTCCACTTTGTCAACAATCTGCAAAGTTTGAAACAAAAACAACATTCTAGGCAATACATTCATTTTTATCGCAGCAATACGGCCTAGCAGTGGAAGCTTCAAGTTTGACCAAATTTCTAAATCTTTTTCACTTCTGACCAACATTTTTCATAGTTGTCTTTAAATAAATTCCCATTTTTGCTGTCATATTAATCCCCAGGTATTTAACTTTCTTAACCACTGTTAACCCTGTCTCATTCTGAAACCTCTCTCTTTCAAACGGTGTTAAATTTTTCTCTAAAACCTTGGTTTTTAATTTGTTCAATTTAAATCCTGCCACTTGACCAAATTCTTGAATCAGTTCTAAAACCCTTTTTGTACTAGATTCTGGCTCCTGTAACGTCAATACTAAGTCATCTGCAAAAGCTCTCAATTTATAGTGTTTAGTTCCGACTGTCCTTGGCTTCTGTTTAGTATTAGCTCTGTAGGCAATGAATTGAAATCCCTGGGGGCAGGTTTCTCTGCTGGCATTTACCCAGGACTCAGCTATACAGCTGCAAATAAAACGTTTTAAATCTGTTTTAAGTGCAATATAAAATGTGACACTAGATGGCGATCGTGAGCCTTATAGAAAATTCAATATATTTTTTAAAATGCTTTTTAAAAAAAGCATTTTCAGAATGATTTTTATATGTTTGTAGATTCCACCCCAGTTTGTAGCAGAGAAGGAATGTCGGTGTGATTGCAAAAGCTTCTCACCAGTCCTGCATTTAATATCAGCCTTTGTTCCGGTCCATGTTAAGGCCTTTGCCAAATTGGGAGTGATGTTTTATGCCCACTCTGCCCTCCTAGCAAGGAAGGTGTTTCGTTCTGGGCCAAGGCATCTGTTTCCCTGCATTGCGATAACTCCCATGAGCAAAAGGGAGGCAATTATCTCACGCACAGAGTGGTTTGAAGATGAAAAGCAGCCTGTCTTTCTGCCAGGAAGGTTATTACTGGAACTCTGAAAGAAGCAACTTCTGTGCGCCTTCTAAAAATGTCTCATTTATTTATTTGGTGGCTTTTGCTGTGGTGTGTAGCAGCTTACAGGTGCATTTGCTCATATGCATCAAGAATGCCAGGTGTTGCATATTTCTGTCGTTTTCTATGCACACACACTGGGATGCATTTATATACATGCAAACATTTCTGGCTGCTCTTAACCCCACAAGCCATGCAGCAATGAGATGGAACACATTATTATTATTATTATTATTATTATTATTATTATTATTTATTAAATTTGTATACTGCTTTTCATCTGAATATCACAGGACATTTTACAACGTAAAAAAAAAATGAAAACACAAAATACATAATAAAAGCAAAAGCAAAATAAACCAATTGCCCGTCTCCCACAGACACATTTTTAAAGGCCATAGAATATTGATGCCCATTCCACTTTGGTGCATGTAGAAAAGCAGTAAAATGGTGGTATCTGCCTTAGGGCCTCAGCTCCCATAGTGCCAGCTGCATCAGACCAAAGGTCCATCTAGTCTAATTATGGGCAGCCTTTCTCCTGCCAAGGACTGCATTCCTTCAGGGCTTCATTCCTTCAGAAGTAACCTGTCAGAATAGAAGAAGACATCTTTACCCTGATATGGCTCCCCTTTGTCACATACACAGCCCAAAAACACAACGACAAAAATCCACCAACAGCCTATGAATCAATATGGCTAACCTGATCCAAAAACACACCCCCACCTCCACTTAAACACGAAAACAAAGTTCACCACAGCCAATCACAAACGAACAACCACACCCTAGGCCAACCCCAACTTCTCTCACCACCAAAGGAACACAAGCGAATAGTAAAGAGAACCTGCACAAGTGACGCTGACACAAAACCCCACACATACACTAAGAAGAATAGAAACATCGCCTCCCGACCCCACCCCCACCCACCATGCCCCCCCCTCCACCTCTTTCCCCCTTTTCTTCCTAATGTAACCCTAATGTCTCAACAAATGAAACTGACCTATGGAAAATGTAATTTGAAAAAAGAGACATTGCGCATACTTTTGTAAACCAAGAAATCTCAAATAACTAACTGACTAACTAACTGACTGACTAACTAACTAACTAACTAACTAACTGTCTGTCTGTCAGGAGCCACAGTCCAGTGGTGGATGGGGCTGAAGCCATCAATGAATGTGGGGCGATCCATTTCCTACTTTCTTTTCTCCACCCTCTTCTCTTCCCTCTTCCTCCCCGTCCAGTAGGCTGTCGAGGGAGGAATTGTTCTTGCTGGAGGTGTTAACCAATTGCTTTCAGGGGGCTTTTTAAGTTAAACTGAGGGCCACATGAAATTAAGCCAAGGGCCATGCTTGGTTCTAGGGCTGCAGGCTGCCCACCTACGATCTAGTCCCAGCATTCTGTTTCCAGCACCATCTAGCCAGACAACTCCTGGCCACAAAAGTGACAACCCCCCTCTGCTACCCAAATTAATTTTGTGTGACATTCCTGAATGTGTTTTTTCAGTTGGACCACTCTGAATTCAGAAGCACTTCTATAGATGAAGAGCTGAGACAGCAGGAAAAGAGTCCCAAGTCAGGCCTCCCAAGGCTCATAGACTTCAGCCCTGTGTGTTTCTGTGCTTCACTTGTGTGCTTATATAGCGTCAGGCCAGCCTCTCCCCTGTCTGTGTTCACCACAGTTTGGTGGAGTTGGGGAGTGACAGGGATGTAGTCTACTCATTTTAACCATAATGCCACATTTCCCAGCCTTCAGTTGTGGGAAGTGGGTTGCAGGAGTGATAACCCCTCCTTATTATTTACCAGAGGAGACCTCTTGGATGGTTTGGAGGGTAGACACAATACTTTAGTCATAAACTTGTTGCTGAACTCTGGAGCCTGTTCTGGGGCAAATCTTTGCTGCAGAGAGAGAGAGACCATTTGGGTACCCAAGAAGCTTCACTACTCTTGTGTGCTATTGTTTTCTCTACCCAGGGCATGAGGACCTCTTCGGATGCTGCCAAAGCAAGAACTTCATAGGAGCTCCTTGCTCTTACTTTGCTGTCCATGTGATGGGTGCCCTTCTCCTCTTTATGACTGATGGGATCCTGGTAAGAGCAACAATTGAGGAGTCAGTGTCAGACCTACCCAATTTGCACTACTGGGGCACTCCAGATTCACTAGAATGGGCTGTCTTTTACTTGATCTGTGTAGCTTGGCTTGAGTGCTCATGGAGAGCTTTCAGCTAAAAACTTGTCTCCCTCCGCCCAGCTGGTACTGCCTGCTGGTTCACTCTTAGTAGCATTGCTTTAGTCCAAAGCTCATGGTCTTTTCTGCCTTCTTTTGACTGCATCTCACCTAAGAGTATGAGGAATTGGCCCTTTGCTTAATTGGGCTGTTCGCCCAAGATTGGCGCTGCAGTTGCTCTCTTACACTATATGTTGAATTCTCACCCACTTAAAGTTGAGGACCACCCCACCACCACACACCTTTTACAATTTTATCCTGTAAGCCTTTCATGGCCTGAGAGTGTTAAATGTGGTGACCTATAGCAGGCAGGCACTCTTAAAACCACAAGAAACAAGGCCCAGAGAATTGTAACCACTATTGGCTGATCTCAAATGTCCCTTCTTTGGGCAGGTTGGTGGAGTGACTGCTTTTCTAGTCAACTTCAAGCACTCATTATCCATTTGAGTCTGGATTCTGACTTTGATTTGGAACTGAAACTGCCAGGGTTGCCCTGATAAATGACTTCTGCTAGGAGAGGATGGGGGGAATGCAATGTAATTCTGTTGATTCTACTAAATCTCTCAGCAGTGCTCAATACCATTGGCCATGGTTTCCTTCTGGATAGGGTTTCTGAGTTTGGGATTGGGGATGGATGTTCCACTCCTACCTGGAGGGCCCATTCTGGAAGGCAGAATTGCAAGACTGGCCCACGGTATTGTGGGACAGAGGTCCCTTGGGGATCCATTCTGTTCCCCCAAGATGTTACGGCATTTTTATGAAGGCGTTTGAATGGAGTTGGGTGTCACTGCACAGTGAAGTCCTTCATCTCTGTCTCTTCCAGCTGAATTGGAAGAAGTGTTTATCTGGGGTTTGGAAGCACTAATTGACACTCAGTCCTGATAAGACAGAGGTGTGCTGTGTGGGTCAGCAGTTTGTCTGCCCAGGGAGGTGGTGTTCAACCAATTTTGCTGAGGATTGTACCCTCTGTGAAGGATAAGGTGCCAGTGTGGGAGTGCTGTTAGATTCATCTTTATCTCTTGGGCCTCCAGGGTCACGAGTTCCTTCTGTTGGTTGTGGCTAATCCACCAACTGCAGTCCTTCCTGAGTAGATACAATCTTGATGCCCTGGGAACATTGGGTGGGCTGCATGGGGCTGCCTTTGAAAACTGTTCAGAAATTGCAGCTAGCACAGCACACTAACTTCGTTTCCTGACATGGACTGAGTGAGGAGCTCACATCTGGCTGCACTGAAACACCATCCCTGGCTTCCAATGAGATTTAAGGTGCTGGTCTTAACTCTTAAAGCCCTTCATGGCTTAGGACTCAAATATTTTGTGGGATTGCCTTGTCCCATCTCAATCAGTTCATTCGCCGACATCCCCATCACAGGCCCCTGCTGTCTGAAGTGTGGTGCGTGGTTACGGCACAGATGGAGGGCCTTTTCCGTGATGGCTCCTCATCCTTGGAATGCCCTTTTCAAGGAAGCCCACCCATAGACCTCATGACTAGAACTTAGGTGCCAGGCAAAAGCATTTCTGTTTCCCCCAGGCTTTTCAGAACTGCTAAGGCAAGCATTCTTAAACGCTAAAAAGTAAACTAAATTTAAATGCACTGTTGTGATTGCAGTTTAATTTTGTATATTGGTTCACATGTGTTAGTAAACCAATTATTTTACATTATGCTTTTTCATTTCTTTTTACTGTGTGTGTGTCCTGGGAATATAGATCTAGATTGGAGGTTTGTGTGATATATAGATTATGTAAGTAAATCTGGTCTCTCCTGCAGGGCGAGTATTCTGGGTTTGTGTACAGCTACGCCGTGGAGGAACCACTCTCCGTGGGACACAAGGTGGCTGGTTACTTGCCCAGCCTCTTCTGGGGATTCATCACTCTGGGCCGGCTCATCTCCATCCCTGTGTCCTACAGAATGAAGCCAGCAACTATGGTTTTCATCAACGTGGTATGGCAATATCTTCTTCTTCTCCCTCTCTTCCAAGGTAGCAGAGAGGCTTATTCTGGCTATGGCGTGTCTGGCAGACCAGTAACATGGATATAACCAGCGACTGGCACCCTCATTTGGAAGCAAGAGCGTATTATTCTTACAGCTGAGGGCAATGCAAGCAAATTGGTTAGAGCAGGAATGGGAAACCTGTGGCCCTTCAGACATCATTGGCCTCCAGCCCCAAGCAGCTGAACAACCTCTGGGTGGCCCCAGGCTCCCTATTCCTGGGACATTTCATTCAGAGAACCCTGGAAGTTGTGCTGAAGGGGGGCATTGACTGGAGATCTCTAGCAAAGCAGTCTCCTTGTCCTTGCATGCCTTCCAATTCCAGGGTTTCTTGAGGGAATTGTTATTAGGGTCAGGCGATATATCAATATACTGTCTTATATTGATATTAAGAGCAGTTTGTGATAATGGTTTGTTTGGGGTTTTTTAATTACCTGGCAATAGTCATACCTCATGTTACGTTTGCTTCATGTTACGTTTTTTCAGATTGCGCCCCAAGGTGACCTGGAAGTACCAGAAAGGGTTACTTCCGGGTTTCACCACTCGCACATGCGCACAAGCGCCAAATCGCACCATGTACCTGCGCAGATATGGCGCTTCAGGTTGTGGGGTTTTCATGTTGCAAACGGGCCTCTGGAATGGATCCCGTTTGCAACCAGAGGTACCACTGTATATCGTGAATCGTTTGTGTGTGTGCTTGCTTGCAATAGTCAAAAAACATGATACGGTGGTACCTTGGGATGCGAACAGGAACAGGATCCGTTCCGGAGCCCTGTTTGCATCCTGAATAGAACGTAAGACACATCTGCGCGTCTGCGCATGTGCAGGTCATGTTTTGCCGCTTCCGCGCATGCATCTGTGCATGCGCAAGTGGCAAAACCCCCGAAGTAACGCGCGCCGTTACTTCTGGGTCGCCATGGAGCGCAACCCGAAAATACTTATCCTGAAGCATATTTATCCCGAGGTATGACTGTATTGCAAAAATTGGGAAGCTGGTGCTGCTTCCTGTCCTGTGCAGACGTTGCTATTGCTAACTCTGCCTTAGCTACATTTCCATGCGTCCTGTAGTGGCAGCAGCAAGCTGACGCAAAAATTGCCCTTTGAGAAATTGTGTGTGCACTGCAGGGTAACTCTGCCTTAGCTCTCCATCTCCCCTGCCTGCCTCCCTCCTCAGCGCTCTTGTCTCCCGAGCAGGCGGAGCTTGACAGCCTCCAAGTGGGAACTTCCTCCCTCAGAGACCCCAGGTTCTTGTTGAAAGGCAGGCACCAGGCTGGTAGGTGGCTTAGGCAGAAGCATGGCTTCTGGAACCAAGTCCCCTTCTCTCCTCCTGTTCTTACGTAAAAATATAAACTGGGATAAGAAGAAGAAGAAAAAGAAAAACACACTGCTCTAGCATAAAAGCCGATTCCCTCTTTCCCCTGTTGTGTTTGTGGGTCTGCGTTTGTCTGTGTGTATGTTTCCCCCCCGCCCCACGTTTGTATTTGTGTGTGTTGTGAAGAAGCACTACACTTAAAGAAAATGAATTAAACCAGCCTCTCTCTGCTGGCAGGCAGCAGGTCGTCTTAACTTTACTCTAAAGTAGTTATCTCCCCCCCTCCCCGCTTCCCCTGTCCCAAGCAAGCTGCAGAGAAACTGCAACCACCAACAAACACGTTTATTATGCCTTAATCTTATATTAGGCAGGAATGGATTTATGCCACAGTAACCGTGTATGCTCTTACCCATGTTCACCCCTGAATTCCATGTGGCTTACTCCCTGACAAGCGTGTATAAAAATGCAGCCTAAATTGCTTAGTCTCAAAGGCACTAACTATGCAGGACTGTCAGCAAGGGAAGTAATAAGCTTCTAGTCCTTAAGGAAAAGAGTATCTGCCCCCCTCCAACTTCTTGTCTTCTGAATCTACTTTTCAAGAGTGTGGAGTAAGGTGGAAGGATATTACGTGGACTAGGACCTTGGAGGCATAAGTCCACTTGGACATGAAGCTCACTGGGCGGCCCTGAGCCTAACCCACCTCAACAGATTGTTGTGAAGATAAAATGCAGAGAAAGGGAAACCAATAATGCCACCTTGAGCTCACTGGAGGGAAGGTAGAATGTATATATATAAAAAATGCAAATAAGGAGTACAGCCAGCAGTGCAGACAAGCAGAGTAGAAGCAATTTGCTGTGTCCTGGGTTAGTGAAATGAGCCTGCTCTTTGCTCCCGCTGTGATGTCTGCTGGGGACATCAGATACACTAGTTGAGCTTGGTGGCCATATCTGTAAAATCAAAGGGGGATTTTCGATGTGCTGCAACTAGTAGCATCAAGTGGCGATTTTCATGCATGAAATGGCTCAGATCAGCCGCCTTCTGCTAAAGCTCTCTTATCTAAGACACTCAACGTGTGTCTTCTGAAGCTGTTTCCACGTTCAGCTGGGCATTATCGGGAGACGAGATACCAAATGATGCCCACATGTCTGTGAATCTCTCCAGAGGCAAGGCTCATACAGTCAGGGTTGTGTGTTGTCGTCCCTCCCCGCCCCCCGCCCCCGTAGCAGTGGTGCTTACTCGGTCTTTTTAGCTGAGCGCAAAAAAAATCTTACTTAATTTTATTTTTTTCTCCATTCCTTTTATGTCATTGCAGCTTGGAGTGCTTGTAACATTCTTCCTGCTCCTGATCTTTTCCTACAGCGTTGTCTTTTTGTTTGTGGGGACTGCCTCCCTGGGCCTGTTCCTCAGCAGCACTTTCCCTAGTGTCCTGGCCTACACTGAAGACATTCTCCAGTACAAAGGTAAACCAGGTCTCTCCTTGTTCTTTCTTTCTACCAAGAAAGAATAGCTTCAACAACCACAATAAAAGCAGAGCCCTTTAAATGAGGGCCATGCTTTTAACTTTCCAATATAAGGTAATCCCTGGTTTGTTTTTAATTTTTTTTTGTCACAAGCTAAGCAAACAACCAAATCCTCTGCGTATTTGTTTAACTGTAGGCATACTCTGTGAGATGCTGCTGGACTACAACTCCCATCAGTCCTGACCACTGGTCTTGCTTGCTGGGACTCATGGGACTTGTAGTCCAACAGCATCTGGAAGGCAACAAGATGGTGACCATTGTCCTGTTATGTTCACTGGATCTTACTGCCAGGGGAACGTGCAAGGATGACTGCTTTAAGCACTTGGTTTATCATTAAAGAGCAACATTTATGTATCTTACTCACTTGCATAGGAAAGCCTTCGTCCTTTCCATCAGCATAGCATTTGTACCACAGACGTCTGCCATTTACATTTGGGTGCCCTCTTCTGTTTCATACTTTATCACACACCCGGGGGGGGGGGGGAATATGTGTATATTTAAAAGCATTTCAATACCACATAACATTTCAAAAATCTCCAAGAAATCTCTTAAAGATGGGACATGTGCATCTTGCTGCATCTGTTCAGTCTTCCTTATCTGCTTCTTGCAAAAAGTGTAACGTGGTGCCACTTTCATTCCAGGCTGTGCCACTACTGTGCTGGTGACAGGAGCAGGTATTGGAGAGATGGTTCTGCAGTTGCTGGTAGGGTCGGTAAGTGTGCAAAATCCACCAACGCCCTGCTGGGCATAAGCTTTCTGTTGGTCAGTGCTTAGGACACTGATTCTCAGGGCCATCAGCTAGAGCACCAGTTCAGTATTGTCTACAATAGGGCAGAGAACCTGCTTGCTGGTTTCCCATGAGCATCTGGTGGGCCACTGCGGGGAAAGAGGATTTTGGATTAGATGGTACATCAGTCTGATCCAACAGGCTTCTGATGCTCTGTGGCCCTCCAACTATGGTTGGATTCTAGTTCCCATAATTTCTGACCATCTTCAGTTATCCCTAGCCAGCACGGCTGGTGGCCACGTATGATGGGAGTTGGGAGTCCAGAATATCTGCAGGTTCCCCATCCATGGTCCAGCAGCTCAACATGAGACTTTCCCAACCTTATCTACAGAAGCCAGCAATTGACCCTGGGACCTTGTGCATGCAAAGCATGGATGATATCCTGTGTACTTGTTCCATTAGTGCAAGCATTGGTGCAATGCAACTTCTCCTCTTCTCCTCCCTCTGTCTGCACCCCATGCCCTCCCAACATCTTTACCAGGCGGTTGGGGGAAAACTCAGCGCAGATTGGGGGCAGATCTGGGGAGGTAAGCAGGAGAAGCTCCATTGTGCTAATGGAATACATTGCTTAGCACTGCTTTGGCTACAACCCTGTGTGTCCCACCACTGTCCTGAGATGCTTCATAATGTTAATGACTGTCTCCATCCAAATACTCCTGCAAGAAGGAACTCACCATGTATGGAAATGCTGCTCATGGTTTTCTGGAGTTTTTAGAAAGCCAGGCTTGTTCTGAAGCAAAGGGCAATTGATCTGTTTCTAATAAAGTGTGAAAGAAACAGAGGAAGCAACCTTCTGCCAAGGCAATTTGTCTACCTAGGCCAGGATTGTTTGCAGCTCTCTGGGGTCTCCATAAGAATTAGTCCACAACCCTTGCCACTTTTAACTGGATTGAATCTCTCATCTCCTGTATGCAAAGTGTATGCAGTACCGCTCATGATGGCTATCACCTGGCGGCCTCTGGTGGCAGAACATGCAACCTGCAGCTATCCTCATGTCACCAGCATAGCCCCTTGGGTGGTATTTTAAGCATGCCCCTGCTTGGGAGGACGCATTTGTCCAGCTTCTCCGCCTTGCCTTCTTTCAAACCCTTAAGGAAGGCACCGTGGTGTGTACTCAAATCCCTCAGTGGCATTTGGGGTGGGGGCAGTCTTCCTCGCTCAGCCTAACCTCCTTTGCAGGGTGGTTGTGAAGATAAAGCTGAGGGGTAGGACAGAGGTGGAGCTAGCTGCTCCAGCACCCGGACCAGCCCACATGCTATGCACCCGGGGGCGAGGCAAGCATCCCACGGGGCTGTGGCGGCTATCTCCACCTCTGTCCCACCGGAGGGTGGCGCCTGCGATGATGTAACCCCCTCTCAGGGATGACACCTGTGGCAGACTGCACCCCCCGCACCCCCTTCCTCCGCTAGTGGGGTAGGAGAAGAAAGGTGTGTATTACCTCGAGCTGCTAGGAGAAAGGGCAGGATACCAAATTAAGAAATAACACAGAGGTTTAACTCGAGCAAATTTCTTGACAGAGAGCCTCCTCATCCAATGGGTGAAAAGAAAGTTTTTCTGTTTTGAGTCAAGGCATTGCATAGAGTGGCTCAAGACACCTTTGCAGCTGAAAGCTGGGCAGTACATTTCTTGAACTCCTGCTCTTTCCCTTCTGAGATACGTTTTCTGGCAGGTAGACACCCTAGGGAAACAGATGGTATCTGCTGCTTTCTCTGAAGGTCAGACAATCTGTCTGAAACAGCCCACTCATGGGAAATGGATCCTATCCAACCCCCGTCAGCACGGCTGGTGCACTCTGACGTTATTCCTCTGGCTCCCAGACCCATTCAAGGCAATGTGTGGCTCTCATTTAGGTGCAAAGGCTGCCCTGAACCTTGCTGTTTTTCTTTTGCGACAGATCATTCATGACCAGGGCAGTTACAGTTTCCTAGTGTGTGGGACCATCTTTGGAGCCTTTGCCTTCGTTTTCTACATCTTCCTTCTGTTTTCCCACAGGATGCACCCTCAACCCCAATCAGGTAAGGGCTGCCAGCCCATTATCCCAATCTCTCCCCCTTCCTTCCACACTTCTGAAAAGAATGGAAGAGGGGGGTACGGCATTAGTGCAAAGCAAGCCAGGGTGTCTTGCTCCAAGGAGAAAATGCAAGGAAGTGTTTGCTTTACAGCTGCTTCCTGCCTGTTCTTCCTGCCTGGCTTGGCCCACAATGATCTGTCTGGCACCCCGAACTTTACTTTCTTTACTGTTGGACAAAGTGGCTAAGGGGTGAAATAAAGCACTTTTTAAAAACAATATAGCAGGAAAGTGGGGGTGGAGGAAGAGCTTAAAAGGTGCTAAATCAATTTTTAAAAACAAGCATGAGTCAGCTTTCCTTGCTTAAGCTGCGGACAGACTTCAACATTTCAAAGCCAGGAGTAGCCAATGTGGCATCCTGGAAATTCAACTCCCAACAGCCCCAGCCAGCATGGCGGACACTGGGGGGTGATGGGAGGTGTAGTCCCAACACCATCTTGAAGGCCACAGATTAGCCAGCCTGCTCTTAAATCCTAAGCTGGGAGGTAGTGGTTAAGGTGCTGCACTTGCACATGAGAGACCAGGGTTCAAATCCCCCATTCAGCCATGAAGTTCACTGAGTGGGTGACCTTGGGCCCATGATCAACTCTCAGCCCAGCCTACCTCTCAGGGTTCTTGGGAGGCTAACATGGCGAGGGGGAGAGCCATGTACACCACCCTCTGGCTCTTTTGGGGGAGAAGTAGGATATAAATGCAATAACAGCTAAATAAGCATGGTTTGTTTTACCTACCCATGTTACAGGCTGGTGCACACAACTCACCCTGTAGAATGGGGAAAACAGGCCACAAAGCTGTCAACTCACCAATAGAGAATACAAGATTACAGTCTCAGTAGAACCAATAATTTAAAAATGACAATCTAAGTCATGGCAAAAGACAGCTGGTGTAGCTTTGCATCTGTACCAACACTTGTAGCATGGAGAGAGAAAAATAAGCCATGATCTGAAGCCAAGGCTTGTTCCTGCCTTCCCAGTTGTGGTTTTATTCTCCCCAAAACAAACCAGAGTTTGGGCTGCAGCCAGTGGTTCCATGAACTTTCCCTGCTTGGTTAAGGGAGGAGCAGAGCAGGTGCGCTTTGAGCTTTGTGCATAGGATGGTTAAACTAATCCTGTTTCCACTTCTTGTTGCATCTGCTGCTGTCAACATGAGCATCTTACTACAGTGTATTAAGTCCATTGTTTTTCCAGATAAATAGAGATATAGCTCAACTGAGTTAGGTGTAGAATGTATTATGCAAGTAGTAGCAAATGTCCCATTATGAGCTGAAGTGGCTCACCAGGTGGGGCAGAGCCACTGGCTAGCAGGAGGGTTACTATTGCTTACCAGGAGAGAGATGGATGAGGCTGTGGACACAGTGCAAATGCACTGGTAGGAGCACCAGATTGACTCCACTGGTGCGTTTATGCCACGCCGATTTCCGCACGATCTCACCACCCTCCCGCAGTAAACAAGAGTGACCCACCTGCTGGGAAGCTAGCGGGAGCAGCTTCACCCCGCTACCCGATTAAGAGCCAGTTGTAGGCAAGACTCGGAACCACCCAGTGCAGTGCCATGAAGACACAGTGAACCAAGAAAAGTGAAATGGAAATGCATGTCTTAGAACATGCAGAGAGCTAAACGTAGCTCTCTTTGATGTGTGCACATGGTTGTGTTTGGAAAGGGTAGAAGGTATGTAGCCTGCCAATGACTTCCACCTTCAAAGTCAAAGCTCATCCACTGGCTGTTTCGTTTCTGAATGGCTGCTGAGAGGAATCTTGTTTTGCAGATCTGGATCTGTCACCGGACAAGCCGCCACCATCAATGGAAGAACCTGGACTTTATCAGAGCTAAAGGAAGCCGTGAGTTTGTATTTGGATCAAGCACACCGTCACACCAACCAAAAGAAAGATTTGCTCTTACCGTCTGGTTTAAAACTACCTGGATTTTCTATTCTCAGACTTGTCGGTTCCAACTCATTCACATCAGCCAGTCGGTCCGTCACTAGAGAAGAATCACTGTAGCAAGAATGAAGACTAGAAGGGCTGGAATCTTGACATGTGAAAGTTTAACTCCTCTGGTAACCTCCCATATCCCTTCAGGAACACAGGCAGTGAAAGGTGTATTCCTGTCACTTTAGAACCTTGGGGGTGGCGGGAGGCTTCCTAAAGTTCATTCACTGCAAACCAAGAGGCAGCTGTAGATATTTCTAATTTGATCAAGTTGCAAAACGTTTGCTGCAGCATTATGAACTCTATTCACTGATGCTGTACAACAGGCATCCAGAATTTTATTTTATTTTTTAAAAAATACTGCATCACCCAGGTTGAAGTATTCAAGTTTTGTGCATCTCCAGATGGGATTTCACATGGCGGAAATGCCAGGGCAGTGGGAAAGGTACAGTGAAACTAATGGTGGGTTGAGTTCAGTAGAACCAGAATATACTGACGGTTCACAATTAGTAGAGTAGAAGGAACAGGAGAGCTGTAGGCTACTTCTGTTGATGGGACAGCTTTACCCATGAAGTATGAAAATTTTGAAGTACATGAAGCCAAACATCAAGTCTCTTCCATTTGTGCAATATAATGAGGTGCCTTCCGGAAGCAGAACTTGAGAGGTACTGAATATTAAGAAGGCAGCCATGTTCTTAAGAGAGAAGGTATTGGGATAGTTCAAAACTTAGCTTTAGCAAACTTGAGCTGGCTTTGTTGCAATTTCTGTCCCACAGATAGATATACATGTGTGTGTATATATAAAGGAATGTTTAATGTGATTGCTCTTGTCGCATGAACTCGTGGAGTAACTAAGATGGGACCCAGCAACTTCACTCAAGTAGCTATTTCCCCCTAGAGGCTTGTTGCACTGCTCATTTCAAAATTGTGCATTATACTGAATTTTTCTGTTGTCATTTGACTTCAATTGCTATGTTGCATGGGTATGCGCCCTCATCTTTGATTTCCATGTTGTCCAATCCTTAAAATATACCCGCCTTGATTACAGAGCTTGTGTCATCTTGTGCTCTAAGTTTATATATGTGTGTTGGACCACAGCCTTTTCCAGTGGACTCCCTACAGCAACTGCTCCCTAGGATTCTTGGACAAGGCGGCAGAACCAGGTAGACCTCAATCCGATTAAGCAAAATGTTGTATTTCTCATGTGAACCTGAGCAACAATATAATTTGTCTTTAACAGAATGTTAGCATTGCAAGAATATTGAGTTCTCATGCTGGTTTACAGCAAGCCATGGTTTACCAGGTGTGGGTGAAACAGCAAAATATCATTTGCCATAAACCAGAAGTGGGGACTTAATTTCATTCCACTGTGCACATGAAGAACATGCTTGAGCAAAAATTACACCTGCTTGTTTATGGCAAACCATGCTTTGCTGTTGCATCTGATAGCAACCATTGTGTTAACAGCAGGAGTAAAAGTTGCATTCCTGATTTGGCTTATTTTGAGGTTACACCTCACATGCAATTAATCCATACCTACTTCATTACTTATTTAACAAGCATAGACACTTTACATGTACTGCAGCATCACTGTTCATCCCAGTAGCTAGCAGCCTTTATAGAAAATTAATTCTTTAGTGTCCCTTTCAAGTGTAGAGAGAAAGACAAACAAGCATAATTTTACAATTATTCTACTAAATAGGTATAGCTTCTGTAACTGAAAAGGTGTATGAACTACGTAAGTATACGTTTTAATCTCAATTTTGAAAAAATATTGCTGTAATAGCTAAAAATAACTAGAAAAACAACACATGTGCCTGCTCAGGAAATATCAGTTAGAAAACTGGAACCTTGATAAATTCTCTTGAACTGTTTCAGATGCACCACGGGTGCAAGGCAAGAGACATGAATGCAGAAAGTCTGAATGAGTTAAAGCTTTAAGGTATTGGGCTCTAAGGTATACACATCCCTTTAAAGCACCCCAAAATCCTAGGCACTGTGGTTTACCCCTCAAACTACAGTTTCCATTATTATTTGGGGGAGGTGTTTTAAATGTATGGTTTGTAAATAGCCTTGGTCTCCTAAATTTGCTTCTCCAGTCTGATTTCCTTGCTATTCGTGTTCTTCAAACCACAAATGGGTTAACAGTCGCAGATACTTCAAATGCCAGAAAGCAAGTAGAGGTTCAGTCTGTTTCTTCCAAAGCAGGTTTCTCAAACTGTACCACGATGCCACCAATCTATTTTTGCTTACAGTGCTACAGCTGTGGCTGAGAAACCTAGAACAGTACTTAGCAATGAATAGGCATCATTTGAATACATTCAGATCTTTGAGAATGGTACCATCACTACTGATAGAGAAGAGGCACATCTACATTTATATATTACACGGTTCAGACAATGCTAGGTGATTACACTGCTGCTACCTCTATTTCAAGAATCCAGAGTGAGATGGCTATTATAACTGAACTGCAGTGACAACTTCTTTCCACTGCAGAAGAGTAACACTCCAAATAATGCCATTTGTTAAAAAATATTTATTTAAAAAAATACAATTATTTTGCAAGTCTGGTTGCACATATTAACATGATTTGCTACACTGTTTAAAGCCATCTTGCATTATTATACAAAACATATCCCTCTGTCAGTTCTTAAACAAAATAAGCAATGCTTCCTCCAAACTTTACTTTTTTTAAAAAAAAGATTACCCTAAACCTTTTTTGCACAAAAGTCTAAGCAATAGAAAACAGTCACCTGATTTTGCAGCAAAGACCTTCATTATGTTTGGATGTGCAACAGCCAATATATACCGACTTTTAATAGCAAACCAATCCACAAAAATGGCATCACTGTACAGTTTCTTGAAGACTTTTAAGACTAGCTTTTGACCGAGAATTATACTCCTGTAATAAAACTGTTTCTTAAGAGGCAGATTTTTCTTCCTTTTCTAACCAACCTGTTAACATTTTGAAGGCCTCCCTCATATCTTACCCAGAGGTGCTTATATAGTCAAAACAATAACACTGAGAACATACTTAGAACTTTGGCTATTATGCAATTGCATTACATATCAGCAATATTTTACAGAATGGCATTAACATACCGGATATATATCAAATGGTACAGATTTTCAGTTTTTTTAAAAAAAAATGGGAACAAAACATCAACAACCTACTCTCCCCCAGCTAAATTCACTTATTTTCCAAATAAATCCTGTTTAGCCAGCCAAACCTTCCACACATGGAGCTTCATATATTGAATCCATTCTAAGATGCACCAACACAGTCCCTTCCATGTTTGAGACTGCATGCATACTGCAGAACACACATGCAGCCCAAGGTCCTCTGTACTAGAATGAGTACTTGCCTGGTAGAAGCTAGAGCCAATTTTATTTTCTCTACAACCAGCCGCACAAAGGCCTTGGGAGAAGAACGGGGACTTTATTCCCAAAGGGAGCTAAAATAAGAAAGCCCTTTCCCTTCTGTAAACCTGCTCTGTTACTTCTTGTAAGTAACAATAACCTGAGGACCTAGTGTAATCCACTGCCAGTGCTCTGCCCTGCATTGGTCAGCTTGGGGGATAACCAATTGGAGCCCTTAAGTTGAAGACTCAAGACAGTTCTACTTTTGATGCCAGAACTGAGCAAAAGCAGAGACTTTGCTCTAGGAATAGCAGTTATTTAGAAAGGCGGGGGGGAGAAATCAACAGTGCATGAGCTTATAAGTAAAATGGCAATTGCACGAACATGCTCTGCCATCTTAAAACAGGTGTAACCCAAACAAAAAGAGATGGAAGGCTCAGATCTGAAAAGTAATGTCCCAGAGCCACCACTTGAAACTCATCAGGAGCCTCCAAACGTGCTCCTCCTGCCACAAAATGGTGCCTATAAATGCACTAGGACCAGGAGTCCTCAAGCCTTTTCAGACATAGCATTACCTCAAACATGCATTTGGAAACCGGTCCCCTTGGGTGGCATCCAATGAAGTAATTGTTTGTGCAAGGACTTCCAGTTGTGCTACAGAACTTCTCCTCTGATGCCCCCTAAATCTGTTTGGGGGTTCCCCCGAGTCCTCTGAGAGGTAAGGGAGAGGAAGCTCCATGGCACTAACAAAACTAATTCGATGGATACCGTCCTTAATTTTTACCATATATTTGTATAGTGGTCGAGGTGCTGCTGCAGCCAGCTTCAGATCAAGTCTCCCATCATGGTAATGACTCTCAACCCACCAACTGAAAACCAATGCACTAGATAGTGTCCTGCTGAACAATATAACACAACACAACGGCCAATAACAATGGCACTAAACACTATTTATAGACTAATACAAATAATCAGAAATTACAACCAAAGTCTCTAAATCTTCTTCACCAGTCGCAGTAGAATAATTCAAAAGTTCAACACACAGTTATACCTTGGGTTACATACGCTTCAGGTTACAGACTCCACTAACCCAGAAATAGTGCTTCAGGTTAAGAACTTTGCTTCAGGATGGGAACAGAAATCGTGCTCCGGCAGCGCGGCAGCTCCATTAGCTAAAGTGGTGCTTCAAGTTAAGAACAGTTTCAGGTTAAGAACAGACCTCCGGGACGAATTAAGTACTTAACCTGCGGTACCACTGTATACGTAACCTGTCACCAAATATCACCGGAACAGAGTTTCCGGATAACCAATCTGTTTCGTTCAATGCTTCATCAGCCAAGACGGTACCATATGAGCACTGATCCAGAGCATATTTTCTACAGCGTTTATATTTGCTTACATGTAAGATTGGCTTGTTAAGAAATTGAACTGCATCCTTCTCATATTAATTCTTACAAGTCTGGCTGATGAAGAATTGATCAAGATTGGCTGATGAAGCATTGAACAAAACAGATTGGTTATCCGGAAACTCTGTTCCGCTGATATTTGGCGACAGATTATGTATATATCAAACTTTTGAATTATTCCACCGTGACTGGTGAAGAAGATTTAGAGACTTTGGTTGTAATTTCTGATCATTTGTATTAGTCTGTAAATAGTGTTTAGTGCCATCGTTATTGGCCATCGTGTTGTGTTATATTGTTCAGCTTGTCTATATTGCGACACAGGGGTCTGTTTACAGACAAGATAGTGTCCTGACAGAAAGACAGAACACTGAAGCATTTTGGAGTCCTGGAATTTATGTAAAGTCATCGGCTCCTTCACAATATTAATTCAGGCTTTTTTCATTTGCCAAGTATTTCATGCTAGAGCACTATGTTCTAGCTTCTCTCATTAGCTCCCAAGCCTCTACCTTTTGCATATTCTTAGATACACATGAGCATACTATTTACGAATACAAATATAGAGGGGGGGGAAATGCATGAATTATGCTACTGTACCCACACTGTGACGTACATAAGGCATCTGGTAACACTGCTATAAAAAATACAAACACTATTTTAAAAATACTTTAGAACAAGACTTTTCTATACAAGTTTGAAAGAGTAGATAAAAAACAAACAAAAAACTTCTAGTATGTAGCATTTAAAAGTGGTGCAACTGAACAGCAAGACCAAAAGTCAACGCCAAGCCACAGTTTCAAAACATTTCCCCAAAGAAATCTCACCACTCAAGAAGGACCAGCTAGAAAACCTGTGCATTCAACTCACTACTTGCTCCTCTGATTACACAAAGCTTCCCAAAGAGAGACTTTCTAAAGACTCCCACATGGGAAAAGAAAAGCTTCCAGTTATTAATACAGTGCTCCACTTACGTTACGGAGCTCACGGTGACAAGATGTTCTGATGGCCGATGGCTTTAAAGCGGGGATCGAATCAATTCATGAAACAGAGGGAGGGTCTTCTCCTTTCAGGGAAAAGCTGTCACCAAATATCAGTTGTCAGAAGCAACACTAAGTTCCTGCTTTTGGACTTTCTGCAGTACCCATTTAGCTATGCACGGGGAGATAAGATGTTGGATTATATAGACCTTTTAGCAGCATTCAGCAGGATTTTGGCTACTCACTGATCTTCTGTGAGAAGCTCTGAGACCAAAATGGTTAGCCAGCCCTGATCATTTCTGCATAATTCCTATTGTGGCACTGCCCAGCCCTGAATTAAAGGGAAGAAAGCATTAATATATATATCAAAGCAGATACTGGCCCATTTTGGATGCTGAGTTTGCAGCTTGCTTAAACCACTGTTCAGTAGCTGGGGAACAAATGAAAAAACTGTGTGCTCCGGCCACAGCAAGCTGCTATGTCAAAAATGGGGAATTGTGGTTTAATGTTGATTTACTAGCCAGGATATTAAACTAGAGCTTGAAAATGGTTTAAGATCGGGGTGAACATTCAGTTCCCCATTTGGGATGCAACAGCTAAACGTTGCTTTATTAAACCAAGAAGCAAGCAGTGAAATAGTCAAGCTGCTCGCTTCCACCCACTAAGCTATGGTTTAGCAAGCTGGGAATTAGTACTGTTTAAGATTATTAGTAACTTTACCCAAGCATCTCCAAGCAACTACCAAATATGATACACAACATGTGAAAAGCAAAATAAAGCAACGCACAATACAAGGTAATCAAATAATATCCATCCATCTTTTAAGATAGGTCTAACCACTACAGTCCCTGTGAAGGGGGGGGGGGGGGAGAAGATGTGTATCCAAATCAGGCCACAACCCATTAATTGTACTTCAGTTTCACTTTGCAAATGACTGTGTTAAATACTCTCCTCTACCTTGAGCCTTTTAAGGACCACATCACACTTTTCTCCAGGGCCAAAGACATCAGCCTAATGCTTTCTCCACAAGAAATAAAGGCTGCACACATTGGCAAGATTAGGAGCTGTTGTGTTCAGCAGCACTAGATTAGGTCATTCCCTTGTGGCTTACTGATACTATTTATGTTGCCGTTAACAGCCGTGGAGAATTTAAAGTTCTCTGGCATTTCTTAGAATCACAGAATTTAAGGTCTTCTAGTCCAACCCCGTGCAATGCAGGAATCTCAACATAGAATCAAAGATAATTATGGGTTTGTTGCACCCTGTCGCAATCTGTTTCAACCTCAACTACTGTAAAACTTGGTGTGATGACTGTGAATGGCGGCTGAAATCCAATGCACATACTTGGGGGAACTGACACAAAGTAAGAGAAGGAAGTCCTTTTTGCTTACTTAGAACTTGAAAAACAACATTTAGTTTCTTGGGCATCCCTTAATCACTCTTTCTGTTTTAAAAACAAACAACAGCCCTCTTGCTACAATACAAAGATGTGCTGTGTGAACAAGTGCTTACATGCAATTAGATACTTCAAAAGGCAATAAAACAGTTGGCAACAATATAACTCTAGCAGATACAATGAATGATTTAGGCTACCCCAAAGACTGCCAAAACTGAGCGAATGAGGTAAAGAGCAATCCTGATTGCTCTTTTCTCCCAAATAACTCCCAAATAAGAAACAGTTAACTCCCTTAACTCAGTGACACACCTGGTTATTTTCTTTTCCGCATACATACATACATACACACACACACATACAAATATTCAGCATTTAAAGTTAGATCAGACTCTAACTTAAGTTTGCACACAGTTGAAAGCATAAGAAAAACTTCTTCTGTAAATTAAAATGTTTTCAACACATCCAAAAAAACCTAAAAGAGAACATGCATGAAAGTAAAAAAAACCTGTCCAACCTTGGAACTGGCTGAAACACAAATACAAAATGTCTATATTAGCTGGTTATCTCTTTTGAAACCTTGCAGCACTGAATCCCAATTCTACTAGCACTTGGATCACAGACAGAGTAGAGGTGCACCAATTCCACCCTTCAAAGGTGGCCCTGGGGTGGAGGGAGGGTGCTGTAGCATAGTGGCTAAAAGCACGAGACAGTTGTTCGCTGTAAGCCCTCCAACAACCTGCCATGTCAAGGATGAAGCAGAGAGCTAGTCAACACCAAGTAGAAAAGCAAAGCCTCTACAAAATGAAGCCACGGAGCTCTATCAAATCACAACGAAACAGAAGAGCAAGAGGTGTATGTATACCTCAGCCCAGTGTAACAAGCCAGCTTACAACAGTGTGTCTTTTTGAGACTGGTGGGGCTAGATTGTGAAACCTGGGTAAACAAAACTGCTACCAAGATGGCCCAACTTTGGTTCACTTACATGTTTTTAAATATACATACGGCACAGGTGCACCATATACCACACAAGAAATATTTGAAGATACCCTGCCTGTTTCCTTTGGTGATAGGAGAAAGAAGACAAAAGAACAAACAGTTTGATTGCATTCCTTTAGCGCTCAAGAAGAAATGTAAAGCAAAACAAAACCTCGCTCTGACTTCTCTCCTACCCCCAATACATATGCCCAAAGCAGCCAGCCTAGATTGGCTGCTATTAAAAAGTGCTGTCATTACTTTAGCCCATGAGGCAGAATACAAACCCCCTGTGCAAACTCGGGAACGCAGGTTGCCTTCTCTCACTTACTACTTGCAGCTATTTTTCTGCATGTCTGCATTAAACAGAATATATGGAAATATTGCACATTCAATTTAGGCACAACAGACATGGACCTTTCAAATGACTTAGCTGATCATGTCTGGAAAATGAATGACAGCAATGCACCTTCAGTAACAGACAAGAACACACCTTCTGCTGTCTCTTTGGGTTCTAAGCTATATTACACCATTCCTTTCCTCTTACCAGAAGTGGTTTTGGAAGGGCAGTCCCAAGAAATTAACTTCTGACTGTTCTTGTGAATGGTGCATCGCAAACTCTATGGGAGAAGGAGAAATTTAGTTTATGTATTTCAGTGGGCGTGGGAGGGACCAGCCAATGTCTTCTCCTTTAGCATAGTACTCAGCCCTAGGGGACTCTCATACGTAGGTACATATTTTGAAATTAACAGAGATTTTGCAGAAGAGCCTGGATGACTGTGCTCAAGTCCCCTGCTGATCTTAAAGAATGGGATGGATGCAAAGCACAGCATTTCAATCTTCTCTCAAATCCAGTAGGTTTAATCTTGCACTGGAGGTGCCATTTCAAATAGTTGCTTGCTTTTCACGCTCTCTGCTTCTGCAGACTACTAAAAGTCATCATTAAAATTGTGGTGGGAAATTGCATTTAGTCCTTAATAAGTAGCTGGTAAACAATTCCCAATTAAAAAATAAATAAAAAAGCAAAACCCTGCCAAAAACCATTCCTGGTATTTATCTTACCTTTTCATCAAATAGCTATGTGACGCTATAGGTCTTGTGGTAATTTCGGGACTTTGGCCCAAATCTAGAAGATAAGGGTAGCACTTATGCAGAAATACTATGCCTCTCAATGAATCTCTTTCTACGGAGAGATAACAACTAATGCTGTAAACATCTATCCAGGTTCCCATCATACTTTCACTTTCCAATCATATAAGCCAGACCGCCTCATCAGGAAGCCAGCATAACATGACCACCAAATTACCTCTAAACTATCCTCATAGTGGAGACATCCAAGAACAGTTCAAGTATGGTTTAACCACTCCCTTGCCGCAAGATTAAGTGCAGTCTGAAAGCAGCTTTTAGCTCTTTCAGGCTATAAAGCAGCCCACACCACCTTGCCCTTTCCCACTCACACCCTCCTCATCAACAGGAACACTTTCAAATAACCACATATTATTTCTACTTTTAGGAGCATCAACATGCTCAAACTTTAAATCTGAGTGAGAGTGTGGCCAAAAAGAAAAGTGGATCACCCAGAGGTATCAGGGGCCAAAAGCAGCACTGACTGTTCTTTGGATACCTTATTTGTTAAAAGGGGACAGGGGAGAATAAAATAATAGAATACAAGCAAACATTCACTGCTCAAATGTCAGATCTACATACGACCTTATCAAGCATCAAGACAACACCACACACAGCATATCAGATATACGGTTACCCCAATGCCACAAAACATCAGTCGCCAAGATCTGCAATTAGAATGGTGTGCTTCTTTAAATATCAGGGTTTTGTTTTTTAAACCTACCAAGCAACATCAGACGTAAAACATCCAAATATTTCTAAAGACCAAAACGATTCATTCATTCCATGTGCTATGCATTTCTCTGGAGATGAATCAACAATTTTGGCTAAAGGATACACAGCTAGATCTTCTCTATTTACAGGCAACACCCTTAAAATTTTGCCCAGTTCTTCTATATCACTATAAAATGCTCCTGAAAAGTTTCCTCTTACAAAGAGATAATATATTTTCGTACAGCATTCCTGCATTACTAATAGAGAAATTATCAACCCTAAAGCAAGCCTTAAAAAAAACACACAAAAAAACATTTTCCAAGTATTTCTTAGAATGCCAGCTTCCAATGGAGATTAATATTTTGATAGGTTATACAAGAAGCAAAGGGGCAAAAGGTTACCAGTCAAAAAGGAAAGTTGTGACTGGTATCAGCTGCTGCAGAGTCAATCATTGCATTCCACCCACCTCAAGAAAAATCGCTTTACCAAGAGAAGCCTTCTTAAATCAGAAGAACCAGGTGAGAAAAGTGATCTTGGAGAACAGTCTCCAATTAAGGCGTTTCCATAAAAATTCCCTTATGTCTTGAAAGGAATTTTTTAAAAGGCATTTAAACCGGGAATAGGAAAAAAACCCCAAGCCTGTTCATATTGTCTCTGTGGAATTGCAAACCCCATATTGAAAACCAGATTTCATCATTTTGATGAAACCTCTTTATCCTGATTTCCACCTGTCCTTTTCCCAGAAGGCCATACCCTATGTCTTCTGCAAATCTGGGGAGAAAGGCCCAGGAGTGGAGGGCCCGTCCATTCCGGACATCGTAAATGGTCCATGAGTACTCAGCACCGATGGAAACTGAAAAACAGAAACAGATACCAAGATTGCACCAGTGTAAAAAGTTTTCTGTGCACTAGCATTTATCTTTTCCACTGATAGCTGGTGTGTTGAGACTATTCATTTCAGCAGAATAATTAACAATTTAACATTACCATTTCTAAGAAGCTCGTCTGTTCATACTTGCCTTTTCAGTTCACTACTCACACTGTAAAATGATCTTACAAAAACAAACCAGGGGAGCAAAGCCACCAAAGATGACGTGGCGACAAATGCCTCCATTTTTCTAACCTGGTACTATAACAGTTTGTCACTAGAGGGCGTTTTCACTAGGCCACTTTTGACTACAGTACATGACTGAGATAAAAGGCTATCCTGGGTTGAATTCTTTTACTCCAAAATGCTTGTGAGATTGTTATTTTTTTATTCTGCCCATTAACAGATCAACTGGAAAACCTTTTTAAAAAGCAGCTTTGGACAGCTGTTCTTAGCTCCTGCCAGCACATAATATATAAATGCCACTTCAAGCTTCAAAGTTTGCTGTAAATTACGTTGAGTATTCTCTCTCTCTCTCTCTCTCTATATATATATCTCATACGCATACCTGAACCTGCATATCACAACTTGGTTCTTTCATCTCAGCATCCATATAGAAGAACTGAGTAATTTACTTACGCCATTTTGATGTACACCGCGTCACACAAATTAAAGATACAAGCTGTACCTTAATTTTTCTGAAAGGCTTGAATAATAGTGAAAAATTGTACACCACCCTTCATCCAAAGATCACAGGGCGGTTACAACAACAAAAATTACTCTTATGTACAGTGGTACCTCGGGTTACATATGCTTCAGGTTACATACGCTTCAGGTTACAGACTCCGCTAACCCAGAAATAGTACCTCGGGTCAAGAACTTTGCTTCAGGATGAGAACAGAAATTGTGCTCCGGCAGCGCAGCAGCAGCAGGAGGCCCCATTAGCTAAAGTGGTGCTTCAGGTTAAGAACAGTTTCAGGTTAAGAATGGACCTCCGGAAAGAATTAAGTACTTAACCTGGGGTACCACTGTACACAACATAACAACATACTCAATGTGTTCCTATTCAATCACTAAACGGTATCCTTCACCTGGAATCGGGTGTGGCACTCAAAGAGAACCATTATTTGCTCATCTTACCACTGGATTATCCCAATGACAAAACTATGCTTACTCTTCGGGATTAACACAAGATCTCCACTGTGCTCATGTTCCATGTTTCATTAAGGATTTTCCATTAAAAGAACAAAGCTAAAAAGAACACATTAAAATAACATTTTCCAGTCCATTGTGCTTAAACTGGAAGGCTTCCAGAACTAAGGGTACTACAAAGTCTGGATTACATGGACTATTGTTAGCACTCACCCTCCAAGTCAGAATTGGAAAAGCATGCTTTTTTAAAATTCTGATTTGCAGTGCAAGTGTTAACCACAGTTTTCTGATTCACTGTCACACCATCTAAAGTCAGCAGTAAGCTGCAAAGTGAAAGTGAAACTGTGCAGAAGAGGAGGCAGCGCAGGAGCCCATGGCTTGTTTCTCAAATGGAGAACCATCTGAATTGAGATGAACTTCTAAATGAACCTATAAGAAGAGGAGATATTTCTATTTTTGCAAATCTCACTGGCTCTTTTACATAAGTCATCCACTGGTGGAGTAAGGGGGGTGCGGTGGGTGCTGCCCGCCCCTGCTGTCATCCCTGAAGGGGGGGTGACATCGCCCCCCGCCCCCCTGGGATGCTTACCCCGCCCCCGGGTACACAGCACGTGCGGCACTCCGAGTGCCAGAGCAGCTAGCTCCACCTCTGAAGTCATCCACTGGAACTTACCTGGAAAAGGGTGTTAGCACCTTGCAATCTTGCTGGGCTGAGAGGGGCAACTGGACTGAGAGTGCTCCAGAAATGGATACTGGAGAGCAAGGGGCTTGGGGTCAGCAAAATAGGCGTCTGTGAGACATACAAAACAATGTCACAACACCAGTTTAATATATGAATTTAACATAAGAAACCACTGAACACCTGAACTTCCATTACCAGCAGTATAACTAGCAAGCATTTAACACTTCCAAGCCACCGAGGTCACCTGGGCTTAGAATCATCGAACTGTAGAGTTGGAAGGGATCCTGAGGATCATCTATGCCAACCCCCTGCAATGCAGGAATGTGCAGCATATGGGGATCAAACTTGAAACCTTGGCATTATCAGCACCACGCTCCAAGGAAGCCAAGGCAGTTGTTTCAGCATCAGCTGACGGCACCAGACACCCAAAAGAGCAGGTGATCAAGTTTGGAAAGTCAATACTTCAGTTTAATAGCTTTTGGTGAATGTGTGCAAATCTACAATTGAACATGAGCTAGATAGAACAGATTCAAGCAAAGATGGCCACTTTTAACAGTGATCTGAACTAATTTCTGACATCTAAGCTTTGTTCATGCTGTACTCACACAGCTAGTATTTAAAAAAAACAAAACCATGCACCTAAACCTTGCTGTATACTTTCTCTCTTTGAAATTAAGCTAGCACAGACACACTGCAAAAAGAGCATTACATTTGCATTGGCTTTTCATGTATCCAAACATGAAAAATCAGCTTAGGAAGTTTGGATCTCTCAAATGATTTTCATCCCACCCTTGCCAAAAATTTCCAGAAACTTGAGGCATTCTGAACTGACTCTATGCTCTACCTCCATCATGTAAAGATCAGTGCATGTTACACTAAACACACCTTGGTCTGGTTGGCTATGTACCTGATCACAGGCAACAGGTTAGATTTCCATCCAGCTTTGAAAAATCCCTGTCTGTTCACTCATAACCTTTAGAAAAGTTAGCACACCTCTTCTGAAGAGGTCATCTCTCTGCCATGCTTCCTGCACACATACAGGATTTGGTTCAGAAGTAACGGAAGACAGGATTACCTGTGAAAAAAGTGCTGGTGTAAGAGAAGCAGTAGGGAGAGAAGGGCTTAGTATCCCCAGCGGACTTGGGTCACTGCCAGTAATGACCAGAGTGGGAGCAATTTCCAGCCCTTTAGGCTTTCTAGTTCGGCTATGACGAAACTCCTTTTCTAGCATGGAAGAACCCTGCTCTTTGAACTCGAAGACTTGGTTCTGAGAATGTTCCAGCTGCTGGCACGACACAGGCTCAGGATCTGTGTCTATAGCCAGATCAGAACTTAAAGGTGGCAAAGGAGACCTGGGAGGAACCTGGAGAGGAGGAGAAACGGAGGCTGCAGGAGGCGTAGGGGTGAAATTGGTGGTCAAGCATGGCAAGGATGTGGACGTCTCAGCTTTCGGTGTTACCAGGGACTCCAAAGCCTGGAGACTCTCATCTGAGCCAGAAGGGAGAGTGGAAGCAGCTGACAGAGTAGAGGGCGGCTGAGCAGTAGAGGCGAGGGGGGAGATCGAAAGCTTTTTGGAGGACACGGTCACAAATTTTATGACCGATGGTGTCAGTTCCTGAGGACCTTTCTTCTCCACCGGTTTCTCAGTCGGGTTCTCCATATTGATTGGCTTAAAGAGTTTTACACAAGAGGAAGAGTTCAGGGAGTTCAAAGTGAATGAAGAATATAGGCCTGAGTGGATGTAATCATTGCGGCTTGAGGACTTTGCACAGGGCTGAGGCTTCTCCTTCCCACAGTTCTCCACGTCCTTTGCAGCATTGCTAACGTCTATCAAGCCCGCCTGAGACTCGGCATCACCCTCAATCCTGCCAACCACTAAGGGGTCCATATTCAAAATCTCCGGGTAAGACACAAACTTGTAAACAAACTTCTGGCCATTCACTTTTTTGATGATGTTCTGTGGAAACATCAAACAATAAGAAGGCGTCAGGCACTCCTCTCATTTGAATTCTTGCTTCGGAGCCTCAACCCAAGGACGCCCCACTTCAATAAGAAAATTACTTACATTTGAGGACAAGCTTAGTTAAATAGTTATTATGTGTTAGATCCAGGCTAAGTTGCTAACACTTAATCAGCAACGACCAAGCCCCATTGATTTTAATGGAAACGAAGTACAACTAGCTTAGCCTGGATTCTGCCTACATTTATATCCCACCCTTCCATTTAGAAACTCAGAGTGGCTTAAGGGGGTGGGGGAGTCCTAGGTACTGTTCATCCCTGCAGTTATCAGGTCACACCCACAGTTAGCTTCAACAAGGCTACAGCATTGGCTGAATCCAGAACATTCACTGATCATGGAAAGTTTTGCTATTTCTCTCCTGTCTGGCCACCCACACTCTAAAAAGCCCATCCGCAATGTGCATTAAATCATAATGGCCCTGAACTTATGTCACACGTAATGGGCCCAGACTCAGTCTACTACCTACACATTTTATGGCCTTGATTTAAAAGGCAAGGAAGCTTAAGCCCAAATACTGAAGATGGGCACTGTGTTTGCATCTGTGGGCGCACTGTGTTACAGCACCAAGGTTAAGTACTCAAATGAGAGAAGATTTATGTAACTTTTATGTAGCTGATGGGAAATAAGCAGCTGACATTCAGCAGAACAGCATGAACTGCAGCCACTTCAATGCCTCTAAGCCGTATTCAGCAACACTTATTTCCTTCTGTACTTACTGAAGTACTGAATTGTAAGTTTAATGAGCAAGCCAATGTTATCTCAACTTTAAGTTCTAATCTGCAGGCCTCCGGAACTTCTTATGCCATGTACCCACACAAGGACAGTTTGCAAAATAAGATCATATGAAAATATCCCTCTTCCTTGTTCATGGGTAGCACTGAATAGGCCCCTTCTAGGGGGGGAAGCAATGCACTTGCACAGGAGGTGGGGTAGCTTCCTATGTTGTTCACTATTCTGGAAAAGGCAATGCATATATATGTGTGAAGTAAAAGGGTGGGGGAGATTAAAGTCTACTTGAATTCAGACTTAAAACAAAATATTTTAGGACAGTGCCAAATACAAAATGGCATCACAGGAGTATAGCAAGTTGTAATTACGTTGTGGTTTTAGGGCTTTCATTTCCCTGAAATTTGTACTCATTTTTGGCAACCTGACAGGTGATTTTCTTGGAAAGCCTCACTTAAACATCTAAGACACTTAATAACTCTTTAGAAGTAGTTCAGGACCTGAAAAGCTAAACTCTCAGCCACAGAAAACAGCTCTCATGATACCCAAGCTTGTACAGTGGTACCTCGGGTTACATACGCTTCAGGTTACAGCTCCGCTAACCCAGAAATAGTGCTTCAGGTTAAGAACTTTGCTTCAGGATGAGAACAGAAATCGTGCTCCGGCGGGGCGGCAGCAGCAGGAGGCCTGATTAGCTAAAGTGGTGCTTCAGGTTAAGAACAGTTTCAGGTTAAGAACAGACCTCCAGAACGAATTAAGTACTTAACCCGAGATGCCACTGTATAGCATTGCATTACCCTTGGAAAACAGAAAAGCTCATTAGGCTGAGGCAGAAGGAAAGGAGGGTTACACATCTGATACAAACTAAATGCTGGAGTTACCTTCACATAGTAATATCTGAGAGCACGACTGAGTTTGTCGTAGTTCATACTGGGCTTGTTTTTACGGATCCCCCAGAGGCGGGCCACCTCTTCTGCCTGCAGCAGCTTGAACTCTCCGTCATTGGAGGTCCAGCAGATGACATCCTTGTTCCGAGGCTCCTGGAGGAGTTGTAAAAGGAACTGCCACAACGTGATCGCACTGTCCATAGCAGTGAGCTGAAATGCAGAAGAAGAGAAGCTGAGAAGATTCTCACAGGGGTCATGCACAATGCTTGGGGGCGTGGGCACATGCACATCTCTCCTAAAATAAATGATATGTTTGCAATAATCAGTACTGCCAGAGGAGAAACACAAGTTACCAACAAAAACAAAAGACAAAAGTTTAGGAGGGCCACATTCTCTACACTGGGACTATTTAGAGTCTCATTTACTTAAATCAAAACAGTTTGGAGAGCCACACTAACTCATTACATTTATCTATGAAAAGTCCCTCCATAAGTCTAGCTTTGCTCATCAGAAACTGTGCCAGTGCAGCAGCCAGATCAGACTCTTTGCAGAACGTTCAAAACAAAAATAGCACAAACAGCACACACAAAGCGAAACAGCCACAATTACAATTTACATTTTTTTCTCTTAAAAAAATGCATTACTACTGATACTGGAGGGGCAAAGGGTGTTGTCTTGTTCAAGGATTGGCCACCATGTTGCTTTTAATTTTAGCACTCAAATTCTACTTCTGAATGAAATATGAGTTATAAAATATAACACATTAGAGAAGGGATAGTCAGTGTGGTGCCCTCCAGATGCTGTGGTCTCCATCTCTCATCAACCTCTCCTAGCACGGCTAATAGTCAGGGATAAAGGGAGCTGTAATCAAACAACATTGGCCAGCTCTGGATTAGAGAATGAAAGGAGCCCAGGCCAATTTTCATATTATGCAAACAAATATACCCTTCATAAGCAACCACCAATCCTGGCTCTCTGATGAATGTTCAAGTAAATCCACACATTTGCAAACATGTGTTGGGTCATATTTACATATTACCACCTTACATGTACACCTGAAAAACTGTAGTGTCTGAACAGACAGAAACCTGCTACCACATCCCTGTTCAAAGAAGGAGAGATGAGCAGCCAGGCTACCCGCTGGTGCAGGCACCTTGCAAGTTCTAGCTTTAATATTATATTGTCCTCCAAACTCCTACAACTGAAAAAAGCAGGAGAGGTACTCAGTTAGATATACAGCACACTGAAATAAAGAGGTTCTTCAGTGGTGGAAATATTCATCTCACCTAGCTCTTATTTCACCTGAGTGAAATTCACCATTGGCAAACAGTGTGCAAAGTCCAGTCTAATGGGGGCTATCTTTTCCTCTCACACAGGCCAAAGCAGGATGTAGACACAGCAGAGGCTGTAGCAGCAGGACTTATTGGAAGGTCACTATGAGGATGGAGCTGAAGTCTTGGCCCACCACTATCCTCAAGGTCCTTTCACTAAACTAAGTGCTGAGATATACAAACTGCCAGTTGCAGGGCAGGTGGTGCAAATTGATACCCAGAATAACTTTGGTAGCATGTACATATTACAGAATCAACACAAAAAGTAAGAAATAATTCTGTAGAAGAAACGCTTCGGCCTATTCAAAGGAGATGATGGAATGTAGTTGGCTCTATAAAAGGATTCACAGGACAATCTAGCATGACAAAACAGGGTTAAGCATTCCTAATTAAACTTTGCCTTGGGGCAGGTACTTCTCCCTGCTCCCCCTTTAGGTAGCGTCTGTCATTCCGTCTGTTTTTAATGGGACCTTGCCAAGGAAAGGAGTCATTTAAAGAACTCAAGACACGCACTACACAGATATGCAACACTAGCAGCCTGTACTGTTAAAAGAACAGGCCTGTGTTGAGTCTTTTAATCTGTTTCTTGCTGGATATTCAGAAGCAGCAGATCACAACCCCCCTCAACTCCACTTCTGACTAGAACCAACAGGATTATCTGCCTCAAGACACAACCAGGTAAGATAACTGAGGAAACCCCAGTTTTACATGCAAAGGATCAACTCTGTCACTTTGCACTAATCCAGCTAAGAAACTATGATTTGGTGTTTACTTTTCAGTATAGAAGCCACCTTTCTAAGGAACTGCTTACCGTTTTGCTTCTGTTCAGGCATTTTGCTAGCAAATAATGATGTCATATAGGTAAAAAAACAACCTATAGTTATGCCACTATCCTATAGCTAGGACAAAAATACACATGCATCCTCACTACAGGGATGGGTGGGAACTTTGTGCACTAGTACACTTTCCTTTTCCTCCCTCAACAACTCTGATTCTACTCCAGCACAGCTGCAAAGGTATTCTTACTTACTAGACCTATTAGTTGCTTGTTACTTAAAAGGTCTCCAGGTGGTTTACATTGAAAACGGAAGCATAAATTCAACTCAGTTGTTGCATATGCCATGGAACAAGGTCTGCTCATGCAACTAAACTTTCCTCCCCTCACACACACCCCACCAGCTCTGGAGGGTTAGGGGGCATGGAGGTCCTATTATGCAAGCATATCCCAGTCAGAGCTACGTTCAATTCCACCCCACATTACAATGACATTTTCCTTCAACACCTGGTGCCAAAAGGATGTCAGTATGGGCTTACTTCAAATGGTGCCTGCACATTTTGCTTCATGACTTTCATTCTGCAAGGTTTAGCGTCTAGGTCCCCTGCTGGGGACAAATACAGCAGCAGCTCCTGTATCCCACCCCCTTTGATGGCTCTGTCCTTGAATATGCCAAAACTATTCTCCCTGGGTGGCCCCATTTCAATGCCATCTTTTTTTGGCACAGAGCCATTCACTTTGTTATTATAGGGGGGAATATTTATAAATGCATCCTTATTGTAGTTCAGATATTTTTGTTTTAAGAAAATGCTGTGATCTCAGTAAGCATTTCCGGGGAGGAAATCAAAGATCACAGGAGAAAGGGTAGGCTTGCAGAGCTGATTACAAATAGCTACCATAACCTTACAGAGATCAAAGTCCTGAACAGAACTGCAAGATTTCAATGCTTTTAGCAGTTGCTTTCATTTTCCAAGTTCCTGGCTTGTATATGCGCGCACGCACACACACCAGACTTCACACCACAAAAATGAAGCCCAAGGATTTTCATACAAATAACTCAGACACTGACAGAGCATCCCATCTTTCAGAAGCATTTCTAAGGGATCTTGCACACTCAATGAAAAGAGTTCTTAATATACTTTTTGCGACTTTTTCCAATGGAAGAGAGGTAGAAAGATCCCCATAATAAGCAAATTCAAGTGTTTGCAGCAGTTTGCAAACATGAACCCCTCTGCCAGTTTAAGTTTTCAAAAATATACATTTGTTTATTTTTCTAGTTTGCTCCTACCAACCACAAAAACATCCCGCTATGTCTCCCTGCTCCAGTTCCTGCCCACAACTGCTGTCCCATCTCTTGGCCAGGTTAGCAGCAGCAAACCAAACACAACACAAAGCAGGGCAGCTGGGTATAAAGCAAGCAAAGAGGAGCAAGGGGTACAGTGGTACCTCAGGTTACATACGCTTCAGGTTGCAGACTCCGCTAACCCAGAAATAGTGCTTCAGGTTAAGAACTTTGCTTCAGGATGAGAATAGAAATCGTGTTCCAGTGGCGCAGCGGCAGCGGGAGGCCCCATTAGCTAAAGTAGTGCTTCAAGTTAAGAACAGTTTCAGGTTAAGAACGGACCTCCAGAACAAATTAAGTACTTAACCCGAGGTACCACTGTATTTTGCCACAATAGAGATTACAGGACACCAGGAGAGTCAAATGGTAACAGAAGGACATGTCTGGGATGAATAACTCAGATCACATAACACAGATCAATTATTATCTCTTCTAACTGGTTTTAGGAACCACAGGATTGTTATAGAAAAAGGTAATAGGCCAGAGTTTACCCATATATCCAAGTGCCTTGTTTATAGGTAAACAATGCTAATTTGTGTTAACGACTGGAAACCAGAGGCACACCCTAGTTATCTGCGTAAGGTTGTGAGTTTAGCCATGAATTTCATTGCTGAGCAGGAGAAATGGCAAGGCGATATGAAGGCAGACCATGGGAGACTATGGAGTGTATGGCATATATGTGTGTGGCGACATGATGCCACTGTCGTGGCAAGACCAAACACAGAAGTGATTTATTTATTTTTATTTTTTACGGGGGGGCTGATACAGCTCCTTGCCAAGCCCTAAGTATGCCTCTGCTAGAGACACAGAACTAGGCTTAGGGTATAATTCAACCCCCACTGCCCACACTGGGGTATGTGTGTGTGTTTGGATTGCATCACTCCACTGGTACAGAGCTCCTTTTCCCCTCGCAGCAGCTGGTATGGGTGACAGGGCTATGGATGCAGAGGTGTCTCTGCCACACTGTGCAACTGCCAGGCCACAGTTCAGATTCTTTTGCCAGTCAATGTGATCTTGTATAATGGCAGGCTCTGCAGGGGTGATTAACCTGTATTTGGCCTACAACTCACATCATTTGTGACCACTGGCCACACACGCTGGAGCTGATAGGAGTCCAACAGCTTCTGATAAGCCACAGGTTAGCCACCTTGATACAAGTCCAGATCATATTCCCATTAGGAATTTCAACTAGCAAATTATTTTTAAAGTCACAACCTCTTGAAACATGCAAAAAGAGAAGCTAAAGTGAGCACAGACTCTTCTTTAAAGAGGTGTTTGTTCACATGAGCATTACAAGAGAAGGGCTTATTCTTTCCACTCCCAAACTGTAAGTTACAGAGTGTATTTTAGGAAGGACATAACTCTGGGATAGCTGTGTATGACATCCTGTTGTTATGACACACACAACCAGTATAGAAGCTGTGTCCTCCTGAATAAACCCTGCAGAAATACCCAACACAGTTTACTCACATTCATGCAAATGCAGCCTCGGGTAACAAGAAACTGACTGTCATAAGTGCTAGAAACCAGAAGAAACAGACAACACAAAATAGGGAGACATGAACTCCAGGAAAGCCATGATGAAAGATTCTGAAAAGCGAGGCAGCTGGGAAGATAACAACATATTTGAGGAACCACATCTTAAGATTTCTGCAGAAACCAGAAGACAAAACTGAGATTAAATTCCATAGGCTGGGTCTGTAGTTAAGCCCCAAAGGGATGCAGGACAATGTATAAACATCAGTTATAAAGAAAAACTAATGGGCTTCTGCCAATATTTCAGCTGCTTGGGCCAGGAAGGCATTTCCGAATTACTGCTTAGCCAGAACTCTCACACCCATTCCCTCCTTCCTTCACCTGTAAAAAAAATGGCAGTAGTTTGGGCAGGGCTGCTTGAAAGAAGCCAGCGAGATAACACGCTGTAGAGAAGCCTATGCACCAGCAAGTGGAACTAATGTAACTGGCAGCAAATGCTGACCAATTTGATTTTACTATTTACAGAAGCGAGTGGGTACAACACAGCCAACTCTGTGAGTAGAGTTGAGAGAAGGAATGGGAAGAAACCCATAAAGCAGCTGCAACAGAGAACGAGGGAAACTGGTTAGCAGCCCCACATGGAACCACAAGGGCGGGCGATGGGGGGGGTGAGCTTAATCTTGTACGAAAGCCCTAGCTTAGCCCCTGGATTAATAACAAGGCGGTTCCCCTGAGCATGGGCAGAGAGCACTTCTGCCAGCCTTCGAGGACGCAGCCGTCCGTCCCACCTAGGGAAGCAGAGGCCACCGCGCGGGCTGAGCGTCTTCCAGGGCGATCCTGGCCGGGCCGGGGGTGTGGCGCCGGGGCCCGGGGCGGGACGGAGGTCGACGGGGAAGGGGTCCCGGCCCGGCACTCACCTAGGCGGAGCCCGCCCGCCCGCGCCAAGCGGTCCCCGTGCGGCGGCAGGTGCTGAGCTCCCTGCCGAGTCCCTGCCTTTCATGGCCGGGAGTCCCCGCGGAGACTCCGAGTGCGAGTCCCCATCCCTTCGCGGCCGACGCGGAAGCAGCGAGCCGCGTCGCGAAAGGGGGCTGACGGGGCAGCAGCTTCACTCTGTAGCAGGCGGACTCCGCTGTCTCGTTACGGCCGCCGTACCCACCACTTCCGCCCCTCCACCCTCCCGGGAAAGGGAGGAATGGAACTTGCGGGCCAAGCCAATCGTAAGGAGGCGCAGTCGGAGGGTGGGCCAATGAAAACGCCCGGCCCGCCTCCCGCCCGCAGGGCACTGTGGGGATTGGAGTTTTTCCCCCTTCTAATAAGTGGTTGCTGGCTGCCTCTACAGGCCAGAGAGAGGGGAGGAGTGTATGCTTATGTTTTGTCATTTTGTAATATTTATTGCATGGACTCGAAGCAAGTGGCCAGGGGCGCCCGTGGAGGCACGCCCACTTTCTTGTCGATAATCTATTTAGTTTGTTTCTATTCACGTTTAATGCCACGATCATTTTGCAGAGCTTTAAAGCGATAGATCCACAGGCCAAAACTCATACGAAGCATAGGAGCCAGCTCCTGGGGGCCGAGGTACCTTTGCGCACACACTCCGATAAACTATTTGAGGGGCCAGCCCCCTCCCAAGTTGTTGGGCATTCCATTCAAATAGTGTCTTGTGATCAATTATGTGGGAGAAGGGCTTACCTGTCCCCCCCTTTTTTTTTTATTTAAGTTGGCACCCGGGATAGATGCCAGTTGTTTCTAGGCCAGAGGATGTGATTGCAGGATGGATATGTAATAATTTAAGAGGAGAGGTGGTGTTCTGCCAATTGTCTGATGTTAGAGAACAACCAGGAGATAACTTTCAATAGGGAAAAAGGCAAGGATTCAGAGACAAAGGAGCATGGGTGGATATACTCTTTCTAAAGTAAAATTCATGTTCTGAACAAACTTTGCCCCCCACTTGCCGCAGTAAAAACTGCCCTGTGGACACTTTGCCAAAGTCTGTGGCTGCAATAAAACACTGAAACCTGTGGTGTTTTTCAATTTATTTTTCTCAATTTATTTCATTGGTTTACAGATGATGATGTGCCTTCCTCAAAGGCAGAGGTAGGATGAGTAGAGAGAGAATATTGGATGTCTTGCTGTAAAACTAGAAAGATTGATTCTGCTATATTGGATTATATAGCACAAGTGTCCATAAAGGCAACCCTTTATTTCAAGTAGCTAAAGTGAAAATTCTAAGAGTTACAGAGATTGCACAAAGTAGGCAAAGAGTAACTTGTTTCACAATTATTTGGTAACCCTGCTTACAATAAAGATAAAAGGCACAAGATGCAGCCATGAAAAGCCACTTTTTTGAACTCTCCTCTGGGCTTGCTTTGCTTAGCACTTTAACCTCTAGGTGCAATCTAGATGAAGTCAGATGAGACACAATTCAGATGAGGCTACATGCTGTTGGAGCTGTTTCATGCTTCGCACACTAGAGCATCTGCCACTGCGTGCCAGTTTTTGCTGCAGGAAACACCGTAAACTATAAAGGAAAGGCACACAGCATCGGCATACATGCAGTGGGAATGCTCTGGAAGTTCAAATTGTGGTTAGACTCCTGGTACATGCCAATTGTGCATTTACAAGCTTGCCTTCTTCACACTTTTCTGCTACAAACACCAGTGTGTAAGCACATAAAGAGCCTGAATTATATGTTGCTATGTTTGCATCCTACCCTTCTTCCAAGGAATTGAAAGTGCTAGGCATGGTGATTTTATCCTAGGAGGCAAGCATACAGGAAGAGAAAGTGGCTGGCCCACAGTCAGTTAGGTTCATAGCAGAATAGGAATTTTAACACAGGTCCAACTAATATCACTTAAGCTGTGCTTAAGGGTTTATTTATTTAGCTTTGGCTTCGCTGACTGGAAACAGCCGAATGAAAGCACGCGGATAACCAAGTAGCCCCATGTCATTCAGTGAATCAAGCTAAATAAATAAATACTTAAGTACAATCTGCATATAAAATGGGACAATATCTTCTAAACCAGGGGTCAGCAAACTTTTTCAGCAGGGGGCCAGTCCACTGTCCCTCAGACCTTGTGGGGGGGCCGGACTATATGGGGGGGGTGTGATGCAAGAGCACCATGAGCCCCAGTGGCTGCTTACCTATGTCTTGCGAGCGGCAGGGACTGGAGGCGGAGGGACAATGAGCGGCACGCTAAAGGGCTCTGGAAAGGGGCTGTTTAAAATGGCCGCTCGAGCGCTGCTGCTGCTGCTGGCACCAACAAAGCCCAGCCCCCTTCCTCCTCTAGGCAGGGAGGGAGAAGCCGGGAGGAGGGAGGAAGGAGGCAGGGCAGTGAGAGGGGGAGGGAAAGCATGTGCGTACTGGCTATCCATGCAGTGATTCCTGGACCGTCTGCAGGCTGGATTCAGAAGGCAATTGGGCCTGATCCGGCCCGCGGACCTTAGTTTGCCTACCCATGTTCTAAACAGTCAACAGTACAGTGCATGTGTATTATGTGCCTCACTTGCCTTGCATTCTGCCTGTGGTACATTTGCAATGCTACACCTTCCTGAGCTGCCTTTATATGCTAAGTCACACCCCTGGGCCCACCCAAAGACATATTCACAGGTCTAGGCCTATTTTCCCCTATGAAATGGTGGAGGTTATGAGGAAAATTGTGACATGTGAGTTCCAAGTAATTCTGTGGAACAAAATTGCATATAACTGACCCATACTTTATTGTAGGTAGCTGGAAACCACACAGCGGTAGGTTTTTGTATGGCCTCCTCCTCTAGCACTTGCATAAATACAGTCAGAGCTCTCATGCATCATGTAGCAGCCCAAGTGCAAGACGTCTCTCACACAGGAGCAGGATACAGCTACTGTGTGAAGCCATACTCTGTCTTCCCTATCCAACATGTATTAATGTAAATATTTTTTTAAAAAACAAAAAACCAGGCAATTTAAACAGACCTCAAGAATTGCAGCCTTGACAAGTCTGGCACAGATAGCCAAGCGTGCCTAAGTGCACCACATCCCTTGTCTTTGCTTGAAAAACTATTGCTGTCAGCCAGGCATTCCTTTCTTTGAAGCCCAACTTGCAGGCATCTTTGTGAAAGTAAGAATTCACTCCCGCCAACGCCAAAAAAAGGTCATCATGCCAGTTTTATCACAGTTCTTTATCCCTTTAAATCAGGGTCCAGGAACCTTTTTTTTTCTTTCTGCAATGGGTTGTATTCCTGTGAAGATAATATCACAACATGCCAGCACCTTGCTGAAGTTAAAGCAGAGTTCTTTAATGAGTGCCTCCCTGGAAACCAGATGTACACTGCCTAGGGCTCCATGATGGAAGAAAGACAAATTATAAGCGTCATGAACAAACATAGAACATATTGGCAGCTGAATGTTGGTAGTGGGTAGGGCTAGAGTTAAAAGTAGGAAGAAGTACCCTTCCTCTGTGGCTCTTCCCCTACCCTCTCTCCCTCTTTCATTCAATTTTCTCTGTCTGTAAACCCCTTTCCCCCCTCCTTGTCTCCCAAATTGAAATTGGGCTGAGGGCATGTTGCTTGCCCCTGACTGAACTTATGTTATATCTGAAGATACTTGGGTTAGCCCATCTATAGGTTGATTCAGGCAATAAACAATGGTACCTGCTATCTCAGGTTTGTTAGCCCAAGGTTGTTATCCTGAGCTAACCGCCCATCTGCTTAAATGATAATCCAGTCTGTTTTCCAGCCATCCTTCCTTGTGGGCTGAATTTAGAAAATCACTGTGACTGGCAATCGACCTATGAAACTGTGAACTGTTAATGACTCTGGTAGTATTGACATGATGGTGTCATGCTAGGATGAAAAGGAAGAAAATGGGGATTCCAGTATTGCCATGGATTGTGGACTCTCTCAACTTTCAGCAACCTCTGATTGACCTTTTGAACATGTACTTTGTTTACACAGCCAAGAAGTTAATCTGAGGCCAATGTGAGATAAAGGGCTTTTATCACAGGATGACTGATGGATGCCTAAAAAGAGATATTTATATGAAAACTAAGAAAAGAGTGAGGGCAGGGAAGAATCACACAGATTGCCAAAACTCATTTTCCTTTCCGAGAGGGAATGCAGCAGTTGACAAGTAACTCTGTCAGCTATGACGACTGATTCAGTTTGTTTTTCTTTACTGTGACATATGCAAATATATCTGTCTGCATGGCTGGGCATGAATCCTGGATTTCTGCACCTGTGAGCACAAGTTCTTTTTCAGGGCTTTAAATAGCTAGAATTGTCATAGCACAGTTTCCCGTAGGAGGTGCTTTTCAAACATCCTTTTAGACTAAGTCGATATTGCCAACAAAAGCTCATTCTGTGGGAGGAATAATGGTGACAGAGCTTCTTTAGATGTTCATTTAGAGCCCAGTTCAGAGCCTGAACATTAGTACATGCTCTACCTTGAAAGCACATTCAAAACACATTATTTCCCTCAAAGAATTCTGGGCACTGTAGTTGACCTCTCTCAGAGTTAGAATTCCCAGCAACCCTTAAACTACAGTGCCTATGTTTATTTTTATTTTTTTTATTTTTTTGAGGGAAAGAATGTGCTTAGAATGTGCTTTCAAGGTATAGTGTGTGCAGATCCAAAGAAGGTAATGTGAGATAATGAAGCTGGAGAAAGGAAAGTTATTTTTATGTATAGAAAGCTGGAGCAAGGGAAAGAGAAAGAGGTGGTGTATGAGTCACTCAGGCTGGCACAGACTGGAAAAAAGAAGGTGCCCGCAGGGGAAGGAGGCTTGAATAACCAAGGCAGGCAACAACAAGAAGCACGCTTAACATATGTATCTCAGAATCAAAGCACTTCCAAGTAAACATGTTTGAGAGCAGGCTACTAGACTTGCACTTGGTAAGCTATTGTTCTCAACTTCTGGCAAGAACCATTGCATCAAAACAGGGTGGAGACACATAACAAACCAGGCGTCTTGCCACATAGGTTCAAGACACATGAGCATTGGAAGCTATTTTATACAGAGTGAGGCTATGAGTCCACTTAGCTCAGAAATGTCTACACTATCTGTGGCTCTCTGGGGTCTCCACCCCTACCAGGAGATGCCAGGGATTGAACCTGCAACCTTATGCATAACAACAACATAAGAAAAGCCCTGCTGGGTCAGTCCAAAGGTCCGTCTAGTCCAACATCCAGTTCTCACAGTGGCTAACCAGATGCCTGTGGGAAGCCCACAAGCATGGCCTGTACACAACAGCAACCCTCCATCTTGTGATTCCCAGCAGCCGGCATTCATAGGTAATACTGCGTCCAACAGTGGGGGTAGAATGTACCCATCATGGCTAGCAGTTACCACCCCTGGCCACTGAGTATGCTGGCTGGGACTGATGAGAGTTGGGAGCCCAGCAAGTGGAGCACCACAGCTTCCCCACTCCTGCTTTAAGGTGCTGCACAACTCTTCGTCGTTTTAACTAAAGAAACAAATCATCAGGTGGAAGTTGTCATAATGGCTACCACAGGGGACCTGGTAAAGGTAAAGGGACCCCTGACCGTTAAGTCTAGTTGCGGACGACTCTGGGGTTGCGGCGCTCATCTCGCTCTATAGGCCAAGGGAGCCGGTGTTTGTCCGCAGACAGCTTCCAGGTCATGTGGCCAGCATGACTAAGCCGCTTCTGGTGAACCAGAGCAGCGCACGGAAACACCATTGTAGACCTGTGTTAAATCCCCACCCAGTCATGAGACTGACTGTGTTGGGACTTGCATCAATCACTCTCTCTCTCTCTCTCTCTATCCAGCCCTGAATTCCATGGATGCAAGGTAAGTTAAGCAACCTGAATAATAAAAGCAAAACAAACCATAATGACAGCTCTGGTGGATTAACAATGATCAAAATAAGTTCAAATGAAAGGCATGTGAGGCATTTACAGTGCAATGCTATAAATGTCTTCTCAAAAACAAGTCCATTGTATTCAGTGGGGCTCACTTTCAACAAATTGGCATAGAATTGCAACCATAGGCAATGTGTGCAATACTTAAGGCTGTACCACCAAACTTCATTCAAGAATGGGGAATCTGTGGCCCTCTGGCTTTTATTACACTTCAACTCCCATCAGCCCCAGCTAGCATGACTAACGGCTAGGGATAATGGGAGCTGTAGTCCAGCAATCCGGAGGTTCCTCATTTCTGCTTTACAGTCTGGGGCAGACTCAGGACACTCTTGTTTGCCTTATTTCAGAGGCAAATCAGATTACATTTCCCACCATCGATTAGCATGTGTACAGGATAGGTCTTGGGCCCCAAGTCCCATTCTCAGGCATAAGCGGTGTACAGCTCACAGAATAAACATTTAAATTGGGGCTATAGAATAACAACTCACAGTACTCAACAAAGCAATTTGTTTTCCTAAAGACAAACCATTACGCACCACACAAATTACACTGAATGCCATGAAACCAATTTGGAGTGACAAAATATGACTTTAGAGAGGTATAGTCTGAAAATAAAGACCTGGGAAAATATGATTTCCTGGTACTGATATTCAAGCTCTGAACTTTGAGATTTGCCATTTTTGTGAATATTTCACCTGTAATTTCATTGCATTGGTTACAGTTTCAGAATCAGTGGCTGAGTGATCAAGCAGGATGCTAAATCAGAAAGAAATGCAAAAGAACCCACACCCTCCCATTCCAATACTGTTCTATGTGTACACCACAGGAAAAAGCATTAGAAATGCCTAAACCACAGGTGGAGAACCTGTGGCCTTCCAGATGTTGTTGGACTCCACCTCCCATCAATCTCACCAAGCATGGCCAATGGTCAGAAATAATGGAAGCTGTAGCCCAACACAGTCTAGAGGACCAAAGGTTCTTCCATCCTTGGCCTAAACAGTCCATATTCTAAAATTCAGATCTAAACAGTGAATCTCACCCTGCCCACCCCAACATCCTTTATTGTCACATATTTCCCACAAACTTAATTACAAGTTTTACAAGAGTTCACAAGTATCAGAGACCTGTTTGGAGGCAGGTCCTGATTGAAAGACATGTTCAGGTAGAAGCAGGCTTTGGTCTTCCCAATAGACTTTACACAAGTCAATTCCTTTCCTCCCTTCCAAACAAAGCCGTCTTTTATATTTGCCTTTGTCATCTCACTTGGGCAGGAATTATTTTCTTGGCAAGGCAGGAGAAGCAGAGTCAGCTATGACCACAACCCTGAGCTGTCCGGATTCCCAAACTGAATGACCCTTTGTGGATCTTCATGTGTTTGGATAAGTGGTCACTGCGGGCAAATTTCTTCTCACACACTTGGCACTGGTAAGGCTTGAGTCCAGAATGGGAGCGCTTGTGGCGAGAGAGCTCATCCGAGCGGGAAAACCTACCAGACAGAAGAAGAGATGTTTACTGCACAGTTGTGTGAACCAAGGAGGTTGTTCTCACCAAATGGCTTCACAAGCAGTCAAAGCAAACTACAAGAGAGGATTCTGGGATATAAAGCAGATTTGTCTAGCAGATGCTGCTCTAGTGTGACTCTCAAGAATCCAGTGTCTATTTCAGAAATAGAAAAACATGCTCCCTACTCACATTTCGAAACCGCAAGATGCTAGAAAGTAGCTTCTCTAGACATGAATCTTTGCCACTTGGAAACAGACAGGTGCAATTCATTGGCTTCTGGTGCATTGGGACTATAGGTCATGAACCACTCTTGGGCTCAGACAGGGCAGGGATGGCACAACCTAATGGTCCTTCAGATGTTGTTCATCTTCCACTCCCAGCAGCCCCAGCCAGCATGGCCAATGATGAAGGTTGATGGCAGCTAGAGTCCCAACAGCTTGTGAAGGGTCACAGATTTACCATCTCAGGTGAAAAGGATAATGTAGTAGAGTGAGATGACTAGGACTTGAGAGCCCAGGGTTCATAAAGCTCACTGGGTGAGGTTGGGCCAGCCACAGTCCCTCAGCTTAACCAAATTCACAAGGTTGCTTTGAGGACATGAAGGGGTCAGGGAGAACTATGTATGTCACCTTGAGCTCCTTGGTGGGATATTAAGGTGATAATAAATAAAATATAAACCTCTCAAAGGTGCACAAAGACAGAGGTTTAATGGCCCATTCTTGACCCTTTATTCTTGTGTACCACTGACATTCTGTCTGTCTCTCTCCTTCCCACCCCTTATTGGTTCCTTCATTTCTTTTCACGTATGAACCAAGGGTGACATGATGTAGAACAAAATCAGCCTTCGACAAGAGCAGTAAGCCTTAAAACAAGTTCAAGGAGTGCCTTCCAACAAAGGAACTCAAAGACCTTGACAAACAAAGGTCTTGATTAACAAAGTCATCAAGCTTCTGTGAAATACTGTCTCTCTGTTTGGAGTGAGGAAAACAAAGACGAAGAAGGAAGCACAACTTGTCCAATGTTACATAATAATTTAGGAACAGACCAGACATGATCTCACTGACAATCCACTCAGAGTCACATCAGAAACAACCCTGGACAAGATATTTTTTTTTTTATTGTCAAAGGGCCTTGATTGAACCAAAGTGGTGCCATTGAGCGGGGAAATGTAAGGGAATAACTTTGTCTCTTTTTCTAATCTCAAAAAGACTTATGGGCAGACAAAACCCTGCAACTTCAGTTCGTGAGAAATAGCTCATGACTGAGGATGATAGAAATCTGGAAACAGTGCCTGAAATCATCCCATCCCCCACACCTCTTCTCTCCCAATCCCTTTTCTTTCTAGAAGTCTTTTTTGGATGAAGAGCAGAATAAAACACTTTCAATGAATATATCACATATTAAAGATTTTGTGCATGCACATACAACATACATTCTTGCGTTTGAAATGGTATGTGTCCATCTCACCCATGAGTACATGCCACTGAGTTTGGCAATTGGCAACAGATCCTCAGGGCGCATATGCAGATAGGTTATATGTTTCAAATATGCCAGTACATGTGCAGCCTTTGAAAACAGTTCAGAAATCCCAACTGGTACACTGCCCTTTCATAACTTTCTGCACCTTGTAGATCTCACAGTCACCAACCCTAGAAAGAAGGAATCCAGTTGGATCATCTGCTTTCTCAGATTCCCTGGATGACCTTGGGTAATCTACTCAGTGGCAGTTATGAGATCTACTCTAACCCACTGGGCTACTGAAAACTTATTTAATGAAAATAAAATAAAATTTTATTTATATCCCACCCATTTTGCCGGGTTTCCCCAGCCACTCTGGGTGGCTCCCAAAAGAATATTAAAAAGGCAATAAAACATCAAACATTAAAAACTTCCCTAAACAGGGCTGCCTGCAGATGTCTTCTAAAAGTCAGATAGTTGTATATTTCCTTGACATCTGATGGGAGGGCAATCCACAGGGCGGGTGCCACAACCGAGAAGGCCCTCTGCCTGGTTCCCTGTAATCTCACTTCTTGCAGTGAGGGAACCGCCAGAAGGCCCTAAGAGCTGGACCTCAGTGTCTGGGCTGAACGATCGTGGTGGAGATGCTCCTTCAATCTTATTTAAAAATCTAGAAAATACAAAGCCGGGGTGGCTAACCCATAACAGCCATCCAGGTGTTGCTGGACTACAATTCCCATCATCCCTAACCATCCACCATTGTAGCTGAGCCTATTAGGAGTTGTAGTCCAGTAACATATGCAGAGCCACAGGTTCCCCATCGCTGATATAGGAGACGCGTACATGCTGCAGGAAAGAACTAAAAACCGTGCATTCTCAGTGACCCAGACATATGGTAGAGTCATTAGATGGGCCCATCCATAATGTCCACAAAAGAATGTGGAATCAGAAGCTTGTTATGCTCACTGACTCCTCCTCCATTTGCAGCTCATATCGAATGTAGCGGAGAAGTCTGGTTTTATAGAGCACTGCAGAGATCAAACAGATTCCTAATACATTTACCAGAGCTACAAGGGGGAGAAAGAAGCCCCACTGAGTTCACTTTCTGCAGTTAAGCAGGGATACATTCCAAAGTCTCAGGTCATTACAGCCAAAGAAGCTGGAAGGAAGCAGATCAGCCAAGATCACACAGGACCCCCTTGAGAATGATTCTCAAGGAAACAGTAAATTCAACCCTATATGTTATTAAGGATTTCAGGTTGCTTGAGAGGAGCAAATATGTGCAACCCTTGCCTGGGGGCCTGTTCTAGTCCCTGCCCTTCTCCCCTGTTTGGTACCCTTGGAAACTGCACATGCCCTCCGTATTTTGGAAACAATATCGATATTTTACTGAGCTCCTCTTTTCACAAGATGCCCTGAGCAATGGCTGCAAAGCCCCTGCAAAGTCTGGCAGCTGCAGGTTCACTAGGAGCAGCCTCTTCACATTTGGAAAGTCCCTGCCACCAATGCCACGACAGCTGGAGGCTTTCAAATTTTAAACAAAACCATCTGCTTGAGGAAAAGGTACAAGGGGCAGCATGGGCAGACATGAATGCAATCCCTGAAGCCTTTGCCACTTCAGCACATCAGATGTATTCCCCATGGGAAGGATCAGCAAAGAAGGGAACCTATTAAAAGATGGAACTCCTTGCCACATGACTGTCCTGAGCTTGTACCTAGACTATCAGCTACACCCTAGCAGGTCACAGAAGTCTGTAAACTGCGGTTAATCTACTAATGGATTTAATTCTGGGAAATGAAGAACGATTAAGGTGAAATTATTCACAAAGCTGTTGAAAAAGAATGGTGGGTTGCACAATTATAGTGCATGGGGAGGCTAGTGCAAGGACCCTTTTATTTTCCTCTCCCATCAGGGAAGAGGTCCTATGCCTTTGAACAGTTGCAAGATAAGCAAAAATGCAACACAGGAAGCCTTTCCCCCATACAGTGGTACCTCAGGTTAAGTACTTAATTCATTCCAGAGATCCGTTCTTAACCTGAAACTGTTCTTAACCTGAAGCACCACTTTAGCTAATGGGGCCTCCTGCTGCCGCACTGCCAGAGCCCGATTTCTGTTCTTATCCTGAAGCAAAGTTCTTAACCTGAAGCACTATTTCTGGGTTAGCGGAGTGTGTAACCTGAAGCGTATGTAACCCGAGGTACCACTGTACTGCTAATAAGACAGACAGCCACCTTCTACCAAATCAGACCGTTGGTCCATGCAGCTCCGTATTGTCTACAACTGGCTCCAGGGGTTTAGGCAGGGGTCCTTCCCTAGGAAGCTGGGAACTGAACCTGGGCTACTTTCCATTGAAGCATGTGCTCCGCCACTGAGCTATGGCCTTTCCCCCAAAGAAAATAAAATCATAGCAATAGCAACAGAAGAGGAACCTGGTGAATCAGGTCCATGGCCCATCTAGTCCAGCATCCTCTTCTCACAATGGCCTCCCAGAGGCCTGTGGGAAACCCACAAGCAGGACTTGAGCACAAGAGGGCTCACCCTCATTGTATGCAGAAACATTACTGCCTCCAGCCATGGAAGCAAAGCAGAGCCATCATGGCTGCTGGATAGCTTTCTCCTCCATGAATTTTCCAATTCTGTTTTGAAGGCATCCAGTTCGATGGCTGTCTCCCAGGGGAGTGAGTTCCATAGTTTAACTATAATAATAATAATAATAATAATAATAATAATAATAATAATAATATTTATACCCCACCCTCCCCGGCCAGAGGCGGGCTCAGGGTGGCTAGCACCAATAAAATCACAGTAAAAACATAATGGAGGGAGGGGAGAAAAAAACCACAAATTAAAAGACAGGTTAAAATGCAATTTAAAACGCAGCCTCGTTTTAAAAGTAGCCGATAGATCAAGACCATAAGGAGAGGGAAACATAAGGGTCAGACTGAGTCCAAACCAAAGGCCAGGCGGAACAGCTCTGTCTTGCAGGCCCTGCGGAAAGATGTCAAGTCCCGCAGGGCCCTAGTCCCTTGTGACAGAGCGTTCCACCAAGTCGGGGCCAGTACTGAAAAGGCCCTGGCCCTAGTTGAGACCAAGCTAACCACCTTGCGACCTGGGTCCTCCAAAATGTTGTCATTTGTGGACCTTAAGGTCCTCCACGGGGCATATCAGGAGAGGCGGTCCCGTAGGTATGTGGGTCCTAGGCCACATGCACTGCGTGAACACGTACTTTCTTTTATCTGCCTTGAATCTTCCAACATTCAGTTTTATTGGAGGTCCACAAGCTCCAGTGTTAGGAGAAAAGAAGAAAAACTTTTCTCGAGCCACTTTCTCCATGATATGCATCATTTTATGAATTTCTATTACATCACCTTTTACTTTTATTTTTTTCTGTAGTTCCATATTCTGCAACCTTTCCTCATAGATAAGTTGCTCCGTCCCCTTGACCAGTTTTGGTTGCCCTTTTCTGAACCTTTACCAGCTCTACAATATCCTGTTCAAGGTGAGGCCACCAGAACCGTATGGAACAGTATTCCAAATGCAGTTGCACCATAGATATGTTATAACGGCATTATGGTATCGGCAGTTTTATTTTCAATTCCTCTCCTAATGATCCCTAGCATTATCATTTGTGAGCTGCCTGGCAGTCAAAGGAGGAACAGAAACCTTGCTGAAGAAATAAAAGAATAAAGTATGGCAACAGTGCTGTGTATGGATCAGTCATTATCTGACCAGGGATGGAAAAATAACATGAATTGCTAATTAAATCCCATCAGTGAAAGATTCATTCACTGTTGACTAAATATGAGATTTGTTTGTTTTCACTGGAATTGTTTCCTTTAAAAAGACACAGGTGGTGATATTAAAAAGCAGCAATGATGATCACCGATATTCTTGAACAGCTCCAATCCATTTCAGCAGAGCTTGTAGAGAAATGTCTAGTGGGTTGTGTCCAGGACGCATGTATACTTCCGTTCAGGCAATACATTTTAAATTATTTTTCAACCAATACGTAACCTTGGAATCCTAAACACACTTGTACAGGATTTGGGAGTAGGCCTTGCTGAACACAATGGGACTGGTGCCTGAGAAATATACATGATTGCACTGTTGGCTGGAAGTACTACGGTAGTTTATTCCAGTAGTTAAGTGAGCCTATCTGATCCCACAAAGCTTTCATTGAGCAACAAAGTTAAATGTCAACTTTTAAAAAAATAATCAAATAACCAGGCCGTTTTTATTGCCACACACTTACCTCCAGCCACAGTTGGGCCAAGTACAGGTGTAAGGCTTTTCTCCAGTATGGCGTCGGAAGTGAGCCTTGAGGTGAGAACTCTTAGTGTACATCTTTGTGCAACCGGGATGTGTGCACTTGTGGACTCGGATGACAGGAGGGGAGGCTTTAGGGGCCCTGGCCTCCACATTCTTCACGCTTCCAAGAACTCCAGGCCTCAGTGTCACAGGCAAAGGGGCTATCCGTACATATTTTTGTTCTGTGCCTGTTGAAGGGCTTTGGATGACCTGGGGAAGAACGGTCAGGCTCTGCCCTTGCATTCTGATGACCAACTGAGCCACCCTAATACCACCAACAGGGCTCTGGGTTGGCGAGTTGCCTTCACTCGCTTGGTTGGGCTGGATCTGAAGGACAACTGGGACAGTCCCCGCAGTCCCTGGGATGCCTGTACCACCAGAAACCACCACTCCTGACTGAGCAGAGCAGGAAAGGCCTTCATCCGGAACAGCTACAGGAACAGACTGTTCCCCGGGGCTGCCCAAGCTGATCTCAGACTTTCTCTTAAGCTGTCCTCCTGCCTGCTGCTTGTCATTCAGCTCATCTTTGAGAATTGCCATTTTCTCATTCAGGAACTCCTCAATCTCCTCCAGTGTAGGGCTAAAGTCCCGGGAGAGTTCCGGGCAAAAATCAGGAAGTCTGAGGTAGGCTTCGTAGATAGTGGTCTGTGGTTTCTCCCCATCCTTCTTTACCTTGGACTGCAAAACACCCGTCTCTGATGTGCAGATTAAGTTGGAGATAGCTGATGGGTTAGAAGCCTGCTCCCCGCTGCAGTCCTGCAGCAAATTCAGTGGTGGCATCTCATGCTTGAGAGCATCTGCAGCGTTGGCTAACTGAATGGGAGCTGAAGCAGTCAGCTGACTTGAAGCAGACACCAGTTTGCTATGATTTACTGAGACCATTGGTTTGCCGCCTCCTCATAAAAAGATGTATTGATCGCTGTATATAATATAACTATTATGCCAATGAGCTGAAAATTATGAATATTGGTTATAGATCCACCTGCAGGAAGACAACCACAAGGAGGTTCCTTAATTTAAAAATAGTAATACAGGGAATACAGAACACCTGAAGGGATCTATATACTACTTTGATTTACTACTATAAACTGATTCAGTGTTAAAAAAAAAACACCACTTCTCCTCCCCCTTTTAAAATCCTTATCTTGAAAAAAAAGATAATACAAATTCAAATTTGCAAGAATCTGTTTGAGAATCCACCCGTTGTTTGAACTCTAGCCAACACAGTGCATTGAATGCACTCATTCAGAACCATCTGGAAGGATGTGCCCTAAGGGTTTAACAGACTGAAGAACAGAGGCAATTTCTTTAATGGGGTCCAACTCAAGGCCTATCTGCCAGGGCTCTTTCCCACTTGAAAGCAAGAATGTAGTTCTTTGAAACAAAATAAGGACTGCATCTGATAACCGAATCAAAAGAAATATTGGTTAACCTCAAACAGGTCATACTATGGATTACAAAACTATGTGGTAATGATAGACAGGTTTGCCTGGGAAAAATCGTATTTGTCCCATTAGTGGTTTCTCAATTTCACCCAAAGTTAGAAAGGGTCAATGTGAAAAGCATTTCAAAAAACAATGGTTACCTCAGATTCTGTTCCATGTCTCTCTTCACACTTACATCAATATTAGTTGTGATGTGCTTGTATTGGTACACTGTGCTTTTCTCTGGGGGTATGCAGGGGTACTCATACCCCTAAACATTTTGTGAATCTAACAGAAGAAACTTCAAAAAATTAAATTTTTAGTTTCTTCTCTAGCATGGTTAATTGTCAGTTCCATTCTTACCCCCTGTGGCAGCTTCCTTTCCTTTCTCAGTGTTTCCCAAGTCTCAGACGGAAGTGAGAGTACCCCAAAACATTTTTTTAGGAAAAAAAGCACTGGGTACACCCTATATGTTTAAGGCAGATGGCTTCCAGCAAATCATCCTGGGAGCTGTAGTTTCCTCGCTGGGAGCTGTAGTTCATCCTAGGAGCTGTAGTTTCTTAACATATTGCAGTTCCCAGGATTCTTGGGCTTTAAATATATGATGTGTATATAGCCAAAGGGGTGTATGGGATGTTAGGGAAGGATTGTAATATCTGGTGGGGCGCACGTTTGCTCCTTCTTGGGCAGTTTCTCCATCTTTGGTCCCCACCCTGCACTCAGCATTCTCCTGGGCTCCTGAAAGCTGGCAGCATGTGACAGTGGCTACACCCCAGGAAGTGGTTTCAGCTGGCTGTCTAAACCAGGTGTGGGTAGCCGATGGGTCTCAAACCCTTGATGTGTCAGGGACTTCCCCTACATGAGAAGACAGGCTCCAGGGGACTGAATGGATGAGACCAATAGTGGGTTCAACTGTCAGGAAGGCAGGTTCTGCACGTGCTGCAGAGGGGAGTGAGAGGCAGATGGTCAACCTGGGAAGGAGGTTTCCATCTAGGAGAAGGAAAACTCTCACCCTAAACCTCCACTGCCTTGCAGGATATCTTTGAGAGAAGAAAGGGCTAAGGAGTAAACCCTACACAAATCGGGAGTGAAGTCCCTACAGTGGTTGGATGATGCCCTCTGGTAACTCCTGCAGCCCAGCTGGTGCCAAACATACTGCTCTGCTTTCCTTTGGACTACATCAGCAAGGCTGAGTGGAGCGGTCTTGTAGTCTGGGCAGCCCAGGACCTCCAAACACATTGCCCTGGCTTGCATCCCAGGAGATCATTTCGGTCTTGCTAATACAGCAGTTTGCTGTATTAGCAAGGTGCCAACAACATAGCCAAAGTGGGGAGGAGGTAACCCAGACTGGATCAAGAGAACCCACAGCCTCTGAGAGTGTGAAGGCATGAAATTCCTTCAGCTTTGTCCATGCTGCTCTTTGCCACTGCTATCTTCTCATATTGCTGAAAGCCCCGCTGGAGATTGGGGAAGCATTCTTCAATAAACACACCCAGCCTTTAAGGGAGCAGCATTTAAAGTATTTCAAGGTCTGCCAGCGGCAACACAGGGTCAAAGACCTGATGTTGCTCAATGCATTTCATAACCCCATTCACAAGATTGGAAGTGCCTCTTGTCTTGCTCCCACACTAGATCAACACCTACTCCAGGTGTTTACAGAGGACAGAATGGGAGGAACCAGCCTCATTCTTAGTTTCCCCTCCCTCTAGGAGTGTTTGGTAGCAGGCTTTGATTAAAATTAAGTCCAGGAGGTTGTTGAATCTTAATCATTCCATGTATGTTTCCCCTACAAATCCACAACAAAGAAATAGTAAGAGCTAGAGACCTGACAATTAGTTTTATACAGGCCAGTTTTCAGTCGACACCATTCATTTTTCACTGATAAAATGTTTCCTGTTTGTAATTACATGCTTCTTCCTTCCTTCCTTTTTTCCTTAAAAAGGTGTTTTTTAGGGCTTTTCACGTATTAATGTTCTGGCAGGTGGTAAAGAAAATGAACACTGTCAAGGCTCAGTCCCACTTTATTTTTAGTAGGCAGGAAAGGTACATTTTGTATTTGTGGGAATTTTGCTACAATCCATTTTTAAAATCTCACCTGTGTTTTAAAGTATCCTCACTTTATCTTTAATGGGCTACACATTTATTTTGGCACTGTAATGGCCTTTGTCTATATACACAAAGTTGTGTACAATTATTTTGGATGCTTGTGTGCATTCCCAAGAACAAACAGTCAAATGAAAACTGGATGTGTGAACTGGGTTTAGATACAGGTATAAGTAAAGTTTTGTGAGCAGAGTTAAGGTGTGCTCTGCCTATTTTTGCCAACAAACATAAATTATTATTTTTTATTCTCAACTTACCAAACCAAACACTGAAAAACAAAATAGCCAGTTAGATCTTTTAATTAGTGTCATGTCTCTATCATATTTTTCCTCTTTAATCCTCTTGCAACCTGAAGAGCTATAACCAAGATCACTACAATACGACCTCAGTTTTTAAGTTTTGGGATTTTTCCACGCTCCATTTAGGAGAAGAACCACAGCTCAGCGGTAGAGCACATTGTTTGCATGTTCAAATTCTTGAAATGTTTCTAAATGTTTTGCTTATATTTCTTAGTTTACTTTTAATTGCATAATTGTTCCACTTTGGTGTCTGCCACCCTGGGCTCTTTTGAGGGGACAAGTGGGATAGGAACTAAATATATAAAAACATCTCCATTCAAAATAACCATTGTAGCAAGTGATGGGCAAGGCTCTACGAGGTCCCGAGAGGCTCAGGCTACTTCCAGCTTTCGTTGTCCTTGGCCATAATACAAATAAAGGATGGCACATGAAAACAAAATAAGGTACCCCCCCACACACAAAATGATGCGTCGCCACACATGTATATGACATACAGCCCATAGTCTCCACTCTCCAGTGATCTACTTTCATACTACTTTCCCACCCCTCAGTTCCCAGCTCTAATCTAAAACTCATGACCTTACGCAGATAATTGGCGACAGGGGTGCCAACTTGAATAAAATATTTTTTTTGGGGGGGAGCAGGTAAGCCCCACCCTGCATACTTGATCACATGATGCACACACATCATTTGACTGACAATGCCGCCTCAAATATTTTGGCTGAATGGCTGGCCGCCTCAAATATTTTATGTGGGGCCTCTGCCCCTCAGAGTTGGATCCTCTGACTGCCGAGAGATTTCGAGAGTGGTGGTTGTTTGCACCCCCAATGGAGGCAGGTTTCGCCAGCATCTAGATATGCCTCTGGCCTGGGCAATGGTTAAACACGGGGTGGGGGAGGTAGAAACCCTGTGAAAAGTGTCTCTCACTCCAGCAACCACCGGGCTTGGGGAATGGAGAAGGCGGGGCCGAGCTTCTCCTCTGCCTATTTGTCCCGATCAGATACTGAAGGGCATAAATAGGAACCGCGCAGGCCACGCGCACCCTGCTCAGTCGGAAATCATGCGTTTGCCCGGCGCAGACCACCCCGTGCAATTGGGCAGCGCTCTTGGCACCGCCGAGCTCATGCTACCTGCCCTACGGAGAGGTGACGACGGCACCCTCCCCCTCTGCCCTCCCCATTCAGGGCAACCTGGAATCCCGCCCTCCAATCAAGCAGCAGGGGCAGGCTTGCCGTCAATCAACGGGTCCTCGCGCTTCCCATAGGGCGGCGCAAGGCCGCATCCCGCCCCGTTGCCACTGTTTGTTGAGGGACCTGCGCGTCCGCCAGGCAGCCTTTTTTTCGCTCCACGCGATTGCAACACGTCTCCCTTGCCCTAGAAGTTGAGCGTGCTTGGCCGGATTCCCGCACTTAAAACCCGATTGCATCTGTCAGCGGGGAGGGAGCGACGCGCATAGTCTGCATTTCTGGAGTAGCGCTTTCACAGGGCGAAGATCGGCTGGAAAATCCGCTCGTCGTCCAGATTTCCCTCCGAAGGTCATGGGACTCAACAGCAAGCCCGAAGTTAACTTGGCGCGCGAGATTCCACCCCCCGCCTTTTCCCCCGGACTCCAAATAAACTCAAAAAGGGCGGATAAAAATGAGAATAAATCTACAGGAAGATACGCCTCCTGAACTCGAAAGATTTCAGTGGGAGTGATTGGGCAACGTCTTTTATCACATTCATCAACAAACACATCACACACCTCGATTAGCCGGGCAGGTGAGCCCAAATTTCCATCCCCGCCACTCAGCCAGTTGTGATCAAACTTCTTAGCTTGGGAAAGGGCGCGTGCGCTGAACAGGATGGGGCAAGTCAGGCGCGCCCCAGCGATCCCTACACTTAGTGCCCCTTCCCCACCAGGTCTCTAACTCGGGGGCAGAACTCCGCCGCTGGCTCGCTCCAGGCGCGCGCGCACCCCACCGACCCCATCCCTTTTCACGGGCCGTATCCCGGGGGGGGGGGGCGCTTATCTTGCACCCCCGCACCGGCTCGGCTGCTCCGCTCGCCCTTACCATCGCCCAGCTGCCAGCGACGTCGCGCTCCTTTCCCTGCTGGCGCTCGGTCTGCCTCTAGCGCTCTTGCCGCTCACATGACGCGGGGAAAGTGCCAGCTGGAGCCAAGGGTGCCGCCCCCTCGAAGGCTTGGCTCCATCCTAGCTGCCCCATTGGGCAGGCCGTCTCAGGGGCTCGCCTGCGTCCCGGAGAACCACGTGGCGGCCGCTCGCGGAGAACACGGCCCGGCGGCGCGTGGCTGCAGAGAGGGGCGCAGGTCGCTAATTGGACTTAATGCGCGCACGTGTGCGAACACATAACGTCACCTGATCGTGTATTAGGTCATTTACTTCAAAATGCGATAAGCTGTCCGTCTTGAGGCCGGAGACCGAGCTTATTTGGCTCATTTGAACTGATTTTAAGCTTATAATGCCATAATTAAAAGTTGTGCAGCTGTTGGGTCACACAGCTTGGCATTAATTAAGGAACACGTCTGTGGACACATCTGCAAGAGCTGTTTATTAGGGTCGGTATGGGTTTCATTGGGGGAAGTCCTTCCCTTGCTCAGCTATGCTGAAATCCCATCAGAGAATGAAGTCTGATAGCATGCAAACCTTCTGAATCATGGCAATATATTCTTCAATTTAGTTATATCTGTGTTTCTCAACCCGGTGTGTGTGCCTCCCCAGACCTAGGTATGTGAAGATCGGGGTGCATGTGTTTCCAAAAAATATGTCCAATGTAAGTTAAACATTAACAATATTTTAAAAAACAAATGAATGAAATGTTATACTTAGATGGTGGGAAGATCATCTGCAGTTTATTATATGATCTGCACATCATACGTATTTCATTAAATTTATATTCCACTTGATTCTAGAAACTAAACAAGAAAACCTCAAAGTGGTTCAGCATTGTATCACGAGTTGTGTGGTGTACAATATACACAGCAGAGCATGGTGCCGTAAATTGGTCACATGTTTATTGGTGCTGTTCATTTCCATTAATTTTGAGAACTTCGAACATACCATATGCTATTGCTATTGCATATCAGATCATCAATTTAAGGCAAGGCTTTTTTTAGTGTGTAGTTGGGAAAATGGGGAGAAAACTTGGCATGCTGGATGTATGTCTTAAGCATTTATTAAATGACAGGCAAAGTCAGGGACACTGTGTATTGCCATTATTATTAGTCTATAATTATACCCTACCTGATTTTTATTTCTGCTTTTTTGGAAAAGCACTGCCCTCAACACACACACCCCTCCAAATATGAGGCCATCTAGAAATCCTCTGAAAAAGCTTTGTTGTTTGGCGACTTGATTCTGCAGACAATACAGAATACTCTTGCTGAGGGAACTGAGCAGACTATTCTGCCAAGGGCACAGCACACGGTGAGGAACACTTTTATCAGTGATGTGCAGTCCTTGCCAGAGCATCTCTTATGTGATTCAACTTCCAAATATGATTCCAAACAATTCGCTTGGATTATGTGGGGTGGAAGTATGAGGCCATCCATATACCTCACCCTTCCTGGTAGCCTTCTAAAACGAATAGCCATGGGGTCATCACAGTGTGGTGTAGTGGTCAGAGTGTTGACTATTTGACCTTGGTCTAGTCAATGCCTGTCAGCCTAACCCAGCACACAGGGCTGCTGTGAAGATAAAATGGGAAGGAGAACGATGTATGCCACCTTGAGCATCTTGGAAGAAAGGTGGGATATAAATACAAGCAATAAATAAGGGGTGTGTGTCAGACCCTCTTTGGCATGTGCAGCTTTGAGAGAGTTCTCACAAGACCAGCCCTACCATTAGGTAGGGCAGGGTGGCTGCCTTAGGTGGCAGTCACTGGAGGGCGAGAACTAGTGGTAAGGTGTTTTGATAACAGCTGTGAGTGCTCTGCACCTCCTAAATAAACTTGCTGTCCTCACCTGATGGTCCAATCAGTTTTTGCATGGGAGTTTGGGGCATGTGGCCTACCAATTCCCTTCACCTCAGGCAGCAAAATGTCTTGGTCAGGCCCTGGTCCTATGCAAACTGGCCTCAGTCTGGAAGGCTTCCTTCTGTGTTAGGCCCAATGGGCAACAGTGCTGTAATGTAGGGCAGCTTCAATGCCTGAGTTCATTGTGAGAAATTTTAAATGTTGTCTCTAAGACTGCCCAGTATTGGGGGGGGGCAAGGGAAGAGGGCAGCACCAGTGGGACTTAGTGTCCTGGCAGTTGCCCAATGATGTTGGCTGCGGATGCCAATCCTGTCCTTTCCTCTCTCTACACCCCCCCCCCAGTGATTTAAACACTGGGCCAAAGGGATGTGGAGCCTGTGGCTCTCCAGATGTTTCTGAATTGCAATAATTTCTAGTCATTGGTCATTCTGGGGCTGATGGGAGTTGGGAGTTCAACAGCACTGCAGCATGTCTACTGAGGAGTAAGCTCCACTGAGCTCATGAAGACTTACTCCCTGGTAAATGGGTGCAGGACTGCAGCATAAACGGCCTTCCGCAAGCCCCCTCTCCCCTTGCAGTGTGGGGATAATCACAATGCCCTATCTTACAGCGCTGTCTTAAGGATTATGGAGACAATGTGTGTTAAATGCTTCAAATAGCAATATTTTAGTGCTAAGCAGCAGCAGTAGAAGAAGAAGACAGGGCTTGTCTATAGCAGCTTTCCCCAACCTGTGATGCTCCCAGACAGTCGCTATTTTCAGGTGGGATTCAATCACATACCATCAAATTAAGGTTGCACAATTAAAACTGATTCAGAGCTCTTGCGCAACAAACCCACTTCACCAAAAGATCCATCTTTTTCCTATAAGTAGCAGCACAGAGGAAATGCAATGCAACATAATGGAATAACGGTTTGAGTGATGTAACATCATCCAGCACCCTTGCAAACCTGGTGGGAACAAATCAGGACGAATGCTCAATGAACAGCCTTCATCCAGAAGGAACCCTAATGTTCTCTAGATGTTGGAATACAACTCCCATCTTCCCTGATCATTGGTCATGGTGGCTGGGGCTGGTGGAAGTTGGGATCCAGCAACATCTGGAGCAGAGGTAGTCAATGTGGTCCCTTCCAGATGTTGGCCTCCAGCACCCATCAGCTCCAGCCAGCATGACTAATGGTCAGGTATGGCGGGTGTTTCCGCCCTGATCTGAAGGGCACCAGGTTGGGAAAGCATCCTGTCAACAGAGGACTGCTATGTCTCATGCCACACATGACAGGATGAAATTCTTTAATTCATTCACCATGGCAGTTGTACTCTCTCATCCCTAGAGCATGATCCGGCATGATCGTTACTATTACCCCTTTCCCCCCAGAAGGCTTTAGGTGCTTGCATTAACTTGCAGATAATTAGCTTACTAGGAATGGTAATGAGAAGTTGCCATCGTTAACTTCTCTTCTGCAGGCTGACGGCATGCCTGATCTTTCTTTAATTTATTTAGGGAACTGCCCAGATTTCTGCCACAGTGAAATTGCATGTTTTAACAGGTAGTGCCCCCAAGGCAGGGAACAGCCATGAGTTTTAATGGCCTGAAGCTTTTACTTTTGGCCCATTTTTTCCAAGGCAGTAACTTACAAGCAGTTGCGCTATTGACATCAATGGGACTAAATAGGCTGAAGCAGTTTTATTGTTGATATTGTGGTTTTTGATTTATTTGTTGTTGTTGTTGTTGTTTTTAAAAAGTAAGCCACCCTGGGAATGTCAATTGAAGGTGCAGGTATGCAGACAAAGGGCATATGAAATGCAAACAAAATAATAGCATGACTGTGATATTAATGAAATTTCAATAGTAAACATGAATGGAATGCTGATGATTATTTTGAAATTTTCTCACCTGCCCTATATGGCAGGGGTTTGGACTAGATGACTCGTGGGGTCCCTTCCAACTCTACAATACCGTGATTCTATGGCTGTAGGTTTTACGGCATGTAATCATGTAGCCTGGGGCTGATTCTCGGTTTAATGTATCAAATTCACGTGGTGAATACCTGTATGACACAAATGATTCCTAGGGGTGCCCCTTTTGCCATCCTGCAGATGCACCCATTGAATTTGTGCCTGCCAATCTGCAACTTGGAGAACTCGCAACTCCAGCATCCCCAGCAATTGCATTGCGATTGCACAGGCATTGCCCTCTGCAGAGTACAACTTTTCTGTGATGCTCAGCCATGATGTGTGGGAATGCCGGGGAAGAGATAAACAAAGGCCCTTGAAGAGGGCTTAGAAACTTCCATTAATTCAAGGCTGCCAGCCTGGCAACATGTCTTGTCAATATGGTGCTGGTGGGGACTTCCCTGGTGCCCCATCTGCACTACAACATTTAAAGCAGTATCATACCACTTTAAACAGTACTGGTTTCCCTCAAAGAATCCTGGGAACTGTAGTTTGTTAAGGGTGCTGAGAGCTGTTTGGAGACCTTTTCCCCCTCAGAGAGCTACAATTCCCATAGTTCTCTGGAAAAATGGTATTGGCTGTTTAGAATCTGGCAACATCTTGAGGACCACAGTTCCCCACTCCTGCTCAGGAAGGTGTTTTTTGTACTTCTGAAAACCTTGGGATGTTCCTGAGTCTGCAGCTATTTTTATCTCGTGTACTGATGATGCTGCCGCCTAAGGACTCACAAAGAGAACCAAGTTTGCTGTTGTTATATTTTATTATTAGTTGCCCTTGAAGCTTTGAAGAGTGGCGGCATATGAATCTGTTAAAGTAATTAATTAATTGCTAACCATCCAGAATAATCAAAAAGTGGTGTAGTGGCTTACTTAGACCGAGAGAAATGTATGATTATTCTTGTATGCCAGAGAAACAAGGGAAGGAGCAAAGACACCATTACAGGTTTAACAAGCTGGCAGCAGCTTGTTCCAGAGTGGGACTTGCTGATCACTAAACTGGGATTTATGACCAAAAGTTTAGTAACATAGAAGGGACTGATGCACTGACAGTAACCAGAGGACTAACTGAAATCCACAAAATAAAGGGACTTCATCGAATATAAAATCCTAACCACAGTGCTTCTTTCTAGATTTTACAACATCTTATAGCACCACCTACAGGACAAGATGTGTATCAGCCTCAGTTTTTGATGAGTTGAAAAGTCAAAAACGCCTTAGTTAAAAAAGCAAGGCCACCAGCACTGGAGCTGGCCAGAGCTCCTGGCTGAACATAGTACATAGTCATCCTCCT